GATTGATAAATTACAAATACATTCAATCATGATTCAATTGAATAATTATAACTACTGCTACACATACTTACATCCGAGCTAGCCATGATAACGATGTGTTTCCTTGACCTTTAAATATCTGTGTAAAAACTGGAAGTTTTAAAGCAGATTCTGAACCCCTGCAAGTAGGCCTAGACTGCACGTAAAATACCGGGAAGTACAGTGCACACAAAATACGAGCAGCAGGTTATAGTCGGATTCCCTATCCCTGATTTTTATGCAAATAGACGCATCGTTAGGACGTCAGGGATTCTGACTCCTTTTGACTCGATCGATCAATCAAGCACGCGGTATTCACAAGAGGGCGTAGGGTGGGCGTTGACGCTAGTAGGCGTCAATGAAGATGAATAAACAGATGCACACAGCAATTATGTTCCAGGTTTCTCCGCCTATTATTAAGACAAGTTGTTTGTGAGGAGAATTCTAAGGAAGCCTGGTGGCCGAGTGGTTAGATTCGTCGTCCACGAATCGCGGAGTCCGGGATCTAATCCCATCGGTGTCTTTTTTGCTTTTCAACACACGCGTTCTATTCAGTCATTATAAGATGTTTAATTTCCCGTCGTAAAATACCAACAGTACCTTAGCTTAATCGGTAAGCACTGCTGCTGGTACTGTCCGCGAGTTCCAGGTTGGCACCTTCGTACAGGTTCAGGGCATGTGGTCCACTCGGAGGATCAGGGCTTAGGGTGCCGCCCTGTTCCTCCCTTAGCTCTTTGCTTTTACATGGTGACTGGCCCTCCGGGGTTACATGGATGGACAGGGAAGGAAGTGTGTATTGACCGGGACACCCGAGAGCCCAGAAGAGTCCCAAGGGGTTGGCTGGGGCATTGTTATGGCTCAGACCGATCCCTGAATGCTTGGCTAGCATATAACTTTTTGATTTATTCTTTAGCCTCTATTTTTTTTATAACTTTGGTTTAATTAGTTTCATGATTACAATGCTCGGCAGGCCAGGCCTATGGTAGTATTATAAACAAATTAACATCAACTGCCGATGATGAATCCTCCAAAAGCGTGGAACCCAACAGGCGGCAGGGGCGGAACCAGATATTTTGGCAAGGGGGGGGGGGGGGGGGGGAGGGGGGAGTTCATCAATCCCCCCAAAAATCTGCAATGTAGACAGGTTTTTTTCTCCGGACATTTAGGCCTCCGAAAATCATGGGGGGGGGGGGGGGTGCGTTGATTGCATGCAGTATTTCGAAGATCTCTAAAAATGGATGCCGCTGCTTTGTTGTTCTAAGTTTTACCGACATTCTTAGCCTGCCGATAATACCCACCTCAGGGCAGAGTCATAGCGGGGTCGGGGGCCGTGTTGCACAGTTTCAAATTGCAACCGGCGACAGATTTTATGAGAGCGAGCCGGGAGGGGGGAGGGGGAGGGGGGAGGGGGGGGGAGGGGGGAGGGGGGGGGGGGGGGGGGGGGGGGGGGAGGGGGGGGAGCGCGAAGGGGCCGGCGACATCATCGAAAAAGCGAGTCACGTCAGTCGGCAGCGCCGAGAGCGCAACCTACTGTCCGAGAGCGTCCCATAATGGCCCGCTTAACGGTGCAAGACCCCAATGATAAATGGCCCCACTTCAGAAAGTCAGGAAATATACTCACAATTTACCCTCCAAGGTGTTCGAGACACACATCAAGCTTAAAGCATGGTCTTTCTTTAACTTGATGAATTTTTGGAGAAATTTCCACCCGAATATAATCATCCCTTAAAATATAGTCCTGAAGCCCATCGCCATTTTGAAAAACGGTGCCCACACTCCATTGCAAAAGAGAACGCTTTTAGGGCCCAATTTCATCCAAATTGTACAGAAATACAAGCTCACGTTCCAGTGCACGGCTCCCATCCTCATACGAATCCTCAAGTTCATGGCCCACAGTGTGCTCACTGAATAATCATGAGGGCATCCTGGGCATGTAAATCGTGATTCGGCCGGGGTAGGCAATTTCGGACCGATTTACTGGCCTGTACCTACAATCCTGGCCAAATCTCACTCGGCCCCCACCCTCGCGATCCCCCCGGCCCCCCGTTCAATTTTGACTCTTATTGCGCGGTGTGTGCTCCATCAGATGGGGAGAACATTGACCGGGGGAGCGGGGGAGTGGGTGACCGTGGCAGGCTCAAGAAGTGTCCCAACCATTTTGGCCGGGATTTTACTCCCCCCAAAAATGTTGGCTTTAGAATCACGCCTGAGCAAAGTTGCGAGAGGGGCGTGGGGAACCTCATCCCCTGGCAAATGCCTGGGGGAAATATCCTCTGTTAGAGACCATAATCTCCGTTGTGCAAGGCAGACGGAATATTACCTAAAGAGAAAGAGACAGTTTTTCCCCCAAGGATAAACTGTCCCGGGAGGCACAATATCATAGACAAACCAGGCAAAGTTGTCCGGGGACAGAATATCTTGGGGGGGGGGACCACAGAATCTCCGTCCACATCAGTCTTGTTTTTTACTCAAAATCCGATAACAGCCCTCCCAATTATTCAAGGGAAGAGAAATCCAAGATGAAGGTTGAATAACTTGATTTTTTTTCTAGAAAAAGCACATGAAACAAAAAGAAACTCACATCGTAATTTTCCCCAAGCGATTATTCTTCGTATAAAGTAACTTTCAAAAAATATACAACATTATAGGTAGGCATAATGCATGTAATAATGTTGAACCTATAGTTGGCATACAATAATGTTGAACAACTTAATTAAAACCAAAATTATTTTTTAATGAGCTGCATGGTTATTCAAGCTGCATTCATGTAACAAATACTTTAAACTTCAAAGGAAAAAAATATCGAAGCTGCCAAAGCAAGAACTATGGCGATGTGGGTAACGTCTAAAATAGTTATAAGCAATAGTAAAATCCACCCATTACCGTATTCTATACTTAAATCTAAAATATTGGTTTAAACAGCAAAATCTGTGCAATAAGCAGCCAAATGTAGTATAGTTATCAGGCACTCCGCATTCATGATCACATTTTACATTTTATACGGCGTGTAATATTCCATGGCGGAATAATTCCTCATGTACGTTAACACTTTTTGAAATGTATTCAACGACACTCAATATGCGTTTCTACGATCTAATCAATGATGAATTAGACCAAAATAAACTAAGGATTACAGCAAAAGTATAATAGTTTGTTAATTAAACGGATAAATTGTACTATACTGGTTTAATCTAACGTTTGAATACTAGTAAATAAAATGCAAATGAATATAGATACACCAAAAATGATCAAAGCTAATGGATAATAATGTATATAGGCCCTATAATATATGGGCCATCAGTAATAAAATGAAAGACATTAAAACTTATTTACCTTACAAAAGCATTTAATACTCTCGTAATTTCTGCTAAAACTACAGAATTATGAATCGCCAAAAAAAATTACTTAAACGATCTATATATATTTCAGAAAGTTTTACACTCTTATACATCAGATAACATTTAGCTGTTTTTAAATGGAATGTCTAATGCCTAGTACTGTGTTTAATGTGCATTGTGACTGTCTTTCGAAAATGAAATTAAAAAAAGTAAAACTGAGTTCTTTAGAAAAATTAGCAAGAATGCAAGATTCCATTAACATTAACTAAGGAATGTTTCAATTATTAAGCTATCAGTAATCTAACCAGCTGCTAATAGTCCATTGTCGTATAGGCACTACGCGTATTTCAGGAACAGTCGCAATGTAGTGTGCGTGTCATCTCTAATACAGGACGACGAGCAAAATGTCAAAAACTGTTCAATGTGATAGGGCCAAATTTTGACCAGTTTAATTACTTTGAAGTTGACTTATCCAACTGCAAAATTGAATCCATTCAAAGTAATCAACAAAATAAACCAATCATATATTTTTGGAGGAATTGGAAAATGGAGTTGAAGGGGTCATTTTGGGCGGAAATTATCAATACACTCGTATTGCAAATTTCATGATGGCACCCCACCCCATTCGAAATGGTGTAGCGATGCCCGTACCTGGAGAGAGACAATTTATTCTAGGACTGTCGGGGGGGGGGGGGGGGGGGGGGGGGGGGGGGGGGGGGGGGGACACCGAATCTCCATCCACACCATTTTACATTTTAAAAGCTTGTAATATTCCATGGCGGAATAATTCCTCATGTACGTTTACACTTTTTGAAATTTATTCAACGACACTCAATATGCATTTCTATGACCTAATCAATGATGAATTAGACCAAAATAAACTAAGGATTACAGCAAAAGTAGCCTATAATAGTTTGTTAATTAAACGGATAAAACGTACCGATACATGTATATTATTGTACTGGTTTAATCTAACGTTTGAATACTAGTAAAATGTATAAAATGCAAATGAATATAGAAACACCAAAAATGATCTAAGCTAATGGAAATAATGTAGGCCCCATGGGCCAACTTAATGAAATGAAAGACATTAAAACTTATATACGTTACAAAAGCATTTTATACTCTCGTTATATCTTTGAAAGTTACTGCACTCAAAGTTATGATTTGCCAAAAACGAATTACTTAAACGATCTATTTCAGAATGTTTTACACTCTTATACCTCAGATAACATTATTTTAGCTGTTTTTAAATGGAATGTCTAATGCCTAGTACTGTGTATAATGTGCATTGTGATTGACTTTCGAAATTAGAATTTACAAATAGTAAAACTGAGTTCTTAACAAAAAAATTAGCATGAATGCAAGATTCCATTAACATTAACTAAGGAATGTTTCAATTATAAAGCTATCAGTAATCTAACCAGCTGCTAATAGTAAAACTGAATTCTTCACCGTGAAGAAAATGCTAATAGTCCATTCTCGTAAGCACTACTCGTATTGCAGGAACAGTCGCAATGTAGTATGTGTGACTTCTCTAATACATGGCATCCTATTCAGTGTAAATATAAAAAAAAGTCACGTACAGTTTTGTTAAGGAGATCAAATTAAGAAGGTACAATGGGCTCTGTGAAGAAAGTGAAATAATTGATGGGAGATTTGTTCAGCCAACTCTAGGTATACTCATTATGTTGTGCTTACCGTTTCGTCGGCCGTGTCCTGAGTCTCCACCCCGGCCGTCATGTAAGGCAGAGTGACGTCACGTTGGCGTACTGCTGGCCCCCGTGGGAGAACACTTCTCTGGTAACCGGTGGGGTTACCCTGGTAAAATAAAACGGTAAATAAATGAAGTCAATCTGGACCCCGAGTATAGAACAAAAACCCTGACTAAAAGAGATGAAGCCTTAGAAACAGAATTTAATGCCACTGTCATCACCAAATATCGATTTTGCTGATGAAAATCTCTATGGAGTAGGTGTGCTGAGTTTTTAGACATCGTCGTCCTTCTTTGCAACGACCACATCGTTGAGAATAAAGCTGAGAATAGATTGTTTGTACCACGCAGAAATAAGTTAATGTTTTTCTTTGATTGCTTACAATAGTTGACTCTCAGCTGCTAAGTTTGGCTCAGGCAGTTTAAGTGAAGTAAAAAAATTGAATTATTTATATGATAATTCTCTGACAAACAAGTCCTATTTTTTGTCTACTTTAGTTGGCTCACCGTTGGATAGTATGTATTCCCAGCCTCCATCCCACTGAACTCGTAGGGCCGCCCATGGTGAGGTCGGCTGATAGGACCCTGAGTATGCATCACAAATAAGGTGTCAAAAAGAACAAGGAGCTGAAATCTTGGCCACAAGTCAATGGAAATGAGATGATACTTTGTTGCAGCATTCTAATGAACAGTTTAGTGGTCTAAAGAAATTGAATTAATTAAAATAGTGTTAATTCTAGCATAACAGTTTTTGTACGCAGTACAAGATCTTGAACTGCGCTCTTGAGTTGAGACCTTTGGACAAGTCCATACCATCCAGACAGTCTGGATGGCAACTGTAAGCGTCACAAACAAAGAGACCGAAATATTAAAGCTGCTTTCTCTAAGACGGAGTAAATTAACCTAATCAGGTTAAAGTTTATACGTCATCGAATTTGAGCTTAATAGCTCAGGTGGTAGGTCACATGTATTATGGTCGCAGGTTCAAAACCCCCAGCTCCAGTCAATTTCCTTGCACGACTTTTAAATTCTATATTACCGAATTGACTCACCGGTGGATTGTTCGCATTGAGAGCATCCATCCCGGTCGACATGGGAGGCAGATAAATGCCACGTTGGCTGAATGGGCCCTAAACAACACAAAAGAAGCCACAGACAAAAAAAAAAAAAGCCGGTAATCAAATTATACGTCTTTGAGTTCTACCTACAATTTCCAGTTTTAACTATACTTAGTTAACTCACCATTGGATTGTTCATATTCCCAGCCTCATTCGCGTTGGACACTGAAGGCGCAGTAGCGTCGGGTTGGCCGACCGGAACCTAAGCATTGAAGACAACGTTACAAATAATGAGGCGAGGTCTACGTCACAGAGTGGCATAATCACACGATACGTCCTTCAATTCCATCAACAACTCCCTTTCTAGTACCTATTTGACTCACCATTGGAATGTTCCGAGCCTCAAGCCCAGTAGCTACGTATGGCAGGCTCAGGTCTTGATTTACTGTCTGGTTCATGGTCTCCGCAAGACGATTCATCCTCGCTTCATCCTCCTCATTGAAACCTTCAGAGGACTCCTGATCAGCAGAGTTACCGTAGTTCGTGCGACCGCGACTGGCTCTCGGAGGTATCAGCGCGTTGTTATATGGAAGACCCTTCGGATGCGTACGTCTCAACAGACAAACTATACCAAGAATTATGCCCACCGTGGCCAGGAGTACCACAAGAAGTCCAAGACTTATGAGAACGATGTCAAGAGTTGATAAACCACCTAAAGAGGGACAGGAAAAGGTGAGACAAGTCATAATCATCATCTGGAGGTAATATTCAAAACATAATTTGAAAGCTTTTGCCTTTAATGTGAGTACATTATGCTTGGAATTACAGGTCAAAATGGTGCCATTAAAAAAAGTAACCAGCAGCAACTGCATGTCAAGTTTAAACCAACAGCAGCGACTCAACTGCCTTGGCAAGAACGTGGGGAAGACAGCAAGTGAGTTGATCAAAATCATTGCTCTACATCAAGCGGCACTAATGGAGGAAGCTAAAGGGTGACCATACTAAGAGCACACTCCTAGCCTGATCAACAGGGCTGTCACCCAACTCCACCCCAGACATGGGCGTCGCGAGGGGGGGGGGGCAAGGGGGGCACTTGCCCCCCCCCCCTCTGGAAAAGCCAAAAAAAAAAAAAAAAAAAAAAGGAAGAAAAAAAAAGAAAGGAAAAGAGGCGCGAAGACAAAGTGGTGTAAATTTAATGAGTTGGGGGGGGGGGGGCAAAATGTCCCTGCCCCCCTCTAAAACTGATAAATTGAGAATGTGTTGAGAAATACAAGCATTTTTTGGCAAAAAAAATGTTTTGCCCCCCTCTAGAAAAAATCCTGGCGACGCCCATGACCCCAGATCCGCAAGCCCAGGTAAGCAAAATTATCTGTGTAGTCTTGTGACGTGAGTGACCAGACCCGATTCAAGAGCGGTAATTTTAATATAAATTTTGATATCTATTTGATAAAGAGATATTTTTAAGGGTATACTCGGATCAGATAGGAATATGCTGTACATCAACTACATGCTATAATTTTATGCCTACATGTTTGAACAAACATGCAGAAGATTTCTGGCCCCTCCCCGTTTTGTTCTGTACCCCTTTTCGGCACTGTCTGCGATACTTTTCTGTCATCAACAACTGTCAAGAGAAGCACAATCATCTTGGCTGTTTTAATACACCCAAGAAGTCATTTGCCTCATGTTAAAACTGTCAAATTGGTTACACCTCTATGTTCTGACACCCCTATGTTCCGACTGCACATATTCCTATTCCTAACCCTAACCCTAACCGGGAGTAACACAATCTAGGTTGTCGGAACATAGGGTGTCGGAACATAGAGCAGTCACCGTCAAATTGAGTGAAATGCAAGGCTTTCAGTTACCTTCAACCGGTGGTACTGTCACACGGATGTCCACTATCGGTGTGTCAGATATCGGTGTGTTAGGTATCGGTGCGTTAGATAACGGCGTCTCGCATCGCTCACCCGTAAATTCAGCCAGACAGCTGCAGGACAAAATAAGGTGATATTATTCAGAGTCATGGAGAACGGAATAGGTTGCAACTTGGATAGGGATACGACTGTTTCAATTCCAAAGTTACAGAAAGGGCACAAACAGTTACAAAATTACCTGCATACGAAGATGGACCCAGGACTGGAATCGGACGCAACGCAGGTGCCGCCATTCTGACAGTAGTCTGGTGCACACTCTGTTAAAGAGAAATAATGTAAAAATTTATGGCGTTACGGAATTGTGACGTTAAGGTTTATTAGTCCATGTTAGAATTTTGCGTGGTACTGAAGACATTGTTTTGCTTTAGTGGGTGAACCAATGGGGCGTAAAATGTCAGTAAATGTTGCAAAAGACTGTCTAATTCCTGGCCTAGGAAACTACCTAGTTTATTATCAACCACCAGCAGTGGTAGTACAATGTGTACATGGAACATGAACCCATTTGTTTTTATTTTTGAAGTATTTTGTTCACGAATATGATACAGTCGAATCTCGTTAGTACAAACTCTGTTAATACAAAATTCTGGTTATAACAAACATAAAGCCTTGGTCCCGACTGTGCATTTATGTGCACAATGAATGGGACTGATGTTCCTCTTAATACAAAATTCTGATATAACAAACAATTTGGCTAGGTCCGAACGAGTTTGTATTAACGAGACTCGACTACATGCATGAAATGGTTCTCTGAATGTAGATCAGGAAATGAGACTGTGAAAAAAAATCACAGCTTTATTGAATGAATATTGACTCATTTTCCCTGCTCTTATATACGCAACATTTTCACTGCATCTCTTCCACTTCTCTGACAATTCGGTAAACAGAAATATGTTAACAAATATTGTTTCCTTTTAGGTGGCACACTGAAGCCGGAGCAAGCATTATCACGCTTTTTAGTAGGAATGCCTGCTTGTTGATTTGAGGAACCAGACGTTTTATAAAGCAGAGTTTTGGTAAAAGTACGCGACGATAAACAAACAGTTGACATGTACCTATGCACGTTGATCCTGATTGATAGAATCCCGTGTTGCATGGACAGTTATACGTCCCAGGTAAGTTGACGCAGATGGAGTTGGCTATGTGACTACACGGGGAATCTGCACACTCGTCGATATCTAGTGGTAACATGGTATAACATTTAGGATTTAAAAGTAGTACATGTATTCGGAATAAAACAATTTTGAATTGTTCTTGTTTATGCTCAACACCGTGATAGGCGAGTGGGGATTGTATTACAGTGTTATAATGTATAATGTTGGCCCTATAATAATTTATAATCTATAATTAAAGGGAGATGAAGTATTCAACTTTGGAAACCTTGTTATCCATTGAGTTTTTCTTAGTGGTATTGTGTTCCTTCCTCGAAAGTCGAAACGAATAAAGATAAGATTTTTTTTTTCAGGAAGAGTATAAAACCAGTAGCGAATCTAGGGGTGAGGGTTTAGGGAGGGCGGTTGCAAACCTCACTAATGTAACGATATGGGCCAAAAAAAAAATAAAAAATGGAATGCTAAAGTTCCGAAATTTATTTTCAAATTTCCTTAGCATGTATAGGAGAAAGCATCGTAGATTTTACAATTTTCCGAGGCCATGCCCCCGGGGGCCCGGACCCCTAGCAGCACGGTTTCACTCAACCCCCATTTCCAAAGCTAGATCCGCCCCTGATAACTATGTGCGCGGAGTGATTTCATGACGAGTTCTTCAAATCCTGAATAGGAGGACATAGGACGAATCACTCCCGTGTAGGAACTACATTTTTCTCCAACAAATCTGCGATGCACCTGTTTGCCAGCTGTGTTTTTATACAACTTTGCACAAAAGGGCCGAGACACAAATAAAATTCCCAAGGAAACTTGGAGGTAACCAAATATACTACAAGTTAAAGGAACCTTTCGCAAAGAACTATTCATGAAAAATCTCCCAGAAAAATAGGCCTACTGTGTGACGGCCCTAGAACAATATCCATTTCATGTGTGAGTCCCAGCTCGCATCCCCAAAGAAAAAGTAACCGTTATTTCTTGATGACATTGTAAGGAAAAGATATTTAGAGGATCTCTCACCAACACACTGTTTTGTTGCATTCGCCACATATCCAGGCAGACATTGGCACGTGTAGCCACCGTCGGTGTTAACGCACTCAGAAACTGATGCATCACACGTGTCCAGACTTGGAGAACACTCGTTTATATCTGGAAAAACAAAAGGAAATGGGTCTTAAAACATCTCTTCACTTAACGATGCCGACTAGCCTTCGCTTGCATGGGCGTCGCCAGGATTTTTTCTAGAGGGGGGCAAAAAAATTGTTGGCCAAAAAATGCTTGTATTTCTCAACACATTCTCGATTTATCAGTTTTAGAGGGGGGCAGGGACATTTTGCCCTCCCCCAAACTCATTAAATTTACACCACTTTGTCTTTGCGCCTTTTTTTTTTTTTTCTTTTCTTGTTTTTTTTTTTTTTTGCTTTTCCAGGCTTGCCCCCCCCCTGTGCCCCCCTTGCCCCCCCCTTGCGACGCCCATGTTCGCTTGTAAACATTCTCTAAAACTTTTTACTCAAAAATATTATCAAGAAAGCTATTGAGAACTAAATTTACCAGTATGAGAGACTATGTAGGTCTAAAGACACAAACAAAAAAGCCCCCCCCCAAGAAAAAAAGTTGCACAAATCCAGGCAAAATTGATTCCAGAGTTTAAAGAACAAAATTACGAGAGAAAAAACCCAAATGTCCCTGCTATTTCATTCTAACTAAGAAGGATAATTAAGAAACACACCGTTAGTCAAAATAAATGCTTAAATGATTTACCCAAGCAGTCTCGTTGATTGTTATCTAGAGTGTAGCCAGAACCGCAATCGCACTGGTAACCGCCCTCAGTGTTTCTACAAGTGGCTCTGGGATCACAGTTATGCGTAGACGAAGTGCATTCATCAATATCTGAAACACAGCATCACGGTATTACAATTGTTGTTAATGTTGAACTAGAATCCATCCATTGTATGGACCTGGCTTTCTAAGAGAGATTTTGTGTCATAGAGAAGATGAACGTTTGACTACTTTTTGGAGGGGAGGGGTCGAAGGGTCGACTAGGGGAGGTGAGTGAAGTTGGTGTATAGTTGTTCTGTGCATGCATTCTTCACTGTAAAAACACCTAGTAAGTTTGACTAGAAAACAGTCAAACGTACATCCAGCTGACTACAGCTAGGGTCAGCTGGGTGCATATTTGACCGTTTTCTTGTCAAATTTAACTACAGGGTTAGTAAAAAAATGAAACCCGAATGGTGCCCCTATTTTTTTTAAGGACGTTCTATGTAGCGCTTTCCACATCCAAGATGTAAAAGCCCAATTTTTAAGCTTTCTTTTAGAAAAGGGATCATTCAAATCACTCATGTACCTTTCAAGTTATAGAATTTTGAACACGAACAGAGTTTTAAGGTACGTGATATTTCAATAAATGAAACCATGTCGTATCATAAAAATGATATCAGAATAAATGAAGTCTCCGGGGTAGTTAAGTAGAAGGCAGGACAAGACTATAAACTCTTGAGATTATAAAACATGTTGTTTTAACATTGGAAGCAGAAAGTGTTTAAATAAAGGTCATGATAAGTGCCAGTGATCATGGTGATGAGTGTGTTCTGATGTGTTTTTTATATGTGAAGTGTCTTCGTTTTGCTCAAATATCGCTCACATTTACTGCATGTGATCCGTGGACAAAATATTATAAAAATGTATTTGCGTTTATAAGTTTATAACTGGAAAAGTACATGAGCGATTTGAATGATTCTGTTATTAAATGAAAGCTTACAACTTTGGCTTTTATACATCTTAGATCTTGAACTCGCTAGATGCAGAAATTCTTCAAAAATAGCAGGCGCCATTTGGGTTTCCTTTTTTTTCTGCTACTCACCCTGCAGAGTTTTTTTCACCAATAACCCCAGTTTGATTCCTGCCAGAATTATCATGCATGTGTATCGTTTCGGTTTTGCGGTAACACCATGTGGTAATAACTACTGCTTAGAAGATATTAGTTCTGAGAAGAACTTGTCCTGCTTATTATCAACTTGCTAAGTAGTTTTTTGTTCTGTTTAGAACAGTCCTGCTGTAAGTTCTAAAAGAACTTGTCTTTGGTCTCAACGTTTCGACTAGCCTGCTCTAGTCATCGTCAGGAGACTGAAGAAAGTTGGAGATGCTACTCATAGAGAGCAGGACTAGAGCAGGCTAGTCGAAACGTTGAGACCAAAGACAAGTTCTTTTAGAACTTACAGCAGGACTGTTCTAAACAGAACAAAAAAACTACTTAGCAAGTTGATAATAAGCAGGACAAGTTCTTCTCAGAACTAATATCTTCTAAGCAGTAGTTATTACCACATGGTGTTACCGCAAAACCAAAACGATACCGATACCCCACCATGCAAAGCCTCAAATCTTATATCATGCATGTGGTTTAGACTTTTCAGTTCCTACTTGAATGCATGGCTCAACTTTGAATTATGTTATCCATGGTTCTTTACCTAACATTTTAATCGATGTCTCCTCTTCATAAAAAAATGGGACCAATGGAGAACACCGCTCAAACATAATCTGGGTACCCGGGAAGGATTACACAAATAATCATAATTTCTTACCTTCGCAGACTGTTGGGTCATTTGTGCTCTCGTATCCCGAGAAGCAGAGACAGGTATTTACATCGTCTCTCCTGATGCAGAATGCATTGGTGCAGCTTGCGCTCGAGCATGGCATGTCGGCTGAAACATGACGAAAACGTGTGAAGTATATGCATCAGCACTACCGAAGATACTTTTTATTCGATTTATTTTAACTAGTGCAGTGCCCGTCTAAAATGTGCATGTTCGGGAAACGCAAATTGCTTTGCCGCTGGTATAGGTTGCATACTTGCAGAGTTTTGGAGAACTGCTCGTGCAAACAACGCACACGATTCAATGGTGTTGGTTTCACAGGTTGAACGCACACTTACGTCAAAGTTTGTGCCAAGTGCGAAGTTCGACCACCTACAATGGTCGCTCAGTCGACTGCAAAAATAATGTGCCCGTGGTACATACAAAAACATGGTATGCTGCCACGTTTGCCTCCGAAAATACTGTTTTTTGCAGCTTTTTCGAGAACCGCTCATCCAAACCACTTCAAACTTGGCACTGCACATTCTGTGGCCCTGAGCAATACACCCGCCGATTTTCAACTTCATACGGTGCCCGGTTCTGGAGATAATCAACGGACAGACAGACAGACAGAGATTCCTGGAATTATAGTAAGGATATTGTGTTTTAATGAATAAATTGGTCATGGATTGACACGTTCTAACAAAGTGATTTTCTGTACAAAGTCATAGAGCAACTTTACAGCGATTATCGACTGTATTTTTTTTTAGCAGAAAGATTGAATTAATATTAATCTCATGGCTAACATAACTCAATTTTAATGTTATGTTTCAAATTTTATTTCTCATTTTTTTTTTAAGGGGTCGAGTTTTTTTCAGCATCTCAACATATTTCGTTCCCTCTTTTTTTTCTACTTTTTTCACAGCTTATATTTTCACAACTTTTTAAAGTCTCATTGTTATACTCTATTGCTCTATAACAGGGCTTCCGTTGAAACCAGCATTATGTTGCTTCAACTTACCCTGTATAAATATAAAAAAAACAAGTCCGAAGTTGAAAGAAAGCAAACTGTGTTTTCTGATATGCGAACCGAAATTGCCAATTCTGCGATGTTATTTTGTTGTTGCAATGTTTGCGGCAGAGTTATACCAACGCTCAGTATCCCCTTTTCCCTGGTTTACAAAAACATTAGCTTGACTTACCTATACAACTGCCATCTGGTTGCAGTGTAAAGTCATTGTAGCATCTACATACAAAGGAACCAGCAGTGTTGATGCAGGCTTGGGGACAGCGGTCTATCCTCAGGAGGCATTCGTCTATATCTGCACGAAATCAATCAAAGCATGTTATTCCTTCATTCGTTCATTTGTGGTTTAGGCCAAAAAAAAAAATTTGGTCTCTGGTCAGACCAAAGTTCCAGAATTGATGCGGCCACGCGGCTGTTTTTTTGGTTGTTTTTTTTGCTTTTTTTTTCCTTCAAGCTTGGATTGTACAGACAAGGTGGGGTACTATTTTGCTTTTTTGTGTCCTCATGTACATTGGTGTCCTCCATAATTTGCCTTGGTGCTTTCGATCATTTGCCTTGGTGCAATTTCCCATTCCTTGGTGCTCTTTGTTAAAAAAAATTGAGGTGTGGAAATAGAGGGCGCTGTTGGAGCTACCGCGGAACATTTTGGGGAAAAAAAAAGATCGACACGCATGATTAAAATCGACGCGCGCGTTGACCAGAGACTGACTTATTTTTTTTTTTTGGCCTTATATAAAAAATTATTTCGTCAGTGATATTTTAAAACGTGGAGGAGAAAAAATCAAGATGCCAACATCAAAACATCATAGGCTGGCCGGACTCAGCATCCAAACAGCTGTGCGGCATGCCAAAGATCGCCAATCCTGATGGAGATGTACGACAAAGTTGGCTGCCACCCACCCTCTGTCAGAGGCCAGCACCGGATAGGACAGGATTCAAAACGTCTGGATCAGAGATTTGCTTTAAAAATAAATCTTCTCACCAAGACAAGAAAATCCGTCTCCTTGAAAACCTGGCATGCAGCGGCACGTAAAACTGCTCTCAGTGTTGCTACATATGGCATCTTCGGCACAGTTGGCAGTTTGTAGCTCACATTCGTTGATATCTACTCGTCAAAAAAAAAACACGGAGGAGCAAAGTGGTAAGGGGGATTTTAATACACAAGTACTATCATTTAGATATCTGCGGGGGCAGCTGAAAAATTAAAGTGAAATTTCACATATACTCTAGACGCAATGATGGTACCAAAGCTACTTCAAAACACCCTTTTCATTTGAACAAAATTTTTAAACAAATATTCATGCAAAAGAACATTATTTAAATTACAATACCATACTCGCGGCGCGTGCAACATCACAGTAAAGAGAAGCAGAACGATGAATTTCATGTCAAGCAATGTAAACACACTTTCCCATTCTTTACCTTCAATTTATCACAAATCAAGTTGCACTTTGTTAGAAAAACGGGGTCGGCATTAAACAGCGACTACAAAAAAAAGGGGAAGAAACACAATAAATGGCACACACCATTGCAAGATCTTCCATCAGAGTGCAGCGTGTATCCGGGATTGCACGCACAGGTAAAGCTAAAGAGATTGTTAACGCAGGTCTGGTCGCAGCCTCTCCCGCCCTGGCTGGCTGGCTCATCACGGTACAAGTCGCACTCGTCAATATCTACAAGAAGATTCCACAATAAGGAATGTGTTACTTTGCCAATGTCCACTCATCAAGTAAAAAGGGATTGCAGTAACTTAAAGGGAAAATACAACATTTGCAAACATCGAAAAATGAAACTACCAAGTTGTTACGAAATACCTTACTAGGATGTTGGTAAATGACATGCTTAAGCATCCTGTAAAATTATGGCACCTGGTGTGAAGCCATTTTCAAGAAAATGGTATATTTGTATACATTTCCAACGCTGGTCGGCCGATCACCGTTGGAAAAACCTAACTATTTTTCAATTATACTGCACCAAATTTACCTTCTTTTCTTTTAGTATAAATTTTGTTTTGCTAGCTATTGGTTCCATGCTCATGAACGGGTGCAGGCCAGCTAGACTGGTTCCCTTACCTTACAATTTTCCGGTATGTTTGATCCATTTCATCTTTAGTGGAGTCAGGGAACCACACTACTTGAATATTTTTGTTTTTCTTGGTTTTTCCAGCATTTTCGAACACAAAACTTCAAACATGTCAGTGAAACACTATTTGATCTATTATACTAACCCCCCAAACAGTTCATTTCTGAAAATTACAGCAAAAGCCAATGATGTACATTCCCTTTAAGTAATAACTGAGAGGGGAGGCAAAACAGGTTGAGCATTTTTTTCAGAACCTCAAAAACTCACAAACAAAAATAGTTGTCACATAGTGCTACCGTAAACCTTTATCTTTTTAAAATACAAAGGAATCTGATTACCGATGCAGGTTCTGCCGTCTCCCGCCAGACCCTCAGGGCAGGGTCCACAGGTACTGTCCAGGGAGGGTGGATCCTGATCGGTACAAGCCACTCCCAGGAAACATGGGTTGACTGCGCAGGCATCGTAATTCAATTGACAGAACTCCCCGGTCCAACCGGGTGGACACCGACACAGTACTACCTATTTGCGGGAGAAGAAGTGTAGTTCTCTCAATGAAGGGGGAAAAACAAAGCAAAACAACAATACAAAACCAGGCAAAATATCGATGCGGGTGTTTCTTTGCACTGAATAGACAAGGAGTGCTGAAAACCAATGTGAGAACCTGTGTGAGGCAATGCGTGTCACCCAGTCTGAGTACCATCCAGAAGCCGCTGTCCAATTTTCTTTTTTCAAACGGATCGGGTTTCCCATGTTCTGATTGGTCTATTACATGCATGGGCCAATTTCATAGAGCTGCTTAAGCACAAAATTTGCTTAAGCACAAAAACGTCTTGCTTAATAAAATCAGGTTACCGGCCAAAACTCCATGCGATCGTTATGCTAAGTAAACAACAGCTAAATACCAGTCACAAGCAAATGTACATCACATGGAGTTTTGGCCGGTAACCTAATTTTACTAAGCAATGTTTTTTCGTGCTTAAGCAAATTTTCTGCTTAAGCAGCTCTATGAAATTGGGCCATCTAATGCCCTGTTCACATCAGCAGAAACCCAGCATAACTTTTATGTGTTGCAAAAAGCGTTACTTCCTCACATAGTAAAATACAAGTAGGTCTTCGTGAAAAAGTCTTCACTAGGATTCGAACACAGATCAACTAAATAGAAGATATTAGTTCTGAAAAGAACTTGTCCTGCTTATTATCAACTTTGCTAAGTAGTTTTTTTTGTTTTTGTTTTTGTTTGTGTTCTGATAAGAACAGTCCTGCTGTAAGTTCTAAACGAACTTGTCTTTTTAGAACTTACAGCAGGACTGTTCTTATCAGAACAAAAAAAACCAACAACAAAACAAAAAACAAAACTACTTAGCAAAGTTGATAATAAGCAGGACAAGTTCTTTTCAGAACTAATATCTTCTAAGCAGTAGTTATTACCACATGGTGTTACCGCAAACTGAAACGATACCGATACCCCACCATGCAAAGCCTCAAATCTTATGACTAAATAGAGGTCACGACTACTTCCAACCAGCCTATATAAATCTGCTGCCTCACGTCGGTTATTTATATACCTTTCTTCCTTATTCATAAATACCTAAGACAGTTTACCCATTCCTACTGGGTCAAGAGCCCGTCACGTGGCCGGTTTTAAACGGTTGATAAAGACCGGCTGGCTAGTCTTAAACACTTTTCCAGTGTCAAATGAACTGTGGACTCCTATGAAATCTGGTGCCTTTTGCCGTTTTATTGGTTGAACGTTCACAATCCTCACGCAATACCACCAGTAAGTCATTATTTCATAGTGATAAATTCACACTACACCGGCACAGCTGCGTTGTGCGCCACATCGCGCAGTACCGGCGACGCAAGCGCCAATTCCCACATAAGGAGTTCCAATTCCCACATATGGAGTTGTTTACGGCCAGCTACACGCGAGAGGGACACACCATTATATAGCTGGACGGGTGTCCCGAAAAATAGAAATTAAAATTGTTGAACAAAATTGTTCTGACTTGTTTCGACTTTTGGACTGAAAAGTTTAGATTTTTTTGACCGAAAAGGTATTTATGAATGGAAATAGATGCTTGGCTCGGGTAATAAGCATCCAGACTCCAACCGGTCTTATTAAACATGTTTACCACCACACCATCACAGTACTCACCCCGAACCGTACTTGCAGGAGATCGGTGCCCACAACCTGATTGTAGAGACACGTACCCCCATTCATACAGTCACACATCTTGACAATTGCCTGGGTTGTTGTTTTGGATTTCCCATCCGTGACCGAGATGATGACTGAAACAAAAGATTTGTCTACAGGCGTCCAGGTGAAAAGACCACCTACAATGAAGGGAAAAAAAACGCATTTCACAGATTGTTTTACAAAGAGGTTAGAGATTTATATACAAAGAAGTCGACATTTTTTGTACTTTAACCCTCAAGGGCCAGAGGCGGGGGGGGGGGGCAAAATTCACCCCCTCAACTTCTTCCGCGATACCCTTGCATTTTTTTCCTGATCCGAGCTTTCCTGATTTTTTTAGCCTCGAGTATTGCGCATCTTTTGATACCAACAACCTAAAATTCCAACCATAAAATTGCAACCATGGGTTACCGCGCAGCGAAAACTGAATTTTCCCTTTATGTAATCTGCAAAGCAGAATTACCATTGGTGCACATGAATAACTAATTAGCCATAATTCCAAAACCCTTTAACCTATAGTCATGAAAGTTATTGGGTATGTTCATATTAAGTTGTTCTATGCATGCACCGAGTTACATAATTTTTCGTCACTCAATGGCCGAGATCTGAGGGGAGGGGGCAGCATCTCCCCCTGGCTGTGAAATGATCAAAATAACCCGGCCCCTTTAGGGTTAAGAGCTATGTGAATATATCTGAAAACGTATTGTTCAGATCTTATACAGCCATCACGTAGTAATGGCCAAGGAGATAGGAGTTTTGGATCATTTCTCTGAATCATTAATTAGATATTGTGGTTAATTGGCTCTGTCATGGACAGAAGATTTTCTTCCCTAACGCTGGAATTATCCATAAGTAGTTCTATACTACAGATGATCCAACCTTGCGCTGTGATGGATGCACCAGGTACTGCTTTCTCCAGCAAGTAGGTAATGCTCTCCCCTTCAGGATCGGAGGCTTCAATCTGCAGCACGAAAGTCTGTCCGACCTCAACTTCAATAATCCCTACTACGGTCAGGTCTGGTGGGAAATCGGCTGAAGAAAAAAAACACAAACCACTGATTATAGATTAAAACTGATATCAATAAGCATCTGGTGCATAGTTCATCAACTCTGATTGTTCGATAGATGATTGTAATGTGTATCAATTGTTGACAAAAAAAAAAACAGTTGTAGAGAAGTTGTTGATGTCTGCGTGAGTTCACTCTCCAACAGGTTTAGGTGAAGATTGAGAGAGATAATATCGTGTGAAATAACGACCCCCAACCTTGCTCCCTTTTGACATTTTTATGGAATCTTGACCCCGGACTAGGCTGTTGTTATGTGGACCAAAGCTACGCAAAACGGAGCATCAGTCCGCAGTAAAAGGAATCCAAATTTCAAACTTCACCAAGTCATACCGTGGAGGAAAACCATGGTCCCACAAACTCAGCTATCCAGCAAAATCTCTGAATCTGTGATTTTCTGCCTTCTAAATACTTGTAAGAAACTGTACATGCTACATCAGCAATTATAAAATTCCTTTTTAGATCTATTTAAATGAGGATGCTATAATAAACTCGATCTAGCGCTACGTTATTGTGTCTGACATTTATAAGGACAAGCATCTCCTAAGATGGAATTTGCGACGGGGTGATGTAAATCAATATTAGGTTTACAAGCAGGAGGTCGTGGGTTTGAGTCCCACCCGAGTGATTTTTTCCAACTTTTACTCGGGAGGTAACACACTGGGTATGCAGTGTTTATACGTCGGTGAAGGGCAAAACCTTATATTGACTAGCTGATTGATTGATTGATTGATAAATGGTTTATTAAATCAGCTTTCTCGCCACCTGTAGCGGAATTATGTGAAGCTGTTACAATATATATTAAGAATGCATTAATTTAAAAATACTAAAAAGTAATCATTACAATTATACTATTAAGAAATAATAAAGCAAAATTTAAGGACCCCAAAATTGATAAAATAGCAAATCAACAATTACATGATTAACACATTAAGATGCAGTAAGAAATTGGGTGAGTGGTAGGGGGAAAGGACATATGGTGGGTAGGGAAAGGCTACATTATTCGGGAAGGGAATGGGAATCCACAATAAAGTTTGGAATATAATTTGGGATATTAAGATGAGGAAGTTTAAACATCCAAATTATTATTTAACATTTAAAAATCTCAGACACAGTGTACAATGTACAAATAAATAAAAATCTCAAAACATACAATGTAGTTCAGCTGCTGTCAAAAATTACCTTAGCATCTCAATCAGTATATTTTAATGCATGCAGCTACTCTATTTCTTATGATATTCTAATGACAAACCTAGCCCCAAAACTTACAAGCTGACTCCGCGAGTGCGAAGTTCTCCTCAAACTGCTTCATTGTGGCTTGCCCAACGGCTGCGTCCTCCATTGCCAGGGTGTCGTACACGCATAATTGGTTGTTGTCACAGATAGTCATAGCCTCTTGAAGCTTGCTGGCGTTAACACTGGCAAGCAAGTCGCCAAAGAAAAGAGGTGTGAAGCTCAAATCATTGAATGTGTCCCAGCTCTCACTGGGAGACACGTAGTTGAAGAGCGAATTCGTGGTGCTCACACGCCCTGAAAAGTAATGTGAAGAACAAATGCCCACGCATTCAGCAAACAAAGCAGAGCAAATTATAAAGTTGAGAAAATTGGAAAGTTGATATATTTTCCAGTGGAATGATTTAAAAAAGGCAATAATGCTGTGGATGTTTTCTCAACTATTATCCTTTTGGCTTGAAATCAACATTTGTAAGTCGGTGCTGTCAAGTAACAACCGAAACTCTTTGTTAGAATTAGCGGCAGCAGATCCCATAATATCATTGAGTCCTCTTCTGCAAAAGCAAATACCCAGTAAATACTTCCCGGAAAATTTGAAACTTGGGGCATGGACGGATATGTGCATGGGTCTAGAATGGAACCAACAACATTATGTTAAAAGGAAAGTATTATGCAGTCAATTTATTAGATAGGCCTATAGCTCATGTCTTTCATAAGTGGGAACACGTCCTGGGTGTCACTTACAGGATTCCCCGAACGCAAAAAAGTCTTGCTCCAGGAATTCTCCATCTTGACCGGTTGCTGGCTGCATGGTACCGTCACGCTTTAGAGCATCGTTACTCGGATTGTCATCCCAAACACCTGTGGAATGCAGAGATTAGAAATTAGATCTGTTGGAAACTGTAACCAAATAAGTACAAGGCAGTTTGAAGAGGCTATTTTTGTTTTAATGAATTACAGGGAAGTGGTTACTTTACCGAATATTCCTTTGGTATGTCGCTTGAAGTGCGGGTTCAGCAGGACAGTGATGTCACCAATACCGTTATTTGCACTGACCAACAACTGGACGCCGGCGTTGTACGTCATCTTAAGCTCCAACGGATTCGTTTTCTTGGACGCTCTGAAAGCGCCAATCTTCAATGCTAACATGAACAAAGGAAGACCATAATTTATTTTTTTGCCATAAAAAATTCAGTCAAAAATTATTGATCGTAGTACCCTCAGCTAATGGATTGGGCCCACCCACTAACCGTATTGGGTACGCTGGATGGTTGGGGGTAGAAAGCTGTCAAAAATAAACAGGAGGACACAGACACGAGTCTTTACCGAGTGAAGTACTCGTGATGTTTTTTCTTACAAGCATATAAGGGGCAAAACCAAAAATAGAAATTAAAGGATTCGCCTCACTGACAAAGTTGACACAATCAATAGGGAAAGTTTTCCATTTGTATTAGGTTGGTAGGTACACTACAATAATTAAATGTTTCTCAATCCATTCCTTTTTACAATTAAGTGAAAGGGTGTACATTTTAGCTGGACCACTCTCACCTGTGATGTCACCAACTTCAATGCCTATTCAATGCCTATTCGCTGCTTAACCCAGATTCAGCATGTCCAGGTGAGAGAGGCCAAAGTAAAATCTACACCCTTTCACTTAATTGATTGCATTTCGGGATCTAGGGACCCAAATGGAATGGGGGTAAAAAGGAGTGGATTGAGAAATATTCAGGCTTTAATGTAATGTATAATTTCATTAAAGAAAAAAAAAACATTTAACAGTTTTAATTATTTGTTTTCTAAATGTTTTTTTCCTCTAAACTCTGCATTATTTTTGGCCGCATGCAGTCAATGACATGCAAAGTCATTTTTCGTTTCTTTGCCGTTAGCACGTACTCGTCCTTATAGGAGTGTTCGCCGATCGTAAATTACTCCCACGGTATCAACACACTGCTCACTCCAGAGAGGTTTGGCTGGCAGCTAGTTTCCAAAAAAGTTATAAAATCAGCGAGTTAAGGCCCAAATGAGGTCTAATTTCCAGTTTGAGGTACACAGCTCATGTTTCGAAGGACCCAAAATACTTACTCTCTTCTGTTAGAGTGACAATATTCCCGTTGATTGTCGTGATGAAGTCTGTGGCTTCGGCGTTCAGCCTCATTTCAATCTGTAATAAAAAAAGTGGTTGTGCTTAAGAAACCCCACAAATAAGAGTCCGAAATAGATCACTACTCAAGTCAAATTCTTTGATACTGATTGATTTCATATTGTTCACATAAATCTGATAGATAAATTTGTGTAAAGCCTATTATTATAAAAAAAAATTGAAAAATCGCTTTTTCAAGACCTTCGAAATTTCACTTACTCTTGCTTCACCAACCAACTCTGCAGCGAATGCTGAATAGTACGTGGCGTCGGCGAGTTGTTGTGTTTTGGAGTTCTTGGCCCGCTTGGTTCGGCCTTGCAACTCGAACTGTCTTTGCCCGGCGTCATCGTCGATCTGAAGCAGGGTGTATTCTCCGAGACCGTTGAAGGTGTAGTCGACACCGTCCAGGATTCTCACGTGGGGGTCTCCACTCGACCAAGCTGAAGCAAAATTAAACAAGATGTAGGTCTCAAGCGTTCACTTTTATTAACGTGTGTGCTGGTACATGCTTGGGGTGATCGAAGCAGCGTAGGCACTACAGAAGGGTGGGGATCGAGGGGGTTCGGGTGGGGCTCACGGTGGGGGTTGGGTGGGGGTTCATTGTGGGGTCTGAAATTGATGTGCCCAACTTTTCGAGTCTAATTGAAGAAGCTTCAAACCGGTGGGGTTGCATGGGGCACTTTGGGGTCTCATTGTCTATGGCGGAACTCTCTTCCGGTTGAAAGCAATAAAAAGCTCACTTATGCCTTCCTAAAAATTCTGGGCAAGAGAGGGGACGCTCAAAAGGGAAGGGGATAAGTTTCGACTAAGGGGAAGCATGTCCCCGCCTTCCTGTTTTTAAAACATGGATTTGCTTATATCTAAGCAAATCCATTTTAGTTTGAAACAGAAAAAAATATACTTACTCCACTTGTATGGTAGAAAGTTTGCGCATGTCATGGGCGTTCGCCTCCGAGTGTAAACATCACAGAGATCGGACAAGTCACAGCAGTAGTAACGAGCCATCACCTCCTCAGCTGGTACATGAGAAAAAAACACCAAAAAATACACCTGATTGATATAATTGATTGATAAATCTGGAAGTTCTGGACAACAATCACAGTGCTTTATACCGACAGAGGTACCCCAAACCACTGACACTGGAAAATGATGCGTGGAGTGGTTAATCCTATTCTGAAACCTTGTGTTTATAGGTGGATTGCATTCAGCAGACATCCTTGAGGTTTTTTTAAACATTTATTCATTAACAATAGATGCACAAAGTCTATTCGTAGTTTCCTTATAAAACAATAGCGCAAACCTCAAAGATAGATGCAGTGAAAACGATCTATTGTCCTCATACTCGTATACTCGAACTCGATCTCGAATATCAAAATACTCGGACTCGAATATCAAAATACTCGGACTCGAATTCACGGTACTCGTTCGCGAGAAGCAAAGTACTGGAACTCGACTATTCAATATCGAATTCATCAAAGTACTCGTACTCCATTATAAGGACTCGGGGAAAATCGAATACTTTAGTTTTGAGTGAAAAATATCTCCTCATTATTTCTATGCAGCGAGACAGAATTGGCTTTCAACAATTGTTATTCAAAAGTAGTTCGTAACATCCATGTTGCTGAATTTGGTGTTTCAGTTTCAACTCATTACTTGACATTTGAATTGTTTTCACTTATGTATTCCATAAAGTACAGTCACTCGGACTCGGGTACCTGTACTCGTTGTCAGAGGTCAGAGTACTCGGATGCGAGTGGCACTCGGATAAAAAAAAGTACTCGACTATAACAGAGGAGAACATTGAACTGTAAGATAATTGCCACACTTGATAAATATCAAATTCAATAAGCCATTTGCGAGTTAAATTTGAATAAAATCTGGAACGCTGACTTAATCCAATGCTTTGCACATTTTAACTTTGCATTCTCCCGACCAAAGAGACTGTTACTACATCACGTGATTCGGGGCAAGCCTTATGCTAGCAACACCCAGCTCTGGCATGGTCTGGTGTCTTTGTGCCATTCTCACCCATTGTGAGCGATGTATTGATGCTGAGCGTCTCTTACGTAACTATGCAAGAGCTTGCCCCGAATCATGTGATTAGCAACAGTGTCTTTGGTCTGGAGAATTCAAAGTTAAAATGTGCCAAGCATTCTGAGCAAGTCAGTGTACCAGATGTTATTGAAATGTAAATCCCAAAGGGTATAGGTTACTCGCAAATGGCTTATTCTCCTTCCTTGGACTTGTTTTTTATCCATCAGTTTTGTTGCAGTCCAGCTGTGGTGCAATTATAACAGACAAAAATAATATGAATTTTATCACTACATGCTATTCAAAGATGCTGACTTCAACTCTTAAAAGTGACACTCACACATCCAGCTTTGGTCGTCTGAATTGGAGGAGGAGGATGGGAGAGGGAACTCCTCGAAGACCGAGGCAAAGCCACCGCTGCACACACCGATGACAAAACTACCAGTATCCATGTAGCAACATTTAGGTGCCGGCAGGCCGTCCAGCTGATTCACATGCACAAAGCAAATGGCTTCTAAAATGAAAACAACCCAAAGAAAAAAGAAAAGTAAATTGACTAATTTAAGAACTGATACTCTTATTTAATAAGAAGTATGATTCTCACCAGATTCTGATCAAGCTAACTAGATGTGCTACTTTATTCTAACACAAGTTTTCAATTTTCTTGATTTTGTTAATGAAATAAACCTCAACCTGGGCACAGATTCAATTCAAAAACTAACTAGAAAGCACTCAGAGAACGCAAACCTCTGCCAAGGCTAAACAATTCCCCGCCGTATTGTCAGTACACCAAAAAGAAATGCTCGCATGAATGGTGAAGAATCCTTAACAAAATCCTTGATCCAGATTCGGATCACTTCCAAACTCTAATCGACTTGTACTTGTACCAAGATCACCCCTTAAATGTTGTTCATGCAAATCCGTCCATAGCTTTGTGAGTTATCTTGTTTACAGACAATCCAACCAACCAACCAACAAACTAACCGAATCCGATGAAAACATAACCTACTTGGCGGAGGTAAAAATTGGTGATCAGTTTTTCCCTTAATGTGCTCATTTTTGTGATCTAAATATTTCAGTGACCTGGACTTTGTGCACTGAAGGGTCCTTAAATGAAATTTGAGCAAATTTACCATTTTCTGCCTGCCCTGGTAGCCGATCGGTCGCGTTGACAAGCACGAAGCGTGGATCCAGCAGGGCCATGTCGTAGCTACACGGGCAAGTGTGGGCCGACTCCTCGAAGCGTGCCTGGAAAGAGCCGTCTCGCGTCTGGCGACTGTTCCAGTCCAGGCAGTACTGGCGCGGGTTGACATAGTCCTCGGCCAGTGTGTCGGTGCGGTAGACCCATCGGCCTCGCACCCCGGAGTTGCCGATGACGCTGTCGGGACGGAAGAGCGAATCGCCGGTGAGGGGCAGGTGGACGTTCTTGCCCGCGGAGCCTCCGTATGTGAAACCCTGGATGACGTTCTTGTTGGGGAGGAAGTCTGGGTCCCAGTTCATGCTGCCAGGACCGTAGTTGAGGATGGCAAAGCTGTGCCTACCGTCCGTCACAAGCGCCGCTTGAAATGTATTAGTCTCCTGGAGAATAGATTCAATTAAAATCATGCCACCACTAGAAGTAAGGTCTTTTTAAGCATTTCAGTGGATTTTACATTTGAAAATTGTTACTTTAGCTAGACTCTATTTTTTAAAAAACAAATTATAAATGGAAACTAATGAGATGCATTATAATAATTTTGAAGTTAAACGAAGAAATTGACTAAGCGGGGTTTGAACCTGCGCCCACTGGATTGTCATTCCGGTGCTAGCTACCAACTGAGCTATCCAGCCATTTGTGTTGGCGGTTCCCAATTTGTCCCAATTTGTTCAATTTGCGCTATGGAGAGACGCCATAAACCCGTAGCCATGCATATAGCCAGGGATCACGCCCAAAGTCACAAAGCTATAGCAACTTTTAGGAAATAGCAAACGGGCATCACTCAAAGAGGATACTTTTTTTTTATTACAAACTTATCAAATAAACCACAAAGGGAAACTGACTGGGTGCATTAATAGTATTTAGACTGTTTTAGATAACAAAAAAGTTGTCAAGTTTCTAACGGATGCATTTTAGTGGCATTTTGTGTTTGAATTTTATTTAATACAAAATTATGGGTAGAAAACAAAATTTGGCGAAATATGGAACTTACATTGGATAATGATGAAACGGCTTGGACGTTACTCCAGGTTACAACCAAGGCCCATACTGCCGAGAAGTTACCGTACTGAGCCCCGTGCTCAGGGTGATCTGATATCATAGAGCCGACAAGATCCAAGATGTCAATGTCACCGCCAGACCAGGCAGTGGTTCGATTAGCCTCGGTGTACACCTGTCAGAGAAGTAGCATCATATTGTTTAAGCCTTTAAAAGTATGACAATAGGAGATAGTGATTGTCAAAATCTTACATATGAAATTGCATTTGTAGCTATTTCTTGGCAAACGCATTCCTTTGCTATGTTCATCCACTGTTACTGTGACTGGACTTGTGAATGGACTTATAATGGAATTGACTATATAATTATATCTGCCCGGTAGGATTAATCAGTTTTGATATCGGGGCCTTATTTCACGTAGAAAATATTTATTATTTGATTATTAAGTAAGTATCAGCTGAGACCCACTAATGAAGAGCATCAAAAATTGCATGGCATTTTAAGGTCCAAGGGTGGAAACTGGATTGATAAGACTAACGAAAACTAGCCACATAGGCTTGGTCAATACAGACAGTTTGAAACATTTACTTAATTGAAACTTTATTGGATCTCTAGCTCGAAAAAAACCCACACGACTAATCAACTCACGTGGTAGAAAACATTCCTTGTTTCGTCCAACTCAGTCGCACTGACATCCGCCCAAAACGGAGCAATCATTTCTACGTCACCAGGGAAGTTGCTGCTCCGGGCGCTGGGGAAGAATCCTTTGTCAAAGCCTTCGTCGTTGGTCAGAATGATCACGCCATTGTCTGTGAACTATTGAGGGAAAACCAATACAATTATTGCAACTTGAATCACACATAATCTTCTGGGTTTTTTTCTCACAAGCCTCGGCTTGATTAAACAGCCTCATGCTCTTTTTATTTTCTTGTACATAACTCATAATTTAGTTCCAAGCGGATATTACTATTTATTATTATTATATTCGATATATAGGTATTTTTTTATTTTCCTATTTACCAAATTTTCTTTTATTATCGATGTATTTTCCAAAAGGAGTATGGATTAAATGTCTTCCTGAATTGAATTGAATGGAATTGAATATAATGTATTGATTATTCCCAACATTGAGTGCATAGAATTGTAGACGACTTGTTTGTCCTTGTCCATAGTGTATGTTTGTTTGTCTGTCCGTTGTAGTTCGGCAAGCCTCACATAAGCAAATTTGTTTGGGCTACCTCAGCTTTACTGGACTTTATTATTCTTTTTAAATACATTTTATTGTTATACGCTCACTGTGCCACGTAGAGGATATAAACGTTCCGAATAAAACTAATTAAACATGAACATTTTTGAAAAATTATTAACCGCTCATATTCGTCACCGTGAAGTGACACTAAAATAAAAAAATCATTATTTTACGATTTCGATTTTTTTCCTGATTTGCGATTAATTACACATAATCTATCACCTCAAGAAGTTACTGAACACATAGTTAATTAGTTTTGTCAAAACATTAATTAACATTAATGAACGTTTGCAACTTAATGGGTCAAAACCGGAAAATGCATTTTCACGAAGTGTACTATACCATTCTTTTGCATGTAAACTGCCTGCACACTACGCGTCAAAAACGGGTTTTGCATTTTCACGAAGTAACACAAATGTCACGTGATACGCGCTACTCACTTCTGGCGTCATCACGAAGTAGCGCTAACCCATTAGCTAATACACATGGTTAGCGTCACTTCATGAAAACTCGAACAGCGCGTATTCTGATTTTAGAGTTTTTACGAAGTGACATTAAGGTTAATTAGTTGATAACTCATTAATATTATTTGTTTTCAATAAAACTCATACATAAACGTGACATTCAAGATCCCAGCTTTCAGACAATGTAAAAAAATATGAATTTTGAGGCTAATACGATGTTCAGATCACCGTTTCAAAACATCACCAACTTAAATCGCTTGTATCTCGAAACACACATTTTCCACTTCGCGGGGGTTAAGGTCACTTCGTGGTGTCGGTGAGGTACACTTAGCATCAAGTGCCTGGTGGGTGGCGTGTTGGTGAAGGTATACATTGGGATTATTGTCACTAGAATTGTGAAACTACATGATGCGGGTCGATAAGCTGTCTCTTACTGGACAACAAAAGAAAATCCAAAACTGCCACCCGATACTAACATATATCTTGTCCTTGAGATTATCCCCATACGGGAAGTAATATGGCGGGTTGAAGGTTGGCGACACCAAATCTTTCTCTGATGGGTTTCCAGACTGTTCAGACAACAAAAACATAATACTGATTCATATTATCTTGAAATATAAGAAACTAAAGCAGGCGAAATGCTGCTGCAGAACTGAAAAGATATAGGCCACTTTAAAGGGAATATACAACATTTGCAAACATCGACAAATAAAACTACCAAGTTTTTACGAAATACCTCACTAGGATGTTGGTTAATGACAGTCTAAAGCATCCTGTAAAATTATGGCACTTGGTGTGAAGTCATTTTCAAGAAAATGGTATTTTTGTATAAATTTCCAACGGTGGTCGGCCGACCACCGTTGGAAAAACCTAACTATTTTTCAACTACTGCTCCAAATTTACCATTTTGTTCAGTCAAACTTTTGTTTGCTATTGGTTACATGTTCATGAACGGGTGCAGGCCAGCTAGACTGGTTCCCTGACCTAACAATTTTCCGGCATCTATAAATTGATCCATTTCATCTTTAGTGGAGTCAGGGAACCAGACTACTTGAACGGTTTTTGTTTTTCTTGGCTTTTCCAGCATTTTTGAACACAAAACTTCAAACATGTCAGTGTAACAATATTTGATCTATTATACCAACCCCTCAAATAGTTCATTTTTAAAAATAACAGCAAAAGCCAATGATGTACATTCCCTTTAAAGTAAAATAAAAGAAGCGTAAATGGGTGAGAATCGAACCTCTTGCTAACTGGTGGTGACATTTTATTACTTAAACATAGAGCTTGCCGGTGTTGGATTGCCTGATCACATGCAATATACAATTCCATATCAAAATCAATGACTTGAAATGTTAACATCGGGTTGATTTTGCATTTGTTTTAATACCTGTTGGGCTGCAAGTGAAAGCAATTCATCGCCAGCCCCTGCCCCGAATGGAATCTGACCAAGTTCTGTTAAAAGAAAAAAATCAGAGAAAAACATTATCTATGGGAAAACACAAATTTCAGGTTTTGCTTGTCTAACCAAGCATTAGATTGACTGTATTTGAAATAACGATTATCATTATTCATCGCCAACATTATTGGTAAGGAAGAGGCTTGGTATAACAACCGAAAACTTTACCTAGCCATGAGTAAAGTGTCAGACAGCCTTTAACGCACTACCACGAGATATTTAAATCTCAAATCTCACCCGGATTAGGGCCGTGGCATATGGGGACGAAGTCCGGGCAACAGTCACCGAAATCTTCACAGTCAGCGTCACAAAAGCATCCTCCTTGACTGCCATCTGAGTAACAGCGCTGGCTACAGGAAGCTATAATAGTGGAAGGAATAATGAATGCTAAACATTTTTTAAACTAAACTAGGATCCAAAAGTAGAAATCTTCTCTACCCTGAAAATGACAAAATCCAGTTTTAAAAATGTTCTGCCACCGCCGATTGGCGTATTACATGTGCAGGTGTTAGTAAAAATTATACTCGCTTGTTAAGTACACAATACGACCCCAATTTAAATCGTTCAGTCGCCAAAGGTTCATGAATTTGCTTTGTTTCATCTCAAAGGCCTTTTCGTGACCGTAGACTTGAGTCAAGGCGTATGGCAACCCGGACACGAAAAAAATACAATGCAAGTGGCAGGCTCGTTGGCTCCGGGCGCCGTCATCAGGGGTGTAATTCCCGGGGTGGGGGTGGGGGTGGGGGTGGGGTGGGGGTATATACCCCCACACTTTTTGACTGCGGGGATGGGCTACTGAATCATCCCCCACTTTTTGTGATGAGAAAAAAAATGAGGATTTTGAGGTTTTTTCCGAACGCCCCAGCAACTAAAATGTATTCAACAGCACTGGAAAGTGGAGAAACAAAGTACACAAGCTTTTAAAAATGTAAGCGCGAGTATACACAATTGATAAAGAGCGTCCAAGTATAATGTGGTGTCCAGCCCGGCCCCCCCCCCTTTTTTGGAATGGCCACGGCCGGGCAATTTGGGCGTTTCACGGGCCACCAAGAGTTTGCTACGGAGAGTTCATTTTTTCTCGTGCATAGTGGGCGATGGTCGGCGACAAATTCGCAGCGCGGGACATTTCAAATTGTTCCGGTCAGTAGTTTCATAAGCGTATGATTCGAGTACAACTTTTTCTTTTCTTTGTATCAATATGGTGTTTTTAGTAAGGCGGCAGAACGCTATACCAGAATTTGTAACCACTTAGCTATAGTTGTTTGATGACACTCATTTAGCATGACAGCATAACATTCTTTAGGATTTTGGTCATCCCCCATCCGCCCCTACTCGCCAGCAAAGAATTACGCCACTGGCTTTTAAACCTAGAGTGAAATTTTCAATATGTACAGCTGTAGCTGTCAACCCCCGTATATGAAACGTCGACTTCGCGCGGCAGCTTGTGCCGACATGACAGAATGTACAATCTTTTGACATGGGTTTCAGAACCGGGATTTTAGCTTCGCGGAGTTTTGAACAGCGGTGTTATTTACATTCTCCACTTTGTTCTTACTCCCTCTTCCTTTCCCCTTCCTTCTCCACTTTTTCTTTGGAACACTGGTGCCTTGGGCCTACGGAACACTTAATCCGGGCCTGGACAGGATACGACAGGACACAAGACACAATACCACAAACCTTTTTTTTTGCTTATCGGCAAACGTTGAAAAAAAAAATGGTCCTTGATGATGATTAAAAACAGTCTTCGACTTTCTACTTTTAAAGTCACTGGGAAAGGTCGTGCTACTATAATCACCTGTTCCAGGGACGTCATTTTCTGATGTGCGTGTGCAAACAGAAGTGAAGTCGGAACAGCAGTTATTGGAGTTTGCACACTCTGAGTCGCAGTAACATCCTCCTTGACTGCCTGAGGTGTAACATCGATTAACGCAGGTTGCTGAAACCGAATGATTATTGATAAGTCTCCAACGAATTGAGGGAGTGACGGGTGAACCTTAAAATGCTCACTATAACAAAAACTGCATGCTGAGTTTATCCCGAAAGAAGAAACACATTTTACTAGATGTGATCAGAGCGAAGTATTAAAAAAATAAAGAGTTTACCTGATATTGGTTACACACAAACCTCCAGGAAGCTGAAATATTATTGCAGTTTTGGCACATGGCATCTCAATAAAATCCATCTTTACTGCCCACTGATAACATATTATTGAATCTGCTGAAACGAGGTTGTTATTATAGGTGGATTTAAATGACCTTCTCAGCCAGACAGCCTGAATGAGTTACTTAATAATTCATAAAGTTTCAATGGCAGACCTGACTGGAGCCAAATCTGCAACACACATATTGCCTTCCAAGATAAGCAATGGATTGTGCAATCTCTGCGACATGATAGCACAGTGAGAAGATAACTAAGGATGCAACAGTGCAAATAAATTCCCATAGACACTAGTGCTAAATGCCCATACTTCAAAATATACTACATTGCATACCTTCTGGGCCGCCATCGCCTGGTGAGGCAGTAGTTGGCCCTTGGTCATCTCCTGATGTTGGTCCTGACAAATGAACGTATGTAATAACTTAAAATGGCTACTAATAAAATCATACTGCGATTACAAAGCATTTAAAAGAATACAAATTGGAAATAAAATACTACATTTTATAATGATATACTAAGACGAAAACGAATACTCTCATTGAACTAGTAAAGCAATAAAAAAAATACTAAATTTTTAGAGGAACATGTTTAATAACATTTTGCATACATCCAGTGCTAATATCACCTGATGAGGCAGTAGTTTCCACTTGATCAGTTACTGTAGTGGTTCCCGAGAAATGAAAAAGAGGATTTAAAAGGACGAAAAGTTGAAACAAATAAAAATACAACATTTTATGATATACTACACATTGCATACCTCCTTGGCCGCCATCGCCTGGTGAGGCAGTAGTTGGCCCTTGGTCATCTCCTGATGTCGGTCCTGAGAAATGAATATATGTAATAACTTAAAATGGCTACTAATAAAATCATACTGCGATTACAAAGCATTTAAAAGAAAAAAATTTGGAAATAAAATACTACATCTTATAATGATATACTAAAACGAAAATAAATGCTCTCATTGAACTAGTCAACAACAAAAAAAATACTAAATTTTTAGAGGAACATGTTTAATAACATTTTGCATACATCCAGTGCTATTATCACCTGATGAGGCAGTAGTTTCCATCTGATCAATTACTGTAGTGGGTCCCGAGAAATGAAAAAGAGGATTTAAAAGAATGAAAAGTTGAAACAAATAAAAATACAACATTTTATAAAGATATCCTACACATTGCATACCTCCTGGGCCGCCATCGCCTGGTGAGGCAGTAGTTGGCCCTTGGTCATCTCCTGATGTCGGTCCTGACAAATGAAAATATGTAATAACTTAAAATGGCTACTAATAAAATCATACTGCGATTACAAAGCATTTAAAAGAATACAAATTGGAAATAAAATACTACATTTTATAATGATATACTATGACGAAAACGAATACTCTCATTGAACTAGTAAAGCAATAAAAAAAATACTAAATTTTTAGAGGAATATGTTTAATAACATTTTGCATACATCCAGTGCTAATATCACCTGATGTGGCAGTAGTTTCCATTTGACCAGTTACTGTAGTGGGTCCCGAGAAATGAAAAAGAGGATTTAAAAGAATGAAAAGTTGAAACAAATAAAAATACAACATTTTATAAAGATATCCTACACATTGCATACCTCCTGGGCCGCCATCGCCTGGTGAGGCAGTAGTTGGCCCTTGGTCATCTCCTGATGTTGGTCCTGACAAAAGAATATATGTAATAACTTAAAATGGCTACTAATAACATAATACTGTGATTACAAAGCATTTAAAAGAATACAAATTGGAAATAAAATAGTACATTTTATAATGATATACTATGACGAAAACGAATACTCTCATTGAACTAGTAGGCATAAAAAAATACTAAATTTTTAGAGGAACATGTTTAATAACATTTTGCATACATCCAGTGCTAATATCACCTGATGAGGCAGTAGTTTCCATTTGACCAGTTACTGTAGTGGGTCCCGAGAAATGAAAAAGAGGATTTAAAAGAACGAAAAGTTGAAACAAATATAATACATTTTATGATATACTACGAATTGCATACCTCCTGGGCCGCCATCGCCTGGTGAGGCAGTAGTTGGCCCTTGGTCATCTCCTGATGTCGGTCCTGACAAATGAATATATGTAATAACTTAAAATGGCTACTAATAAAATCATACTGCGATTACAAAGCATTTAAAAGAATACAAATTAGAAATAAAATACTACATTTTATAATGATATACTATGACGAAAACAAATACTCTCATTGAACTAGTAAAGCAATAAAAAAAATACTAAATTTTTAGAGGAACATGTTTAATAACATTTTGCATACCACCTGATGAGGCAGTATAGTTTCCATTTGATCAGTTACTGTAGTGGTTACCGAGAAATGAAAAAGAGGATTTAAAAGAAGGAAGAGTTGAAATAAATATAATACAACATTTTATGATGTACTACACATTGCACACCTCCTTGGCCGCCATTGCCTGGTGAGGCAGTAGTTGGCCCTTGGTCATCTCCTGATGTCGGTCCCGAGAAATGAATATATTTAATAACTTAAAATGGCTACTAATAAAATCATACTGCGATTACAAAGCATTTAAAAGAATACAAATTAGAAATGAAATACTACATTTTATAATGATATACTATGACGAAAACGAATACTCTCATTAAACTAGTAAAGCAATAAAAATTTTTTTTTTTTTAGAGGAACATGTTTAATAACATTTTGCATACATCCAGTGCTAATATCACCTGATGAGGCAGCAGTTTCCATTTGATCAGTTACTGTAGTGGTTCCCGAGAAATGAAAAAGAGGATTTAAAAGAATGAAAACTTCAAACAAATAAAAATACGACATTTGATGAAGATATCCTACACATTGCATACCTCCTTGGCCGCCATCGCCTGGTGAGGCAGTAGTTGGCCCTTGGTCATCTCCTGATGTCGGTCCTGACAAATGAATATATGTAATAACTTAAAATGGCTACTAATAAAATCATACTGCGATTACAAAGCATTTAAAAGAATACAAATTGGAAATAAAATACTACATTTTATAATGATATACTATGACGAAAACGAATACTCTCATTGAACTAGTAAAGCAATAAAAAAAATACTAAATTTTTAGAGGAACATGTTTAATAACATTCTGCATACATCCAGTGCTAATATCACCTGATGAGGCAGTAGTTTCCATTTGATCAGTTGTTGTAGTGGTTCCCGAGAAATGAAAAAGAGGATTTAAAAGAATGAAAAGTTGAAACAAATAAAAATACAACATTTTATGATAAACTACACATTGCATACCTCCTTGGCCACCATCGCCTGGTGAGGCAGTAGTTGGCCCTTGGTCATCTCCTGATGTCGGTCCTGACAAATGAATATATGTAATAACTTAAAATGGCTACTAATAAAATCATACTGCGATTACAAAGCATTTAAAAGAATACAAATTAGAAATAAAATACTACATTTTATAATGATATACTATGACAAAAACGAATACTCTCATTGAACTAGTAAAGCAATAAAAAAAATACTAAATTTTTAAAGGAACATGTTTAATAACATTTTGCACACATCCAGTGCTAATATCACCTGATGAGGCAGTAGTTTCCATTTGATCAGTTACTGCAGTGGTTCCCGAGAATTTATAAAGAGGATTTAAAAGAATGAAAAGTTGAAACAAATAAAAATACAACATTTTATGATATACTACACATTGCATACCTCCTTGGCCGCCATCGCCTGGTGAGGCAGTAGTTGGCCCTTGGTCGTCTCCTGATGTCGGTCCTGACAAATGAATATATGTAATAACTTAAAATGGCTACTAATAAAATCATACTGCGATTACAAAGCATTTAAAAGAATAAAAATTAGGAATAAAATACTACATTTTATAATGATATACTATGACGAAAACAAATACTCTCATTGAACGAGTAAAGCAATAAAAAAAATACTAAATTTTTAGAGGAACATGTTTAATAACATTTTGCATTCATCCAGTGCTAATATCACCTGATGAGGCAGTAGTTTCCATTTGATCAGTTACTGTAGTGGTTCCAAAGATGAAAAAGAGGATTTAAAAGAATGAAAAGTTGAAACAAATAAAAATACAACATTTTATGATATACTACACATTGCATACCTTCTGGGCCGCCATCGCCTGGTGAGGCAGTAGTTGGCCCTTGCTCGTCTCCTGATGTCGGTCCTGACAAATGAATATATGTAATAACTTAAAATGGCTACTAATAAAATCATACTGCGATTACAAAACATTGAAAAGAATACAAATTTGAAATCAAATACATTTTATAATGATATACTATGACGAAAACGAATACTCTCATTGAACTAGTAAAGCAATCATAAAAATACTAATATTTTAGAGGAACATGTTAAATAACATTTTGCATACATCCAGTGCTAATATCACCTGATGAGGCAGTAGTTTCCATTTGATCAGTTACTGTAGTGGTTCCAAAGATGAAAAAGAGGATTTAAAAAAACGAAAAGTTGAAACAAATAAAAATACAACATTTTATGATATACTACACATTGCATACCTTCTGGGCCGCCATCGCCTGGTGAGGCAGTAGTTGGCCCTTGCTCGTCTCTTGATGTCGATCCTGACAAATGAATATATGTAATAACTTAAAATGGCTACTAATAAAATCATACTGCGATTACAAAACATTTAAAAGAATACAAATAGGAAATAAAATACTACATTTTATAATGAGATACTATGACAAAACGAATACTCTCATTGAACTAGTAAAGCAATAAAAAAAATACTAAATTTTTAGAGGAACATGTTTAATAACATTTTGCATACATCCAGTGCTAATATCACCTGATGAGGCAGTAGTTTCCATTTGATCAGTTACTGTAGTGGTTCCCGAGAAATGAAAAACAGGATTTAAAAGAATGAAAAATTGAAACAAATAAAAATACAACATTTTTTGATATACTACACATTGCATACCTTCTGGGCCGCCATCGCCTGGTGAGGCAGTAGTTGGCCCTTGCTCATCTCCTGATGTCGGTCCTGACAAATATATATATGTAATAACTTAAAATGGCTACTAATAAAATCATACTGCGATTACAAAACATTTAAAAGAATACAAATTGAAAATAAAATACTACATTTTATAATGATATACTATGACAAAAACGAATACTCTCATTGAACTAGTAAAGCAATAAAACAAATACTAAATTTTTAGAGGAACATGTTTAATAACATTTTGCATACATCCAGTGCTAATATCACCTGATGAGGCAGTAGTTTCCATTTGATCAGTTACTGTAGTGGTTCCCGAGAAATGAAAAAGAGGATTTAAAAGAATGAAAAGTTGAAACAAATAAGAATACAATATTTTATGATATACTACACATTGCATACCTTCTGGGCCGCCATCGCCTGGTGAGGCAGTAGTTGGCCCTTGCTCGTCTCCTGATGTCGGTCCTGACAAATAAAGATATGTAATACCTTAAAATGGCTCCTAATAAAATCATACTGCGATTACAAAGCATTTAAAAGAATACAAATTAGAAATAAAATACTACATTTTATAATGATATACTATGACAAAAACGAATACTCTCATTGAACTAGTAAAGCAATAAAAAAAATACTAAATTTTTAAAGGAACATGTTTAATAACATTTTGCACACATCCAGTGCTAATATCACCTGATGAGGCAGTAGTTTCCATTTGATCAGTTACTGCAGTGGTTCCCGAGAATTTATAAAGAGGATTTAAAAGAATGAAAAGTTGAAACAAATAAAAATACAACATTTTATGATATACTACACATTGCATACCTCCTTGGCCGCCATCGCCTGGTGAGGCAGTAGTTGGCCCTTGCTCATCTCCTGATGTCGGTCCTGACAAATATATATATGTAATAACTTAAAATGGCTACTAATAAAATCATACTGCGATTACAAAACATTTAAAAGAATACAAATTGAAAATAAAATACTACATTTTATAATGATATACTATGACAAAAACGAATACTCTCATTGAACTAGTAAAGCAATAAAACAAATACTAAATTTTTAGAGGAACATGTTTAATAACATTTTGCATACATCCAGTGCTAATATCACCTGATGAGGCAGTAGTTTCCATTTGATCAGTTACTGTAGTGGTTCCCGAGAAATGAAAAAGAGGATTTAAAAGAATGAAAAGTTGAAACAAATAAGAATACAATATTTTATGATATACTACACATTGCATACCTTCTGGGCCGCCATCGCCTGGTGAGGCAGTAGTTGGCCCTTGCTCGTCTCCTGATGTCGGTCCTGACAAATAAAGATATGTAATACCTTAAAATGGCTCCTAATAAAATCATACTGCGATTACAAAGCATTTAAAAGAATACAAATTAGGAATAAAATACTACATTTTATAATGATATACTATGACGAAAACGAATACTCTCATTGAACTAGTAAAGCAATAAAAAAAATACTAAATTTTTAGGGAAACATGTTTAATAACATTTTGCATACATCCAGTGCTAATATCACCTGATGAGGCAGTAGTTTCCATTTGATCAGTTACTGTAGTGGTTCCAAAGATGAAAAAGAGGATTTAAAAGAACGAAAAGTTTAAACAAATAAAAATACAACATTTTATGATATACTACACATTGCATACCTTCTGGGCCGCCATCGCCTGGTGAGGCAGTAGTTGGCCCTTGCTCGTCTCCTGATGTTGATCCTGACAAATGAATATATGTAATAACTTAAAATGGCTACTAGTAAAATCATACTGCGATTACAAAACATTTAAAAGAATACAAATAGGAAATAAAATACTACATTTTATAATGATATACTATGACAAAACGAATACTCTCATTGAACTAGTAAAGCAATAAAAAAAATACTAAATTTTTAGAGGAACATGTTTAATAACATTTTGCATACATCCAGTGCTAATATCACCTGATGAGGCAGTAGTTTCCATTTGATCAGTTACTGTAGTGGTTCCCGAGAAATGAAAAACAGGATTTAAAAGAATGAAAAATTGAAACAAATAAAAATACAATATTTTATGATATACTACACATTGCATACCTCCTTGGCCGCCATCGCCTGTTGAGGCAGTCGTGGGCCCGAAGTCATCTCCTGATGTTGGTCCTGACAAATGAATATATGTAATAACTTAAAATGGCTACTAATAAAATCATACTGCGATTACAAAGCATTCAAAAGAATACAAATTAGAAAATAAAATACTACATTTTATTATGATATACTATGACGAAAACAAATACTCTCATTGAACTAGTAAAGCAATAAAACAAATACTAAATTTTTAGAGGAACATGTTTAATAACATTTTGCATACATCCAGTGCTAATATCACCTGATGAGGCAGTAGTTTCCATTTGATCAGTTACTGTAGTGGTTCCCGAGAAATGAAAAAGAGGATTTAAAAGAATGAAAAGTTGAAACAAATAAAAATACAACATTTTATGATATACTACACATTGCATACCTTCTGGGCCGCCATCGCCTGTTGAGGCAGTAGTTGGCCCTTGCTCATCTCCTGATGTCGGTCCTGACAAATGAATATATGTAATAACTTAAAATGGCTACTAATAAAATCATACTGCGATTACAAAGCATTTAAAAGAATAAAAATTGGAAATAAAATACTACATTTTATAATGATATACTATGACGAAAACGAATACTCTCATTGAACTAGTAAAGCAATAATAAAAATACTAAATTTTTAGAGGAACATGTTTAATAACATTTTGCATACATCCAGTGCTAATATCACCTGATGAGGCAGTAGTTTCCATTTGATCAGTTACTGTAGTGGTTCCAAAGATGAAAAAGAGGATTTAAAAGAACGAGAAGTTGAAACAAATAAGAATACAACATTTTATGATATACTACACATTGCATACCTCCTTGGCCGCCATCGCCTGTTGAGGCAGTAGTTGGCCCTTGGTCATCTCCTGATGTCGGTCCTGACAAATGAATATATGTAATAACTTAAAATGGCTACTAATAAAATCATACTGCGATTACAAAGCATTTAAAAGAATAAAAATAGGAAATAAAATACTACATTTTTTAATGATATACTATGACAAAAACGAATACTCTCATTGAACTAGTAAAGCAATAATAAAAATACTAAATTTTTAGAGGACCATGTTTAATAACATTTTGCATACATCCAGTGCTAATATCACCTGATGAGGGAGTAGTTTCCATTTGATCAGTTACTCTAGTGGTTCCCGAAAATTGATAAAGAGGATTTAAAAGAATGAAAAGTTGAAACAAATAAAAATACAATATTTTATGATAAACTACACATTGCATACCTCCTTGGCCACCATCGCCTGGTGAGGCAGTAGTTGGCCCTTGGTCATCTCCTGATGTCGGTCCTGACAAATGAATATATGTAATAACTTAAAATGGCTACTAATAAAATCATACTGCGATTACAAAGCATTTAAAAGAATACAAATTGGAAATAAAATACTACATTTTATAATGATATACTATGACAAAAACGAATACTCTCATTGAACTAGTAAAGCAATAAAAAAAATACTAAATTTTTAAAGGAACATGTTTAATAACATTTTGCACACATCCAGTGCTAATATCACCTGATGAGGCAGTAGTTTCCATTTGATCAGTTACTGTAGTGGTTCCCGAGAATTTATAAAGAGGATTTAAAAGAATGAAAAGTTGAAACAAATAAAAATACAACATTTTATGATATACTACACATTGCATACCTCCTTGGCCGCCATTGCCTGGTGAGGCAGTAGTTGGCCCTTGGTCGTCTCCTGATGTCGGTCCTGACAAATAGATATATGTAATAACTTAAAATGGCTACTAATAAAATCATACTGCGATTACAAAACATTGAAAAGAATACAAATAGGAAATAAAATACTACATTTTATAATGATATACTATGACAAAACGAATACTCTCATTGAACTAGTAAAGCAATACAAAAATACTAAATTTTTAGAGGAACATGTTTAATAACATTTTGCATACATCCAGTGCTAATATCACCTGATGAGGGAGTAGTTTCCATTTGATCAGTTACCGCAGTGGTTCCAAAGATAAAAAAGAGGATTTAAAAGAACGAGAAGTTGAAACAAATAAAAATACAACATTTTATGATATACTATAAATTGCATACCTTCTGGGCCGCCATCGCCTGGTGAGGCAGTAGTTGGCCCTTGCTCCTCTCCTGATGTGGGTCCTGACAAATGAATATATGTAATAACTTAAAATGGCTACTAATAAAATCATACTGCGATTACAAAACATTGAAAAGAATACAAATAGGAAATAAAATACTACATTTTATAATGATATACTATGACAAAAACGAATACTCTCATTGAACTAGTAAAGCAATAAAAAAAATACTAAATTTTTAGAGGAACATGTTTAATAACATTTTGCATACATCCAGTGCTAATATCACCTGATGAGGCAGTAGTTTCCATTTGATCAGTTACTGTAGCGGTTCCCGAGAAATGAAAAAGAGGATTTAAAAGAATGAAAAGTTGAAACAAATAAAAATACAACATTTTATGATATACTACACAATGCATACCTCCTTGGCCGCCATCGCCTGTTGAGGCAGTAGTTGGCCCTTGGTCATCTCCTGATGTCGGTCCTGACAAATGAATATATGTAATAACTTAAAATGGCTACTAATAAAATCATACTGCGATTACAAAACATTGAAAAGAATACAAATTTGAAATCAAATACTACATTTTATAATGATATACTATGACGAAAACGAATACTCTCATTGAACTAGTAGAGCAATAATAAAAATACTAAATTTTTAGAGGAACATGTTTAATAACATTTTGCATACATCCAGTGCTAATATCACCTGATGAGGCAGTAGTTTCAATTTGATCAGTTACTGTAGTGGTTCCCGAGAAATGAAAAAGAGGATTTAAAAGAATGAAAAGTTGAAACAAATAAAAATACAATATTTTATGATATACTACACATTGCATACCTTCTGGGCCGCCATCGCCTGGTGAGGCAGTAGTTGGCCCTTGCTCGTCTCCTGATGTCGGTCCTGACAAATAAAGATATGTAATACCTTAAAATGGCTCCTAATAAAATCATACTGCGATTACAAAGCATTTAAAAGAATAAAAATTAGGAATAAAATACTACATTTTATAATGATATACTATGACGAAAACGAATACTCTCATTGAACTAGTAAAGCAATAAAAAAAATACTAAATTTTTAGGGGAACATGTTTAATAACATTTTGCATACATCCAGTGCTAATATCACCTGATGAGGCAGTAGTTTCCATTTGATCAGTTACTGTAGTGGTTCCAAAGATGAAAAAGAGGATTTAAAAGAACGAAAAGTTTAAACAAATAAAAATACAACATTTTATAAAGATATCCTACACATTGCATACCTCCTGGGCCGCCATCGCCTGGTGAGGCAGTAGTTGGCCCTTGGTCATCTCCTGATGTCGGTCCTGACAAATGAAAATATGTAATAACTTAAAATGGCTACTAATAAAATCATACTGCGATTACAAAGCATTTAAAAGAATACAAATTGGAAATAAAATACTACATTTTATAATGATATACTATGACGAAAACGAATACTCTCATTGAACTAGTAAAGCAATAAAAAAAATACTAAATTTTTAGAGGAATATGTTTAATAACATTTTGCATACATCCAGTGCTAATATCACCTGATGTGGCAGTAGTTTCCATTTGATCAGTTACTGTAGTGGGTCCCGAGAAATGAAAAAGAGGATTTAAAAGAATGAAAAGTTGAAACAAATAAAAATACAACATTTTATAAAGATATCCTACACATTGCATACCTCCTGGGCCGCCATCGCCTGGTGAGGCAGTAGTTGGCCCTTGGTCATCTCCTGATGTTGGTCCTGACAAAAGAATATATGTAATAACTTAAAATGGCTACTAATAACATAATACTGTGATTACAAAGCATTTAAAAGAATACAAATTGGAAATAAAATAGTACATTTTATAATGATATACTATGACGAAAACGAATACTCTCATTGAACTAGTAGGCATAAAAAAAATACTAAATTTTTAGAGGAACATGTTTAATAACATTTTGCATACATCCAGTGCTAATATCACCTGATGAGGCAGTAGTTTCCATTTGACCAGTTACTGTAGTGGGTCCCGAGAAATGAAAAAGAGGATTTAAAAGAACGAAAAGTTGAAACAAATATAATACATTTTATGATATACTACGAATTGCATACCTCCTGGGCCGCCATCGCCTGGTGAGGCAGTAGTTGGCCCTTGCTCATCTCCTGATGTCGGTCCTGACAAATGAAGATATGTAATAACTTAAAATGGCTACTAATAAAATCATACTGCGATTACAAAGCATTTAAAAGAATAAAAATTGGAAATAAAATACTTCATTTTATAATGATATACTATGTCAAAACGAATACTCTCATTGAACTAGTAAAGCAATAAAAAAAATACTAAATGTTTACAGGTGCATGTTTAATAACATGATGCATACCTCCAGTGCTAATATCACCTGATGAGGCAGTAGTTTCCATTTGATCAGTTATTGTAGTGGGTCCTGAGAATTGAAAAAGAGGATTTAAAAGAATGAAAAGTTGAAACAAATAAAAATACAACATTTTATAATGATATACTACACATTGCATACCTCCTTGGCCGCCATCGCCTGGTGAGGCAGTAGTTGGCCCTTGGTCATCTCCTGATGTCGGTCCTGACAAATGAAGATATGTAATAACTTTAAATGGCTACTAATAGAATCATACTGCGATTACAAAGCATTTAAAAGAATACAAATTGGAAATCAAATACTACATTTTATAATGATATACTATGACGAAAATGAATACTCTCATTCAACTAGTAAAGCAATAAAAAAAATTCTAAATTTTTAGAGGAACATGTTTAATAACATTTTGCATACATCCAGTGCTAATATCACCTGATGAGGCAGTAGTTTCCATTTGATCAGTTACTGTAGTGGTTCCCGAGAAATGAAAAAGAGGATTTCAAAGAACGAGAAGTTGAAACAAATAAAAATACAACATTTTATAAAGATATCCTACACATTGCATACCTCCTTGGCCGCCATCGCCTGGTGAGGCAGATGTCGGTCCTGACAAATGAATATATGTAATAACTTAAAATGGCTACTAATAACATCATACTGCGATTACAAAGCATTTAAAAGAATACAAATTGGAAATAAAATGCTACATTTTATAATGATATACTAAGACGAAAATGAATACTTTCATGGAACTAGTAAAGCAATAAAATAATAATACATTTTTACAGGTACATGTTTAATAATATTATGCATACCTCCAGTGCTAATATCACCTGATGAGGCAGTAGTTTCCATTTGATCAGTTACTGTAGTGGGTCCCGAGAAATTAAAAAGAGGATTTCAAAGAATGAAAAGTTGAAACAAATAATGAAAAAGAAATGAAACAGACAGACTATCTTCACACATGGATACTAAAATCTTTTGAGGTTATACGACTTGACTTGCCGAGAAAGATGGAATAGAATACTATCCCATTGAACTATAGCAGTCAAGCGAAAAACAACATCATGTGACCTACTTAAAAATGTGAAACATTGAATTGAAAAACTCCAATATCATACTGCTATAGGGAAGCAATTAAAAGTGTGCGTACAGAAATACAAATTTACTGAGAGAATATGATCAAAGTCATAGCCCAAGGTCTATAGTCAGAATGTATATACATGCAGTCTGAAATATATATTTCGTACCTTCAGAGTCAACAGCTGATGTTGAGTCATTACATGTATTTGTTTGTCCTGTAAACAGAAAAACAATGGAATCAAAATAATTCACTTTAGTGACAACATTGATTTTATCACTATAAGGCCAAAAAAAAAAAATAAGTCGGTCTCTGGTCAGCATGCGCGTCGATTTTAATCATGCGCGTCGATCTTGTTTTTTTCCAAAATGTTCAGCGGTAGCTCCAACAGCGCCCTCTATTTCCGCACCTCCTCAATTTTTTTTACCAAAGAGCACCAAGGAATGGGAAATTGCACCAAGGCAAATGATTGAAAGCACCAAGGCAAATTATGGAGGACACCAATGTACATGAGGACACCAAAAAAGCAAAATAGTACCCACCTTGTCTGTACAATCCAAGCTTGAAGAAAAGAAAAAAAAAGCTGCGTGGCCGAGTCAATTCCGGAACTTTGGTCTGACCAGAGACCGCATATTTTTTTTTTTTGGGCCTAATAAGCAGCAAATTTGGCAGTTGGCCGTTTTAGTGCCCATCTTTTGCATTGCACATAGTGTAATAGCATCTCACTACACTGCAGTACTTTCTTATGAAAATCGTTTATGTACAAACCCACGGTAAATTTTGTGACAAAAGGGGGTTCCAGAAATCATTCACATAGCCAATCAAGAGCCACGAATTTGAGTCAATGGCTGAGGAGGCTTGAGAGGGATACATTGCATTAACCGGCTAATCAAAGATCTTGTTCTGAGACACTTGGCAAAGCCTGGCAGTGGGCCAATGAGAGGTATAGGATTGGCTCACCTAGAGCCGTAGAAAGTTGAGGCGGGATGAAAAATTTGCTATGATGTCATTTTTGTCTCAGGCTTTGAAGGAATAGCTTGTACTGTATAGTGGATAACAGAATTCACTGGACCATCATACCCACAAAAAAACCATCTGGTACTGAGGCATGCACACACACAATCCTCTTGCGTTTGCCTGTAGTTCATTTTTGTCGGCTTATAATTAGCGTCATGTTGGTGGATGTACATGTATAGGATATACGGTACGTACTCTAAATCAAATAGGTGTTCTAGAAGTAAGTGCATTATCAGTATTGTGAAATCTTGTGTGTGCTAACTCAAAGCTGTATTCCAATAAGTACAACAAACAACAGTCTGAAGATAATGTCGAGGCAATTATACACTAATTTCTCACCGGAATCGGTGGCGTTGCAAACGAGAACGAAGTCCGGGCAGCAGTCGCCGTAATTCTCACATTCAGCATCACAGAAGCATCCCCCTTGACTGCCACAAGAGTAACAGCGCTGAGTACAGGAAGCTTCACGTGGAAGACAAATACAAGCAAAACACGTAGGCCAATATACTGGAGCAACGCGTGTGGGAGTTAATACCCTAAAAATGTATTTAAGGCCCAAAGTTTAGTAGAATGAACGTGGCATTTTCACGGCTGTGGTAATGTTGTTGTAATAAATACACATTTAAGATATATGAAATACAATGTTTAGTATCGTTGAGTATGGGTGTGCAACCCAGCCCTGAAGGACAGACCGTCCGAAAATGTGGCTTTCTCAATCATCGGTGAGCACTGTTATATCGTGAGTTCATTCCATAAATTTATCAGTGCCATTAAGCAACTATTTTTACTTGTGTTCAAGATAAATATATCCAACAAATGTACGTAAATCGTGATTATTTGGTTTCATATTAAGTGATACCAAACATGTATCTTTGTGTAAGATCAAATACGATTCCGTGCCCGGCCTCCTAATATAAACTACACCATTTTTTTTGGCGAAGCATTTTTGCGATAACAAAACCTTTATGAATTCTTGTTGTAGCTGTTTTTCAATCATTCTACTCCTCAATGTGCGTAATTTATGAAATTGAAATATTTGTCTTGAGCTAAAAATCACTTACCATTGCCAGATACATCATCGCCAGGTGCGCGTGTGCACTCAGCAGTGAAGTCTGAACAGCAGTCATTGAAAAACGTACACGCTGAGTTGCAAGCACATCCTCCTTGACTTCCTGAGGAGTAACATCGATTGTCACAGGTTCCTAAAGAGGGAGGTAAGGGTCCATTATAAAGTGCCTTCTGGCGTGTCCTAGACAGCACTCGGATAGCTTTTGACAATGCATTGATAACAACTGGAATAGACGGTTTGTCTCTTGATTGTCGTCTCTTAATGGTTTTTGTTTCTTCGCAGACGCTGCAGGTGTGTGGGGGTTGCTTGTAAAGCAACTTATAGTGCTTGCACTTTTCCCACTCTACCTGATTCGTTTTGTTTAATAACAATAATAATAGGCTGGTCAGAGAAAAAAAAGACTTTGTCAAATGTAAATTGTAAGTCTTGATTTAAGCAACCTTTAAAAAAAAAAGAATTCCTAGCCGATTTTATTTCAGCCGAAATTTGGAAATACCAGAACAGAAACCTTAATAAAATTGGCAAAGTTTTAAAACAAAATATCTACACTAGTGCCATTGAGTGAGGTAGGCCTAGGCCTACTTCTTTTTGTTTGCTGAAGTTGAGGTAAACACGTATATCGTAGTCAGTCAAATGCAAAACCTATTACAGAGATGCCACAAGGTTTGCTTGAAAAAAACGGAACTGGGTCTGCTTGAAAAAAACCGGAACGGCTGCTTGAAAAAAAACGGACTTTTGTGTGTGTGAAAAAGCCACTCCGTGTCCGACACAAAGTCCCCGCTGTCATCTTTATCTTGTAGCCAAGCCAAGTTCTGTTTATTTTTTAATTTTGCTTCTATGGCCTTGAAAGCTGTCGGTTCGTTCAATCACTTTGACTTTTTCCATCCTAATATTTATTCTGCCTACCCGAATTTCCAACGTAATATTCGACACGAAACATGCATGATTCCACAACACTGCTGTCGGTGTACATGATCCTTGCACTACGCGATGCGCTCAACGAAAACATGGTTGGTACCCGCATTTTTTGTATTCACATATATCACTGCGATCGGAAACCACCGATAGCTGAAATGATAGACTTGATTTCCAGGCTGAATGCTACGTGTGCTTAGCACACAACACGACCGCACGCGGTGAAGCACGCGCGAGGCGCCGTTGTATACTGCGTGCAATTAAGTACGTTGGCCGTTTGTATCGCATGCAGGCTCGGCAACAACATACACAAAGACTGTTTTTAAGACTACTTCAACGAACAACGTTGTGCCATGCGTGCACCTAAATGTACTAAATCGAGGTAAAAATCAATGCATTTCCACAGTTTTTCTTCTCTTTTTCTGGTTAATTTGACGGCCGGAAAAACCGGAATTTTGTGAGATTTTTTTTAAAAACCGGAATTCCGGTTAAAACCGGAAAAGTGGCATCTCTGCTATTAAAACATGTCAATCCAGAAAAGTTGTGCGTGGCATTAGCCTCAATATACCTTCAACTGTCCCATTGGTTCGAGTTAAACGGCGGCAAGAGGAGAAGTAATCAGGACAGCAGTCGCCAAATGTTGGGCAGACGGAATCGCAATAGCAACCTCCTTGACTGCCTTGGTCGTAGCATCGAAATCGACAGGAAGCTAGAAACAAGGGGAAAAAAGAAAAAACACCAGTGACACTTTTAACCAGATAATCAACGGAATTATGAAATGTGCATATGTGGCCAAGATATGAAATGCACTTCCAGTAGAAACATCCCGTGAAGAAAAAGATTCAATTAATGTTTGAAAATAAATCAAATGTGGAAGATTTTTGGCAATCTGCAACAGAAAAACTGTTCGATACAGTTTCTTATGCAGTGGAAAATCTTAATCTTTTCAACAATTCGCTATTCAACGTAAGAGATGTGCAGCACGAAAACATTTGAACTGGGCTTAAAAATCAGTTACCTTCACCAGGGACATCATCGCCAGGTGCGCGTGTGCACACGGTCGTGAAGTCTGAACAGCAGTCGTTGAAGTACGTACACGCTGAGTCGCAAGCACATCCACCTTGACTTCCCCAGGAGTAACATCGATTAACACAGCTCCCTGACACGAAAATTTTAATGATAAATCTAATCATCCTGACAAGCTTCATTAATGTACACAAATGGTCTCCGAGTCAAATGGTGCTTGGATGAGCTATTGGTGCTCTGGGCCTCTGTGGTGCCCAAAATTTGAATATTGATAATAGTAATAATGTGCTGCATGGATGATGGGTCGGCTGCCCAGATTTCGGTACCCGACATTTTTTGAATAAAAACCTTCTGGCTGAGGCGTGCACACACAAAATGTTCTGTGTTGTTTGTGATTTTTTTTATTTGTCTGCTTATAAGAGAATTAATGTCTTAATGAAGGTATTTAAAAAATCTTAACATCACTCTGATGAGATTTCTTCGGTCATTACCTTAAAAGCATCATTTGAAATAGATTGTCAGAGTTCAGGGATTTATACTTTAGAGCTACGCAGAGTCGAAATGAGGTGATGCTGAATCGTGGTAATCTTTGTCCATGCATAACATTTCAAGAATGACCCCAACAGAATTATGCCAACCCCAGAAATCTTGCAAGATGTATTTACCTCTCCCACCGCGATAATGTGGATGTTGATGGACGCAATAGGTATTGTAGTCGGGACAGCAGTCGCCATAATCTGGACACTCGGAATCACAAAAGCATCCTCCTTGACTGCCCCATTCGTAACACCGAAATCGACAGGTGGCTTGAAGAAAGGTGAAATAGAAAGTTTCAAAATCAGAAATTAAAATTTCATGAAATCGATCTTAAAAATCAACATTAAAGGCCATAACTGTGTGTGCCTTGCTTAGTAAAATAAAGAGTTCAAATCAATTGACATTTTAGCCCGATATATTGTACAGAGACTTTCTCAAGCTCATAGCAATATTAAGCAACTACACTGAAAAAATTGCCTGGGTTAATTCAACCCAACAAAGGGCGAAAACAGCAACTACCCAAAATCGGGTTGTTCTTTACCCAATTGTTTGGGTAATAATTTCCGTTAAATTCAACCTAAAGTTGTAGTCATACAAGACCAAATTAAATTTGTATGACCACAAGTTTTGGTTGAATTTAACAACCCAAGTTTAGGTAGTTGCAGTTTTTACGCTTTGTTAGGTTAAATTATCCCAGGCAATTTTTCAGTGTATGCGCCATTATCAAAAGTGCTAAGTTCATAGATTTAACTTGGAGAAATCACTTACCATCACCGGGAACATTATTTCCAGGTGAGCGTGTACAAACAGTATTGAAGTCTGTACAGCAGTCACCTAAATGTGCACACGCTGAGTCGCAATAACATCCTCCTTGACTGCCCGAGGAGTAACAACGATTCACGCAGGTTGCTGGAACGAGAACATTATAGGTAAATCAAAATTAACAACCAGATCTCGAAAGCTTCACGGTTAAAATAGCCTCAACCTGATCCGGTTTGAGCCTAATCTGAGATACTGATGTCTTTAAAGACCTTCATATTGCTCTAATGTTGTTACTTTCACTTTTAGTTCAGATGCATCCTTTTTAAACGGCTGTTATGGGTCAGTTTCATGGAAAGGTACAGGACTACGTACACAGAGCTGAAAAAAGAGATGTTGAGTTTGATGTTGAACCCTGATTTAGATTTGTGTCCGACTCCGGGCAATTTACCTTCACCGGAATCATCTGGCGTAGAGCGGACACAAAAGATATCGTAATCGGGACAGCAGTCGCCGTAATCCTGGCAGACGGAATCACAATAGCAACCTCCTTGACCGCCGTCGGTGTAACATCGGAACTGACAGGAAGCTGGAGGGAAAAAAAATACAGTGACACCTTTGCTCAGATATTCAAAATAACGCAATTTACGTCATGTCTGTAATTGTGAATCCTAACTCTATCTTCACTTAACTTTGTGGTTTTTGATTCTACAGAAAGAGACCAATCTCGCCGCCGATTTTAAAACTTATCCAGAATCTTGATAATGAAAATGTACCAATATATAATTGCTTATGTCATGAAAATGTTTGATGAAGGTAAAGATCAAGAGTCAATCTGTGGTTAAACCTGATGAGAACACTTACGGTCTCCAAAGATATCATTCGCAGGTTGGCGTACGCAAACAGAATTGAAGTCCGTACAGCAGTCATTGAAATATGGACACGCCGAGTCGCAATAACATCCACCTTGACTGCCCCAGGAGTAACATCGATTGACACAGGAAGCTTAAACAATGATAATATCAGTACATGAATAAATTAGTACTTTGTAGGAAGCATCATTACACGATCGAGGTTTGAAATAAAACACAAGATGAATTTTTTTTTTCAATTTTCAGAAAGCTAGGCCCAGACAGCAAGCAAATTAGATTCAAAAACGAAATTGCCATAGTTTTTGTTTCTTTACCACTCTTTACCATGAGTTGAAAGGTTTTTCGTGCAAGCTACAAACCGTGTGAAGTCAAAACAATCTTTTAACCTTTAATGAAAAGTTAAATTGCAAATAATATACCAAAAAGTTTCACTGAAATATTTCAAACGTGCAATAAATTTTCACTTAAGGTAAACATATTAATTCTGAAATAAACAAAACTTACCATCACCAGGGGTACTAGGTCCAGGATGGCGTGTACAAATAGAATTGAAGTCGGTACAGCAGTCATTGAAGTACGGACACACTGAGTCACAATAACATCCTCCTTGACTGCCCGAGGAGTAACATCGATTAACGCAGGTTGCTAAATGAGGGAATCATTGTTGAATTTTAATAATAACGACCTGATTCATCTAATCTGGCTTTCACCCAATTCATAAGATAATCACTTATGAGCCATATTTTTTTTACGAGGAGTCTCATCTGAAGGATGATTATTCAAAACAACTACAAGAGACAGATCTCATTTGGTTGAACAATTGCTACTTATGGAGCGGTTCATGTAACATTTAGAGTGTAGTGTCAGGTAATTGGCTGTTGTCCTTTCCTCGCCTTTCTTATTCAGTCAATTATGTTTGTTGGGCTTTCTTTCTCTTCCTGATTCCAAGGAATTCTCTGGGATATTCTTAAAGGGAATATACATCATTTGCTTTTGCTGTAATTTTCAGAAATGGATGGAATTGGGAGGTTGGAAATATATAGCAAATATATTTACACTGACTTTTTTGAGGTGTTGGGTTCGAAAATGCTATAAAAACCAAGAAAAACGATCATTTTCCTGTAGTCTGGTTCCCTGACTCCATATAAGAAGAAACAGAGCAGTTTACATACATTGGGGAATTGTAAGGTCAGGGAACCAGTCTAGCTGGCTCGTACCCGTTCATAGGTTTGCAATCGATTGCAAACAAGTGCGATGGTCAATTGGGGCCAGTATTTGAAAAAAAAGCCAGTTGTTTCCAACGCTGATCGGCCGATCAGCGTTGGAAATTCATACAAAAATACCACTCTTCTTGAAAATGACAGTATACCAGGGGCCATGATTTTACAGGATGCTTTACACTGTCATTCACTAACAGTCCAGCAAGGTATTTCAAAATGATTTGGTAGTTTTATTTTTTGATATTTGCAAATGTTGTATTTTCCCTTTAAGGCTGTTTTTAACACACTTTTTAAATGGAACGTTTTTTCACTGGCTTCTCTTTACACGATTTTTGTTCCAGCTATCGAGCTGGATGGCCGTTAGCCTTTTGGGAAATCATTGGTTTCATTTCTTTGCCGGGTAAAAATAAATAATAGTTATCTTCCCACTGCAGACCCTTTTCTTTCCAAAATAATTACCTTCCCCAGAGTCATCTGGATCGGAATGGACGCAGTAGGTTTTGTAATCAGGACAGCAGTCACCAAAATAGGTGCACCAGGAATCACAATAGCAACCTCCTTGACTGCCCCATGTGTAACATCGGAACTGACACGAAGCTTGAAGAGAGTTAAAAGAAAAAATAAAGCATAATCAACTAGAAGGTAAAATGTAATGCAATCAACTAAAGTTGTTCTTCTTTATAAATATTCTAAACTGTAGCCATTTTTAATCAATTTGTTTGGTAGCATTCTGAATGCCACAAAATCCTCTAAAGTTGTTGTGCCTCTTTTTTCTTCTATACATTTTCGCTTTTCAACCTTAGAATTACTCGGCACTGAAACATTCGACCTAAAAAATCGCTTACCATCACCTGGGACATCGGTTCCAGGTGCGCGTGTGCAAACGGAACTGAAGTCTGAACAGCAGTCACCGAAATACGTACACGCCGAGTCACAGTAACATCCTCCTTGACTGCCCCAAGAATAACATCGATTGACGCAGGTTGCTAGAGCAAATTTAAGATCATGCCAAATACGTAAGTGGTAGCAATGAGTTTAAAATATAATCGGTTGTAGTCTTAATATTGTTATACTGCAATTCAAGAACGTACGATCAAGGGTATGCTATGACCAAGAAAATAGATTGTGAAGTAAGCTGATTTACCTTCTCCAGAGCTGTTATGTGGAGGTGAATGGACGCAGTAGGTATTGTAATCAGGACAGCAGTCGCCAAAATTCGGGCACACGGAATCACAGTAGCATCCTCCTTGACTGCCGTCAGTATAGCATCTAAACTGACAGGAAGCTGGATGAGCGGTTAATACATGGAAAGAGATAAACAAAAATCTGTTAAAAATTCAATATATTCAATAAAAAGGTTCGTAATTTTTTTTTTTTTAGACAAATACTTAGTGCTATACTAGCACTTACACGTACTAAAACAATGCCAACAAAATCATTTTGGCAAGTATTTTTTTGGGGAAAAAAACAGATGTCAAAATACTCATTGCACTGTTTTGTTACAAAAACAAAACATTCAAAATCATCATGATTCATTTCCATGTTATAGGTTTATTTTGTACATACGGCCTGTCAACATTGAACTTTGAGAGGACACCACATACCATCACCAGGGACATCAGTTGCAGATGTGCGTGTGCACGTAGTATTGAAGTCGGAGCAACAATCGTTGTAATATGTACACGCCGAGTCGCAAGCACATCCTCCCTGACTGCCCGAGGCGTAGCATCGATTGACGCAGGTTGCTAAAACGAGGATGTTAAAGCTAAATATTTCATGACTATTCAGAAAAACGTTTTGCCAACATATCTGATTGGAGGAAAATCCGGAATTGACAAAAAATTCTCGTTGTTAATAATGAAAAAGTTCGTGCAGAACTGATTATTGAGGAGTTGCGTTTGATCTTCAGTAATAATAAAAAATATCTAGTCTCCAAAAATATGCGAACGCAAGGAAAAAACTCCCGACACAGGTCAATTTACCTTCTCCAGAGCTATCATGTGGATGTGAATGGACGCAATAGATATTGTAATCTGGACAGCAGTCGCCAAAAGTTGGGCAAACAGAATCACAAAAGCATCCTCCTTGGCTGCCCCATGTGTAACATCGGAATCGACAGGAAGCTATAGAAGACAGTTTAAATAGAAAACAATCTCTATGAATTCAAACAAAAACAAAAAAATAGCAAAACCAATTTTAGAAATTTTGAATGATGTACGTACTATATTTCCGTGCATGCTCATAAAAAAAACAATATCGGAGCTCGCAAATGTGGTAGGCGCCCTGGTACTGACAATCAGTCAAAATGGTACCGAGAATCTCTACACCTCACTGTAAAGAGTAAGCAGGGCGACATAATTTGGGCACACGGAGTCACAATAAGAGCCTCCTTGGCTACCATCAGTTTCATCATCATCTCCCGGTGAGTACAGGCCTCTTAGAGAAGCTGGATGCTCCGGAGGATTGTCGTACTGTCTTTGGTAATATGTATTGTCGTACTGTGTTTGGTAATATGTATTGTCGTACTGAGTTTGGTGCTATGTATTGTCGTACTGAGTTTGGTAATATGTAATGTCGTACTGAGTTTGGCAATATGTAATGTCGTACTGAGTTTGTATATGTATTGTCGTACTGTGTTTGGTAATATGAATTGTCGTACTGTGTTTGGTAATATGTATTGTCGTACTGAGTTTGGCAATATGTATTGTTGTACTGAGTTTGGTAATATGTATTGTCGTACTGTGTTTGGTAATATGTAATGTCGTACCGAGTTTGGCAATATGTATTGTCGTACTGAGTTTGGTAATATGTAATGTCGTACTGAGTTTGGTAATATGTAATATCGTACCGAGTTTGGCAATATGTATTGTCGTACTGAGTTTGGTAATATGTATTGTCGTACTGAGTTTGGTAATATGTAATATCGTACTGAGTTTGGCAATATGTATTGTCGTACTGAGTTTGGTAATATGTATTGTCGTACTGAGTTTGGTAATAATGTAATGTCGTACTGAGTTTGTATATGTATGGTGTGGGTGGCCGTGGCTATCCGTTGCTCCCTCGAAAACTATCAAACCTTTAGGTAATAAGGACTTAAAAATATTTTTTCTTAAAAAAAGTCTCAAAGGGGAAGCCATATACAATTGGGAGGAAAAAAATAATTTCGAAAAATATTGCAGGACCTTAAAACAATAAGTTAACATTCTCGAATACCATGTGCATGTGTTCTCTTTCTACTGTAAAGATCCATTATAAATCGAATATTTCGTTTGGATTTCAAGAGTTTACCATCTCCGAAGACATCGTTTCCTGGTTCGCGTACGCACTCAGCAGTGAAGTCTGTACAGCAGTCATTGTAAAATGTACACGCCGAGTCGCAAGCACATCCTCCTTGACTGCCCCAGGAGTAGCATCGATCGACGCAGCTCCCTATAAAGGGGAAGTTGGAGGTTAAAGGTAGATGTTAAATTTACGCACTTAGACAGCTTCACAGATGACTAGTCCGACCCCTTGAAACATCAACTCAAACTACTTGTGATATTGTACGATAAGTAAGTGGAGGTAAAACATACAATAAATATGCAGTAGGAAGGTAAAACTAAAAAACAAAAAGAAGACTTTTTTGGAAATAACTCTAGTATGTTGTTTTATTCATACTCAACTTTTTAGGAAGTTTTATTCCAAAAAGACAAGTTTTATTGTAACGTCTGCTTAGCCGATATAATTTTAAAATTTTATGAGGTTATGTTTTCATTACAAAAATGGCACTTTACCTTTTCCACCGGGATAATGTGGATGATTATGGACGCAATAGATATTGTAATCTGGACAGCAGTCGCCGAAACTTGGGCACACGGAATCACAATAGCATCCTCCTTCACTGCCCCATGTGTAACACCGGAATTGACAGGAAGCTAGACCGAAAGGTTAAAGAGAACAAGAAAGTAAGTTTGTTTTTGAACAGAACTAAAAATTAAACGGAAATCAATTCAAAGCATTGATATTTTTGTACGAGTGCTTGACTACATCCCTGGCTATGGAAATAGAATATGAACTTCCGTACGGCAGAATTTTTACAAAAAAAATAACGAAAAAGAAAAAAAAGATGGGCGAAGAGAAAATCAAAGCGACAGTGACAATTCGAACAGGAATTGTAACTCTTTGCTCATCTGTGCTTTTTTTTAAAAAGCTTTTCAGCAGAAGGACGGAAACGAAAAAGACTCGAATATGACATTCCTTAACTTTACGTCTTCCAATGTAAAGATTGTACTTAAAGATAATATTACATTCGAAATAGAAATAGCATACCATCTCCAAGGATATCATTTTGAGGCGTGCGAATGCAAACAGTGGTGAAGTCCGAGCAGCAGTCGTCGAAATGCATACACGCTGAATCACAATAGCATCCTCCTTGACTGCCCCAGGAGTAACATCTATTTTCACAGGTTGCTGAAACGAGAATGTAATATGTAAATCTAATAAAATATTTAATTAAGATGACACAGCTTCGATGATAGCAAAAGTGCCCTCCAAAAATTTATATCACAAATCTGGAGTACACAATTTACGTCTCTGAAGCCTTCATATCGCCGAGTAAATATTTTCCCTTCAATTCAAATACCAGGATTAAATCTTTCAGCAAGGCTGTTTAAGTTGAGGATTTCAAATTGAAAGGTATACTATAAAGAAGAGTCGATACATGAGATGTTGAATTTGTTGATGACATTATGTCGTTATTGTGCACTTGAACAGTGTTTGTGCTCGATCATGCAAATGCCTGACCTTAAACCGTTACCTAAGTGGGCAAATTTACCTTCACCGGAATCATCTGGCGTAGAGTGGACACAAAAGATATTGTAATCGGGACAGCAGTCTCCGTAATCCTGGCAGACGGAATCACAATAGCAACCTCCTTGACTGCCGTCGGTGTAACATCGGAACTGACAAGAAGCTGTATGAATATTAATAGCAACAAAATAACAGTGGTATCCTTACCCGGCTTTTAAGAATTCAGGAAGGCTTTATTCAATGAAAACGTAACTTTACTGTTTCAGCACACTGAGAGCACATGTTGCGAAACCTCATCTTGTTAATAAATATAACAAAAGAGAAATTAAGAAAATGTCCCAAAACAGCTAGAGGTTCAAAATTAAATTGGATAATTGGAGCTACATAATACCAGTTAATAATGATTTCACTTACCGTCTCCAAAGACATCATCTCCAGGTGCACGTATGCAAACGGAATCGAAGTCTGTACAGCAGTCGTTGAAATACGGACACGCTGAGTCGCAATAACATCCTCCTTGACTGCCCCAGGAGTAACATCGATTGACACAGGAAGCTTGAATGGGGATATCATAAGTAATATTGTTACTATTCATATACTATATAGGAAAAGTAACATACATCGCTTAATATCATAACAGTCTTCTAGGGATTACATACCGGTATTCTGTTTAAATACCTTCCCCTGTAAATCTGATATTGTTCAACACACAATGCATTTTGTTCAAAGCATCATTGCAACGAGGCGACCAGTTCAGAGATAAAAAGCGCAGATGCAATCATTCAGGACCTGATGTGTAATTTCTTAATAGTACCACAATCAGTCTTCAAGACAATCAGGCAAATAATTTCCAAAGCAATTTTTTATTCGTTGATATTTTCTTTGTGTGGATTGCTTAAAGGACTAGTAAGACCAGTAACTAGTAATTCAAACCAAACCACCACACCATACAATTGCTGAATCAAAATCGAAAAAAACTTCTTAATGGTCAATGAAAAACAACAGAGTAAATCGCTGCCTTTGCAAACATTTTTTATATAGTTTAAATGTATACTAAAGTAAAACATGCGGCTTAAACTAAACAAAGCTTACCATCACCAGGGTTACTAGGTCCAGGTTGGCGTGTGCAAACAGAATCGAAGTCTGTACAGCAGTCATTGAAGTACGGACACGCCGAGTCGCAATAACATCCTCCTTGACTGCCCCAGGAGTAACAGCGATCGACACAGGTTGCTAAAACGAGGGTATCACAGGTATCAAAAAATAATAATAATTCCGATTCATCCAACATTGGTTTCTACCAGGATTTATTTGCCCTTAAAAATGCAAGATTATGACTTGAGCAAAATCTGTAAATACAATTCGCATCTGAAGGATGGTTATTCGAAGCAACTGCAAGAGATTTAGATCAATTCATTCAATAATTCATGTGCAAGAAAACCCAATTCAATGAGGTTTTCAAGGTAGAAATACGGTCGGTATGGTAGACAAAAATAAAACGATGAGTTTCACATTACATTTATGGCAATTGTTACTTTCTGAAATAATTACCTTCACCAGAGTCATCTGGATTGGAATGGACGCAATAGGTATTGTAATCAGGACAGCAGTCACCAAAATAGGTGCACCAGGAATCGCAATAGCAACCTCCTTGACTGCCCCATGTGTAACATCGGAACTGACAAGAAGCTGGACAGAGGTAAAAAAAATAAAAACATTGTCGTAGTCAACTCTAACTTTAATGCAATAAACTGGAGTAAATATTGTTTTTATTTGCTCAAGTCAAGTATATTATTGAAATTATATTATGAAAACATGTGGCAAGATGTAACAATCACTTACGATCACCGGGGATATTAGGTCCAGGTTGGCGTGTGCACACATCAGTGAAGTCTGAACAGCAGTCACCGAAATACGTACACGCTGAATCACAATAACATCCTCCTTGACTGCCCCAGGAGTAACATCGGTTAGCGCAGGTTGCTACAAAAGAGTTTCAGAAGTTAATCGTAAATAAGAGAGTTTTAATATTGAGAAAATGATGATGTCTCATAACAATCAACAAATTTTGTAGCAAGCAAAACGTCAAATAAAAGTTCTGCAAGGAGCATTAATTCAAGTGTGGTTACAACGAATCACAGCAAATTGTGGCATTCTGTGTCATTTTGATGCAATTCAGGAATGTATGATGTTGAGTATGCAAAGTGATTAAGACTTTTCCGACATGACCAACTTACCTTCACCAGATTCATCTGGCGTGGAATGGTTGCAATAGATATTGAAATCAGGACAGCAGTCGCCGTAATCCTGGCAGACGGAATCACAATAGCAACCTCCTTGACTGCCGTCAGTATAGCATCTGAACTGACAAGAAGCTGGATGAGCGGTAAAACAGAAAAACGAGTTACATCTTTTACAAGAATTAAGATTATCCGAGAAAATAAAATGTCAAAGGCGAGAGTGGTCAAAAGTTACGGTGATAAAAACTCAAAACCTGGACAATATTAAAAAAACTCCATTGTCAATATATTTTTGGCCCTTTCGAGCATTCGATGTGGATGGTTCGTTTTTGTTTTCATAGTTCACCGTAAATCTCAAACTGCGATCGAAATTATAACTTGAAGAGCCCATGACTTACCAACATTGCTCTTAATTGAATAGGAACTTACCATCTCCAAAGACATCAGTTCCAGGTGTGCGTTTGCAAACAGAAGTGAAGTCTGAACAGCAGTCATTGTAATATGTACACGCCGAGTCGCAAGCACACCCTCCTTGACTCCCGGAGGAATAACATCGATTGACGCAGGTTGCTAAAAGAAGAAGAAATCTTTAATAACACCCTAAGAAAGCTTTATTGGTAACCAAAATCGACACCTCACTGAGGCAGCCGTAATGGTAGCTGAACTATTCAGAAACACACCAGATCTGATTGAAGCCAAATGCGGAATAGACAATTCACGTTTTTTGAAGACTAACGCCAGAAATGCTTTGTAGAAAGCATATAAATAAAAATGTTTCCAAATTTGACGACTGAAATGAGGGGTTGAGTTTGACCTTAAACTGTGGTAATCTATTTTTTTTTGTGAAACAAAGAATTTCCCTCCGAGATTATGCTAACACCCGAAAATTGTTCCTGACGGAGGCAAATTTACCTTCACCAGAACTATCATGTGGATGTGAATGGACGCAGTACATATTGTAATCTGGACAGCAGTCGCCGAAAGTTGGGCAGACGGAATCACAAAAGCAACCTCCTTGACTGCCCCATTCGTAACACCGGAATCGACACGAAGCTATAAGAGAGATTAAATAAAAAACAACGTTAATATCGTGAAACCGATTTTAGAAATGATATGTCTTACTCCTTTACACCTCATAGTCATGAGAAACTATGCCAACACAATTTGAGCAAAAAGTTTAAAACAACAACCTTCTTGATTTCAAAACGACAAGATGAAAACGGTGATTATATTTAAAACAAGAAGTGACAAATTTATTTATACATATGTACTTTGCTCAAAGTTTTCTGGGTTTTGCTTGCTCTCCGAAAGAAAAAGTAAGAATGGACATCTTGGTCAGTCAACATTTTTAAGGATAAGCCGTATATTTAAAAAAAAAAAAATATTTTTTTCGAAATCAGCATAACAAACATAAAATATTCTTTGGTTGACATAGTAACGTTATAAATCATTTCCATGTGCTCTTTTGCCAAAGTAAAAATCCTGTATAAATGAAAATTTCACTTGTATTAGCACTTACCGTCTCCAAAGACATCAGTTCCAGGTGCGCGTGTGCAAACAGAAGTGAAGTCCGAACAGCAGTCGTTAAAATATGTACACGCTGAGTCACAGGCACATCCTCCTGTACTTCCCCAGGAGTAACATCGATTGACGCAGCTTGCTGAATCGTCGATATTAAAGGTTAACGTTACAGATAACTCGACAATATTATTTAGAACGCCTTCATAACCAAACTATCCGGAAAAGTAACACAACGAAATCTTGGACAGTATTGAAAGAAAAAAATAGAGAGAGAGGAAATATCATAACACAATGATGTTGCTTCAATGGTATATCACATTTCATGCTATGTTTAACGGAACAGAGTCGACAAATCAAATTTATATCAGATGATGTGTCGAATGTAAAACTGTGTTTGTCTATGTCACTGTAGTGTACTTTGAGATTATCCCTCCAAGAGTATATTAATCCCAAAAATCTTGTACGTCGTAGGCCGATTTACCTTTACCAGCGCCATAATGTGGATGTTTGTGCACGCAATAGGTATGGTAATCTGGACAGCAGTCGCCATAATTGGGGCACACGGAATCACAATAGCAACCTCCTTGGCTGCCCCATTGGTAACATCGGAATTGACAGGAAGCTATAAGAAAGGTCAATTAGAAACACAACCGTAACACCTTGAAACTGAATTGAAAACTCATGAGAACAATTTTTGAAATCAATTACTACTTGTGTGCTATGCTGTGTGTCCCTAGGTTAAAGAAAATAATACATTCCCTACACGTTTCCTATAAGACAGTTTGATATTGATACCTGTCCACCACAAAAGTTATGAACAAGTGTGTGCAAGAATTCAGATGCAATCAACCAACCTCATTGACCCTCGTGATTTTAACACAAAAAGCTATCGAAGATACATAATTAAATGTGCACTAGAGACATTTTCAACAACTAAGAAATCATTACTTCATGTTTGCATTTTACTGTGTGTTACCCGATTTGAAACATTAATACAGAAACCACATAATACGGAAATACAGAATCTCCGATGATCGACAAGGACACTTTCTCAAATATTTTGTTTTGAATGTTAACAAGTGTAAAAACCCTGCAGATATCAAATTTTTAACTTGCATTAGAAATCACTCACCATCTCCAAGGACATTATTTGCAGGTTGGCGTGTGCAAACAGAAGTGAAGTCTGAACAACAATCGCCCCAATACGTGCACGCGGAGTCACAAAAACATCCTCCTTGACTGCCCCAGGAGTAACAGCGATTTCTGCAGGTTGCTAGAACGAGGATGTTTAAGGAATATCTTAATTAATGCCGTGACTATAAGAAAGCGTCATAGATAGGACAGCCTTAAAGATTCATCCAAACTATTCAGATTCCGATCGGCACCAAATCTGGTGAAGACAATAATTTTCTTATTGAATCCTTTATATCGCAGTTATGTTGTTGTTTTTTCTCTCCAATTTAATTTGAAGAAACAAAAAGTTTTAGAAAGGCTGTTAAAGCTCAGGACTTGAGTTTCGACACCAGTTTTGGTAATTATATCAATGTGGTGCACTTCAAGGCTATCCCTGCAAGACTATGCAAACGAATCCTTTTAATGGTTTGGGCCAATTTACCTTCACCAGAATCATCTGGCGTTGAGTGGGCGCAATAAGTCTGGTAATCAGGACAGCAGTCGCCATAATCTTGACAGACGGAATCACAATAGCAACCTCCTTGACTGCCGTCAGTGTAACATCGGAATTGACAGGATGCTGCATGAAGTAAAGGAATAAATAAATAAAAACTGGAACCATTAACCAGGTGTTAATAATTCATGCAGGTCAAACATCAATGAAAATCCACTTGTAACTTTGCGTCTTGCCTCAACACACTAAGAGCACACATTTCACATTGTCCAGCAAATCGACACAACAATAATCTTGAAGATAACATAGGATTTGTTTGGGGGGGGGGGTGGCTATATTAATTCTCTCAATAGGAAAACACTTACCGTCTCCAAAGACATCAGTTCCAGGTGTGCGTGTACAAACAGAATCGAAGTCCGTACAGCAGTCATCGAAGAACGGACACGACCAGTCACAATAGCATCCTCCTTGACTGCCCCAGGAGTAACAGCGATTGACGCAGGAAGCTTAAATGAGGATTTGTTTTGGAGAGGAATTAATGAATTACACACGGACCCATTAATCTGAGTGTACTACCGAGATGTTTAAGATAAAAAAACATACTCATCACTAAATGTGACAAGGGTCTTGAAGACACCACCCCTCAGTAGGCCTACTGCCTGCAGACGCGATCAATGAGGTCCTTATTTGATTTTTTTAAATGAATTTTGGAGCAACACACTAATGCAAATTAATTTAAAAAAATAACTATTTGTTCATCCTTGAATATACTGAAATAAAATTACAGTAATTATGCATTACTGATTTTAGTAATATTTCATTTATTTTCAGTAGAAACGCTAGTGAAACGAGTGACTAAATTTTCAACAAAACTTACCATCACCAGGGGTACTAGGTCCAGGTTGGCGTGTGCAAACCGAATCGAAGTCTGTACAGCAGTCATTGAAATACGGGCACGCTGAGTCGCAATAACATCCTCCTTGACTGCCCGAGGAGTAACATCGATTAACGCAGGTTGCTGATTAATGAGGTATCAGAGGTAAATCTTAAACAACAACGACCCAATTAATATGGATTGCAATCAGTTCATAAGATAACGATTTGGGTAAAATCTGGAAATACAAAACACATCTGACGAAGGACTCTTATTCAAAGCAACTGCAAGGAGCAAATTGGATTCGTAAGACTTGGAAACAAGCATCGATCTCATGAGAACTGCAAATAATAAAGTAAGGTTTGCAGAGACAATAAAAGGTATCACGAAATTCGGAGCCGATATATGAGTTAATATTTCAAATTTTAAGTGGTGATTTATCATAAAGAATATCCTTCTCGATGTAAACTTTTTTTCCTGGGAGTTATTACCTTCACCCGAGTCATCCGACGATGAATGGACGCAGTAGGTTTTGTAATCAGGACAGCAGTCGCCAAAATATGTGCACAAGGAATCACAGTAGCATCCTCCTTGACTGCCTTGAGTGTAGCATCTGAACTGACAAGAAGCTGGAGGAAGAGGATTAAATCACCGGCGTGATCAGCTAGAAAAATCTATTTAATGCAGTACCTTGAGTCACGTTTCCTGTATTAATTTATTAAATGAATGATCACACCATAAGCTAGATAATCATGTTACAACTTTATAAGGACAAAAACTTATAAGGCCAACTACAATTTATGCATGTTTTTCCCCCAGCATTTCTGTATTTGAGCCATTTGACGAGCTAACAATCACTTACCATTACCAGCAACATCATCGCCAGGTGCGCGTGTGCACACAGCAGCGAAGTCTGCACAACAGTCGTTGAAATACGTACATGCCGAGTCACAATTACATCCTCCTTGACTGCCCCATGAGTAACATCGATTGACGCAGGTTGCTAGAACGAGAATGTTTAACTTTTATCCTAAATTTCTATGAACTAGATAGCTATAGACAACAGACTTTCGAGAAAAAAAAAGGTTTTCAACCAAACACGGAAAGAGGCAAAAGCCATTTTCAACATTTATTTTGAAGACAATCATTTCGCACAGATGTTAACTACCCTGAACAAATAAGACTTCCCACGGTTCAAAACTGAATGTAAAGTTCTGCAGTGCTAGTTAATTAAATGCGATGGCAAGCAATTTAAAATGGAAAGTTGTGTTTATTACAAAATCTATCGCCAAATTACCTTCAGGTGAATGGACGCAAATGATATTGTAATCAGGACAGCAGTCGCCGAAAAATAGACACGCAGAATCACAATAGCAACCTCCTTGACCGCCTGTAGTAAAGCATCTGAGCTGACAAGAAGCTGGATGAGAGGTACAAACAGGACAATAAAAACAGTGACATCTTTATCCAGAAACTAAAATTAACGGATAGAATCATTAAATTGTTTAGTGAAATGTAAGAAAAATATTTGTAATTGTCCACGTATTGAGTTTCATGGCCTGTTTGTATAAATGACAATGAAATGAACATTCTCTTATCAATACAAATAGTTTGAAGGCCTTAACAAAATGAAAAGAAATGCAATGTCAAGAGCTTTTTAGCATTCGTTGGCACAAACAAAACATTCCAAATGGTCATGTCTTATTTTGTGATAATAGTGTAGTGTAAAGTTTCAACGGTAATTGAAGATCTGACTTGAAGAAGATATCACTTGTAACATATCCAAAAATATCCTTGCGGGTGTGTACAATCAGTCTGAGAAACCGCGCAAACAGCACGGGAAGACTTGCAAATAGAAGATGTGCTGAAAATAAATCTTCCACCTCAAAACGCCGTACCCTAAGCAAACTGTTTAAAAATGAGTCTTAAGGCATTACCACATACGACTGCAGGCAAAAAGTCTATCTTAAAGGTCGTTATTTTGAAGTAAACTACATATACCACCGAGGTTATAGAATCCTGAACATTTCTGCAAGTATTATTTCAAAATAGACTCTTTAGCTTTCCGATTCCAAAGCTGATTACTTATGGCAAGAATGAGTTTACATTACAATTTGTGAGAGTTATCGTCATCATAGTGAAGCTTTCTGAACGTGTGATCTAGAGTGTGAAAACTGAAACAAACTGTTTTCAACACGGCTAATTTACCTTCACCAGGACCATTGTGTGGATGCGAATGGACGCAATAGATATTGTAATCAGGACAGCAGTCGCCATAATCTGGACACACGGAATCACAATAGCAACCTCCTTGACTGCCGTCAGCATAGCATCTGAACTGACAAGAAGCTGGATGACAAGAACAACAGAAAAACAAGTTATAACTTTTTCGAGATTTTTTCAAATAAAGGAGTGGGTAATAGTTTTATTTTCAGAAATAGGATTAGACAAAAAAACAATTACCCGTTCAAAAAATATTTACCTTGCACGTTTAAAGAGAAACACATGGAAAGTTACGAGCAGAGAGTTAATAATGTTTTCCAATAAAAAGAAAACTGTTTCAACAAGACACAAATAATAAAAAAGATGTCAAAATCTTTCCTCGTCAGCAAAACTTTTTGCTTGACATTTTTACTGAAAGTCTAAAGGAAAGCAAAGCGAGTTTAACGTCAACATTCGTTGCAAGTCAACATGCGCTACGAGTTCGCAGCGCAAATGGACCCCTTTCGCGCTGATTATGAACCGGCCTTCATCCGAACTCACATTTTCAAAATATTTTCAAAACCGGAAAGAAAATAGCCAAAGTTCCTTTATTATAAATTTTGGTTAAATAATATTCATTGGCTTTTTCCCAAGGTTAAGATTGTATGGCACTTACCATCTCCAAAGACATCATTTCCAGGTTCTCGTATGCACACCGTAGCGAAGTCTGAACAGCAGTCATCGTAATATGTACACGCCGAGTCGCAAGCACACGCTCCTGGACTGCCCCAGGTGTAACATCGATCAACGCAGCTTGCTAAAATGAGAGTGGTGTAGCTTAATCATTTACAATACGAGAAAGCTTCGCGGATAACCATTTTGAAACATCACCGCGACAGTCATATTCAGAAAACGTAATGCCTCAAAAATGGAGCAATATCGGGAACAGACAATTACGTCTTCCCGAGAGTAATGAAATACAAAAGACCTTGCAAAAAGCCTCATTATTAGGTTGAAGGATTGTAATATTCAGGGTTTTAAATTCTAAAGCTATAACGTATGCAGGAATTAAGTTTGATCTTCAACAATGGTAATCAATGCCAAAACGGTGTATTACAAGAACTCCAAAAAACGTTCCTGACAAAGGCCAACTTACTGTCACCGGAGCTATCATGTGGATGTGAATGGACGCAATAGGTATGGTAATCTGGACAACAGTCGCCAAAAGTTGGGCAGACGGAATCACAATAGCAACCACCTTGACTGCCCCACGTGTAGCACCGGAATTGACAGGAGGCTATAGAAGAAAGGTCACATTTAAAACAAAAATCGGGGTAAAAAATAAGTAACTTCATCAGGGAAGACATTTCAGTGTATTGGCAGTTGGTATGTTAGCCAACAATGGCCAAAATTCCAACCCATTTGCCCAACAAAGAAGAGCTTGCGAAATAAAAATGCGGGTGCTCGGAAACACAATTTCAGCCTCCTCGACTGATATGAGTAAAGGCCTGTTCATACTTCATGCAAGCACGAATGCGAAGCGAATTTAACCTCCGAAAACCTTTGCTGCGAGAATCTCCAGAGTTGAATGCCAAATAGTGGAGCAGATAGGGGAAATATTTTGTGGGATTGTGCCTTTGATGATACAAGCATGGAATTTGGCACGCGGTCAGAGTATGTCATGAGAAAGATATTTAGCTATAGTGCCCTAGCAGATTTGTCCTTTGAAAAAATATAGGCCTGTAGGTTGAGTAACAAGCAATTTCTAAAATTTTAAATTTTCAACTCCGACTGTGTGCCAAATTCTATATCCTCAAAGGCACAATCGAATCACTTATCTGCCGTACTAAAATTGCAGCGTGAACACTTGATGTGACCCCACAAATCCGCATTTGCGACAGCTTTTGCGATGAATATACAAACCGGCCTTTTTAACTAACATTTATTTTGGGAAACAAATACACACACAGGTGTCGAAACTTTTTTTTCAAAAATGCATCAGATTAACCAAATCTCATTGGCTATATTCTCAAATAAATTAACTTTCTCTCCTTTCTGATGCAGAGATCGTGCACCACTTACCATCTCCAAAGACATCGTTTCCAGGTGCGCGTGTGCAAACAGAAGTGAAGTCCGAACAGCAGTCGTTAAAATATGTACACGCTGAGTCGCAAGCACATCCTCCTGTACTTCCCCAGGAGTAACATCGGTCAACGCAGCTTGCTGAAACGAGAATATAAAGAGTCAAAGGTGAATGTGTTTCATAACTTACTGATTGAGACACCCAAAATGATTATGAAAAAGTTATTCAACGAAGACTGGTTAAAGGCAACATACAAATACAAGCCTAGACAACTGTGGTCTTAGAGAGATGTGGAAAAAAAAACTGGATAAGATTTAGCTTGTTCATACTTATGTTATATTCTAGACAGAAATCAAGAAGTTCAAAAATTATTTCATGAGGGGTTTCCAAACTATACCATAACATCTATTGATAAAGTGTTATCTCTACATGTAGTCAATTTAAACGGTTCACTTCCAATAAATTAAAGAATACCCTATCCTTCTAAATTGGACATTTACCTTTTCCAGCGCCATAATGTGGATGCTTATGGACGCAGTAGGTATGGTAATCTGGACAGCAGTCGCCATAGTCCGCACAGACGGAATCACAATAGCAACCTCCTTGACTGCCCCATTGGTAACATCGGAACTGACAGGAAGCTAGGGAAAAAGTTTTTGAATTAAAATTTAAGAACGAATGCTTTACTGTATTACATAGCTCCCATCGAATCCAAATGAAGTTCCCTATTCAGCTACCATACAAAGACCCGCGCAAGTCATTGTGTTGAGCAATAATTAAGGCAAACAGAATTAGAACAAGAAACTAAAGAGAGGAGTGGAGGGCCGAAAAGAAGCATGCAACTATGAAACTTTAAACACTTATTCCTTTATATTTACTTCATATCTATTAAGGATTGAAGCCTTACAAAGATAAACATTAAAAAATAAATTACAAGATTCGCTCAGATGGATTGCATCTTCAAATATTCACAGCTGCCAATGCAAATGGACGAATACATTCAAATAAATAAAAATGAGGGAAAGTCAGTATTTCTTTTTAAATTGAAAACCACTCACCGTCTCCAAAGACATTATTTGCAGGTGAGCGCGTGCAAACAGAGGTGAAGTCTAAACAGCAATCGTCCCAATACGTACACGCCGAGTCACAAAAACATCCTCCTTGACTGCCCCAGGAGTAACAGCGATTCACGCAGCTTCCTGAAACGATGACGATAAAGGCACACCTTAATTACTAGTACCCGACTAAGAAATTTGTACGGTGAAATAGTCCTCTATGCAGCTACTCGATCTTGATAAAGACCAATTATACCATCTGGTTAACCGCAGCCGATTAATGAATCTAAACATAATGAAAGGTAATGTTAATATAGAAAACTCCTTCAAACAGCTAAAAAATAAAGAGAATAAATGTGTGCTTTGCGGTTTTACACACTTTGTGTAAGACCAGTTTGGAGTCTGATAATGACCTAAGCCCAATTTCATAGCGCTGCTTAACAGCCGACTTTGTGCTTACCGAGCCTGCATCTATTTCATAGGGACTGTTAAGCAGTAAGTACAGCAAAAGCATGCTTAACCCCAGAAGAACACTTTGCTTAAATCAGTGACGTAACAATAGAACCTCCATTCGCGCGCAACCGTTAGCATGAAATAGTGCTTAGGCAGCAGCATGATTTTCTGCTATAGTAAGCACAACTTTTCTGCTTACTGTTAAGCAGCACTATGAAATTGGGCCCTGATCCAAGGCAGGGGTCGTTAACAGCGTCCAGACTCCAAACCGGTCTAAATCATAGTGTTTAAGATCGACAAAGCATATATTGAATCCCATTCATAAATAGCTTTTTCTGTCAGAGGGTAAAAACAGGTCAAAAATAAAAAAAATTCCCTTCATCTTTTAAACACCCCTTTAGCTATGTTATGGGTCCTCTCGCGAGTAGTGCGGACTATGAAATACGGACTCATTGGTAGTATTTTGCATACCATCTAAGTGAGGATTGTGAGAGTTGATCCACCAATAACAGGGTAAAAGGGAGAAGGCTTCATAGGAATCCAATTTCATGTGACACTGGAAAAGTGTTCAAGACCAGCCACGTGACGGGTTCTCAACCAATGGGAATGGGTAAACTGTCTCAGAATATCTCATAATGGTCACAAGGAGATACGACGATACCGTCAGACAGAATTAAGAGATGATTACTGTACCCTCAAATTTGTTTGGGTGATCGAAACAACAAAGTGTTACTGATTTACCTTCACCAGAGTCATTTGGCGTTGAATGGATGCAATAGGCGTTGTAATCAGGACAGCAGTCACCGTAATTTGGGCACACGGAATCACAGTAGCATCCTCCTTGACTGCCGTCAGTATAGCATCTGAACTGACAAGAAGCTGGTAAAGAATGTAAAAAAAAGTGCAGTAAAAGAAAACAAAGTCAATGTCATACAATTATCTTCATTTTCGGTTAAGCGTACCTAATTTAATTCAAATACAAATTCTTCAATCTACTTTTCAAACCTCATCCGGTCAATAAACAAAGACAGTAAAAAAAATCTTAAAAGCCTTCTGAATTTTGTATGATGAAGACATGTTTCAAAATGGCTACTGCAACGAACTTTCCTATTTTATAACTTTGAGATATTAATATTCCCCTTTTCGTATCACTTGATCACACCACGTACCATCTCCGAAGACATCATTTGCAGGTTGGCGTACGCAAACAGAACTGAAGTCTGAACAGCAGTCATCGAAATACGTACAAGACGAGTCACAGTAACATCCTCCTTGACTGCCCCAGGAGTAACATCGATTGACGCAGGAAGCTGAAATGGGGATATAAGAAGTAAATCAATGAATTAAATCCTGAATAAACCAACCTGTACCGAGATATCAAGAAAATATCACTCGATCCATGACTGTAGCCTAAAATGGACTAGAAAGTGAAACAAAACAAGCTACCTCTTGGTTCTGATATTCCACTCAGTTTACATTGTCAATTGCTGTTAAAATACTTCAACAAAACTTACCATCACCAGGGGTACTAGGCCCAGGTTGGCGTGTGCAAACAGAATCAAAGTCTGTACAGCAGTCATTGAAGTACGGACACGCTGAGTCGCAATAACATCCTCCTTGACTGCCCCAGGAGTAACACCGATTAACGCAGGTTGCTAAATGAGGGTTTCAAAGGTAAATTTCACATTATCGCGAACCAACTAATCGAGCCGGGGCCCCAAACAAGGGTTTCTCTCTTTAGAGTCCTTATCTGACACAAAGCAGCGACTTGACTCGAAACTGTAAAGTCAATGATCACCTGAACGATTGCAATTCAAAACACTGCAAAAAGCAGATCTAATCCCATGCAACACTTACTGCTTGTGGATAAGCCTAGATACAGTGAGATATCGAAGGTTTAAGGTAGGGTCAGCGTAGCTGATCATATGTTATTATCCAATATTGAGCCGATGAGTTTCAGATATTTAATTTTGAGCCGTTGATATCATTTTATTGCATTTTATGTCACTACCGATGCACCTCCATGTTGTCCCCTGGAATATTTACCTTCCCCAGAGTCATCTGGATCGGAATGGACGCAATATGTTTTGTAATCTGGACAGCAGTCGCCAAAATAGGTGCACGAGGAATCACAATAGCAACCTCCTTGACTGCCCCACGTGTAACATCGGAACTGACAAGAAGCTGTGGGAGAGGTAATAGCATCGGCATAAAGATTTAGAAAGCAAAATTTGTGCAACCAACTGGAAAAAATATCCGTTGTATTTCTCCGAGTTTCTGTTACATCGGCTGCCTGGTTGAAGAAAATGCTCAAACCTTTAGCTTGCAACGATTGGTAACCATTTTGAACCAAAAAACCCCGGATTTCACAACCAGTTTTAACTGCTGCTGCGTTTTCTATCATTCTACTACAATCACTTACCATCACCAGGGATATTAGGTCCAGGTTGGCGTGTGCACACAGCAGTGAAGTCTGAACAGCAGTCGCCGAAATACGTACACGCCGAGTCACAATAACATCCTCCTTGACTGCCCCATGAGTAACATCGGCTAACGCAGGTTGCTAGAATCGAGTTCCAGAAGTTAATCAGAAATTAATAACAACGAGAGCCTTATTGACAAAATTCTGATTTCTTTCAACAATAAACAAATTCTGCAGCAAGCAAAACGTCAACTAAGACCTCAGAGTTAAAGCTTTTCAAAGCTGTAAGAAATGTCTCAAATGCCACTTGATTTAATTGTGGTAACAATGAGTTTAAAGTGTACGCAATGAGTGTTAAACTGAAAAAGTCATTTTCGACATATACCTATTATTTACCATCACCGGAGCCATCTGGCGTTGATAAATGGACGCATTTGAAAGTGATTTGTAAATATTTCAAAAATACACGCCGTCACAAGGAGATACGGGAATACAGAGTTCAAAACCATCCCCTCAAATTCTTTTTGGCGATCGACACAACAAATCTTTCCTGACGTAAATTAAATTTACCTTCACCAGAGTCATCTGGCGTTGAATGGACGCAATAAGTCTGGTAATCAGGACAGCAGTCGCCATAATCTGGACAGACGGAATCACAGTAGCATCCTCCTTGACTGCCATCAGTATAGCATCTGAACTGACAAGAAGCTGGATGAACAGTGACAGAAAACAAGGGACATCCATTATGTACAAGTAATTGAAGAACACGAGTGTGTCATTATTTTGACAAAACAGGTTGAGGGAAAATAATTACTTCTCTCAGTGTGAAACACATTGGCTTGCTTGCCTGTTTGGCACAAATTAAATGAGTGATTGGCAATTAGTAGAATATTGTGTACAATTAAAATGAAATCAAGTGTACTTGAAGAATAAGACACTCACCGTCTCCAAAGGTATCATTACCAGGTGTGCGTTTGCAGATGGAGGTGAAGTCTGAACAGCAGTCATTGTAATATGTACACGCCGAGTCGCAGGCACATCCTCCTTGACTGCCCCAGGAGTAACATCTATCAACGCAAGTTGCTGAAAAGAGAGTGCCAGGAATGTTTAATTAATCTTAATCATTAATGACATTCCAATAATTTTTCGTTGAAGACAATATATACTTCTCCACTACGACGGTGGTAATGATACCCGAATTGTTCAAATCACACCAACGGCCATCATTTAAGATAATCCAAAATATTCAATTTATTTTCAAGTTGAATACAAAATTGAGCTATTTTATAGAAAGTATCATTCTTGATGGGTCATTAAAGATCAGCATTTTAAAGTTCAAAGCTACAGAGCAAACAAACACGATTTCAGTTAAACCTTGCACTGTAGTATAATCTACCACCGTGCCTTTTGAAGTGCATGTCAACTAGCAAGCAATATTATTATAACACCAAGTGGATGACAAAATCTCTAAAGTGTATGTCTTACTCTAGAAAAAATACAGGCCTACGAGGCAAACATGTAAAGATGCATTTGAAAACTATCTTGGAATCAAGGTTGTTCATTTATCATGTTGTATAACAGTATACGAAACAATTTTCAGGAATGTCCCTCATCGAGATTACGCATCCCCCTTCAATCGTTCCCGACATTGGCAATTTACCTTCACCAGAGCTATCATGTGGATGTGAATGGACGCAATAGATATTGTAATCTGGACAGCAGTCGCCAAAAGTTGGGCACACAGAATCACAAAAGCAACCTCCTTGGCTGCCCCATGTGTAACATCGGAATTGACAGGTAGCTAGAGAGATCATAATAGTTAAAAATCTTTAAAGCCTCAAACCAGAAACTGAAAGTTTCTTAGAAATAGATATTTATTCAACAATGATATACTATGATTCAGATGTTTTGTCTCCTTTTACTCCAATATGGTAAACAGAGAGTTCCTACACCTCATCGTAATGAAAAACTAGGGTGTCAAAATTTGGGCAACGGAATGACAATAACAGGCTCCTCGACTGCTTTCAGTTTATCATAAAAAGACTAGCAATTGAGAATGGGCTGAAAAGAAACACGAGAACATTTGAACAGGAAGCCACACATATTTATTCTTGTGCAACTGGCTATGTGTTGCTTTCTCTCGGATGTAACACCTTGAAGAAGCAATGCCAGATCATCAATCTCCAGAGAAAAAAAAGGTGAAAACCGTCAACAATTTGGAAAAATTTGAAAAATTATTACAAAACTATTCGATAAGAGAAACGAAATCTGTGACCAAATTTACAACATCATATTCTCGTTTATTCATTGGCTCTTTTTCATTGTGTAAATCATGTGTGAATCAAACTGAAAGAGCTATCACTTACCATCTCCAAAGACATCATTTCCAGGTGCGCGTGTGCAAACCGAAGTGAAGTCCGAACAGCAGTCGTTAAAATGTGTACACGCTGAGTCGCAAGCACAGCCTCCTGTACTTCCCAAGGAGTAACATCGATTGACGCAGCTTGCTGAATGGAAGACGTTAATGTTCAATAACACACCAACAATGACAGGTTTAATGTTAACGAGACTATCTCATGGTTCAGATAACCTTAATGATACCGAACCTATTCAGAAAAAAGTTATTGAACTTCATCTGATCAGACGCAAAGGCAAAAATAGGTAATTGACAAACCCAAAAAGTTCACAATTCTTGGATTTGGATTTGATCAACATTTTTACGATCAAGTGCACGGGGAAAGACCCGCTTCTTCCTCCACCGCATCGGTGCTTGTGACAATGACACCTGCCGAAGTCGATCACCAAAGACAATAATCTTGCTATATGCTGCCCAATCTTCGTAAATTGGAAATTTACCTTTACCAGCGCCATAATGTGGATGTTTGTGGACGCAATAGGTATGGTAATCTGGACAGCAGTCGCCATAATTGGGGCACACGGAATCACAGTAGCAACCTCCTTGACTGCCCCATTGGTAACATCGGAATTGACAGGAAGCTAGGACAAAAAGTTTTTGAAATTGAAATTTTTAATGACGAATGCTTAACTGTATTACACAGATTTCCCATTAAATTCAATTGAATTTTCCCAATCAGCATTTTTCAATACCATGAAAGACACCCTACAAGACAAGTTATGGTGTAGAGCTACTATGCGCAATAATTTAGGCACACACTAACAGTAAGAACCTCCTTGATTGTTGGGAGTCTAACATCACACACAACACGAAACTAGAAATAGGTCCGAAAAGAAGCGTGCAACAATAAAACTTTAAACATTGAATGCTTCATATTAATTTTATCTTATTAAGGATTGAAGACTTACAAAGTTAAACATCGAAAGCCATGTCAAATGAAAACACAACTTATATAAGTCTCACAAAATTTGAAAACAGAATCAATTTTAAAATACTTTACAAGATTTGCTCAGACGGATTGCATCTTCTCAAATATCACGACTACAATGTAAACTTTTGGAATGGACGAATACATTCCAATTTAAAGATTGGAGGAAATCCAGTAATTCGTTTGAGTTAAAAACCACTCACCGTCTCCAAAGACATTATTTGCAGGTGAGCGCGTGCAAACAGAGGTGAAGTCTAAACAACAATCGCCCCAATACGTACACGCCGAGTCACAAAAACATCCTCCTTGACTGCCCCAGGAGTAACAGCGATTAACGCAGCTTCCTGAAACGACGATGATCAAGGTAAACCTGATTAAGTACCCAACTCAGAAATCGGCAGGGTAGAATAGTCCTCTACAGTTATACAATCTTGATAAAAATCAATTATGCCAAACGTGTCATACTATCCTGTTAACTGCAACCGATTAATGAATCTCAAAACAATGAGAGGCGACGTTAATAAAAAAAAAAACTCCTTTAAACAACTAAAAATTATAAGAGAATAAATGTGTGCTTTGCCGGCTTTAAACACTGTGTGTAAGACCGGTTTGGAGTCTGGACGCTGACAATGACCATATTGATAATAGTAGTGTTTAAAACCGACCAAACATATAATCCTATTCATAAATACCCTTTTTCGGTCAGAGGGTCACAACAAGTAAGTCAATAAATTTACTTCATATTATTTTAAACACCCCTCTTGCCGTGTTATTGTATGTGCCTCTCGCGAGTAAATCGTAAACACGTGCCGTTCAGGTAAACACTGTCTTAGACGATTATTATGAACGTCTCAATACAGTCAAAAAGCGGATACGGGTGCATGGTCAAACAGAGTTAGGAACTGGTTACTGTCCCCTCAAATTCTTTTAGGCTCTCGGCACTACAAATCAATTTACCTTCACCAGAGTCATTTGGCGTTGAATGGATGCAATAGGCATTGTAATCATGGCAACAGTCACCGTAATTTGGGCAGACGGAATCACAGTAACAACCTCCTTGACTGCCGTCAGTATAGCATCTGAACTGACACGAAGCTGGTACAGAAGTTAAAAGAAAGAAATAGTAAACAAAACGAAGTAAAATCATACAATTTTCTTTGGTAAAGTGCACTCAATATTGACCTACTCATTCTTCATGCTAATGTGCGAAGGCCTGTCTATTTCGAGCAACTTATTTCAAACACTGTTCGGCCAATGGACAAAGACAGTAAATAAAACCCTGAAAAGCCTTTAGAACTTTTTTAATGGTAAAGACATGTCAAAATGGATATTACAAGGAACATTGCTATTTATAATTATAAAATATTCATATTCCCCTTTTCGTATGTTAAAATTGCGTTTAAAGGAAACCAAATTCCGTCACTTAATCACACCATACACTTACCATCTCCAAAGACATCATTTGCAGGTTGGCGTACGCAAACAGAACTGAAGTCAGAACAGCAATCACCCCAAAACGTACAAGACGAGTCACAGTAACATCCTCCTTGACTGCCCCAGGAGTAACATCGATTGACGCAGGAAGCTTATATGGGGATATAAGAAGCAAATCAATGTTTTAATTTCTGAAGAAAAAAAACACCCAACCTATACCGAGATATCAAGAAAATATCACTCGATCCATGTCTGGAGCCAAAGATGGACTAGAAAGTAAAACAAAACAAGTTAAATCATAGTTCTGGCATTCCATTCATTTTACATTTAAAATTGTTGTTAAAATACTTCAACAAAACTTACCATCACCAGGGGTACTAGGTCCAGGATGGCGTGTACAAATAGAATTGAAGTCTGTACAGCAGTCATTGAAATACGGACACGCTGAGTCGCAATAACATCCTCCTTGACTGCCCCAGGAGTAACACCGATTAACGCAGGTTGCTAAATGAGGGTATCAAAGGTAAATTGCACATGATCTGACTAATCGAGCCGGGGTTTCTAACAAGGGTTTTCCTCCCAGATTTCTTTTCACACACTAAAAAGTGATTTGACCCAAAACTGTAAAGTCAATGATTAACTGACGATGGCAATTCAAAACACTGTAAAATGCAGATCTGATCCTGTGAAACACTCACTGCTTGTGGAGTCAGTGAGATATTGAAGGTTCAAGGTAAGGTCAATGCAATTTAAATATGTCAATACCAATGCACACCCACGTTTTCCTCCGAAAAATTTACCTTCCCCAGAGTCATCTGGATTGGAATGGACGCAATATGTTTCGTAATCTGGACAGCAGTCGCCAAAATACGGGCACGAGGAATCACAATAGCAGCCTCCCTGACCGCCCCATGTGTAACATCGGAACTGACAAGAAGCTGTGGGAGAGGTAATAGCATCGGCATAATTATTAAGAAAGTAATATTTGTGCAATCAACTGGAAAAATTAATCCTTGTATTTCTGTAAGTTTTTCTGTTCAAAGCTGCCTGGTCTAAGAAAATATTAAAACCTTATCTTGGAACGATTGGTTACTATTTTGTACCCCAAAAAACTGATTTCACAATTTTTAAATCCGAAGTAGTTTGAAGATAAGAAAACTTAAAGGCAATGGTGCTGCGTTTTCAAACATGCTACTTTTCAATATAATCATTTATAGCACTCAAACATGGGACAGGATATAAAAACTACTTACGATCACCAGGGATATTAGGTCCAGGTTGGCGTGTGCACACAGCAGTGAAGTCTGAACAGCAGTCGCCGAAATACGTACACGCCGAATCACAATAACATCCTCCTTGACTGCCCCAGGAGTAACATCGGTTAACGCAGGTTGCTAGAATGGAGTTCCAGAAGTTAATCAGAAATTAATAACACCTAGAGCCTTATTGACAAAATTCTGATTTCTTTTAACAATCAACAAATTCTGTAGCAAGCAAAACGTCAACTAAGACCTCGGAGTTAAAGCATTTCAAAGCTGAAAGAAATGTCTCAAATGCCACTTGATTTAATTGTGGTAACAATGAGTTTAAAGTGTACGCGATGAGGAGTGTTAAACTGAAAAAGTCATTTTCGACATATACCAAATTATTTACCATCACCGGAGCCATCTGGCGTTGATAAATGGACGCATTTGAAAGTGATTTGTAAATATTTCAAAAATACACGCCGTCACCAGGAGATACGGGGATACAGAGTTCAGAACCATCCCCTCAAATTCTTTTTGGGGATCGACACAACAAATCTTTCCTGACGTAGATCAATTTACCTTCACCAGAGTCATCTGGCGTTGAATGGACGCAATAAGTCTGGTAATCAGGACAGCAGTCGCCATAATCTGGACAGACGGAATCACAGTAGCATCCTCCTTGACTGCCGTCAGTATAGCATCTGAACTGACAAGAAGCTGGATGAACGGTAACAGAAAACAAGTGACATCCATTATGTACAAGTAATTGAAGAACACGAGTGTGTCATTTTTATTGACAAAACAAGTTGAGGGAAATTGTTAACTTCTCTCAGTATGTGAAACACATTGGCTTTCTTGCCTGTTGGGCAAGCTGTGGGTTGTACTTGAAGAATAAAAAACTTACCGTCTCCAAAGGTATCATTAGCAGGTGTGCGTTTGCAGATAGAGGTGAAGTCTGAACAGCAGTCATCGTAATATGTACACGCCGAGTCACAGGCACATCCTCCTTGACTGCCCCAGGAATAACATCTATCAACGCAAGTTGCTGAAAAGAGATTGTTAAACATTGATCGTTAATAACACTCCAAGAATTCTTCATTGAAGACGATACTAAACTACTGAGGTGTTAAAGCGACAAGATTTGAGTTAAACCTTGAACTGTGGTATAATCTGCTAAGGTACAATTTAATGTGTATACCATTTACCAAGTGATGTTATCACAGCACCCAGTGGATGACGAAATCTCTAAGTGCATGTCTTACTCTAGAGTCAATACAGGCCTACAAGGTCAACATGTAAAGATGCATTTGAAAACTATCACGGAATCAAGGTTGTTCTTTTATCATAATGTATAACCGCATACGAAACACATTTCAGGAATGTCCCTCATGGAGATTACGCACCCCCCCCCCAAATCGTTCACGACGTTAGCAATTTACCTTCACCAGAGCTATCATGTGGATGTGAATGGACGCAATAGATATTGTAATCTGGACAGCAGTCGCCAAAAGTTGGACACACAGAATCACAATAGCATCCTCCTTGGCTGCCCCATGTGTAACATCGGAACTGACATGTAGCTAGAGAGATCGTAATAGTTAAAAATCTTTATAACCTCAAACCAGAAACTGAAAGTTTCTTAGAAATAGATATTTATTCAACAATGATATACTATGACTTAGATGTTTTGTCTCCTTTTACTTCAATATGGTAAACAGAGAATTCCTACACCTCATCATAATGAAAAACTAGGGTGTCAAAATTTGGGTAACGGAATGACAATAACAGGCTTCTCGCTGCTTTCAGTTTATCATAAAAAGACAAGAAAATTGAGAATGGGCTGAAAAGAAACACGAGAACATTTTAACAGGAAGCCACACATATTTATTCTTGTGCAACTGGCTATGTGATGCTTTCTCTCGAATGTTACAACTTGAAGAAGCAATGCCAGATCATCAATCTCCAGAAAAAAAAGGTGAAAACCGTCAACAATTGTGGAAAATGATGAAAAATTATTACAAAACCGATTGATAAGAGAAACGAAATCTTTGTGACAAAATTTACAACAACATATTCTCGTATATTCATTGGCTCTTTTTCATTGTGTAAATCATTTGTGAATCAAACTGAAAGAGCTATCACTTACCGTCTCCAAAGACATCATTTCCAGGTGCGCGTGTGCAAATCGAAGTGAAGTCTGAACAGCAGTCGTTAAAATATGTACACGCTGAGTCGCAGGCACATCCTCCTTGACTGCCCCAGGAGTAACATCGATCAACGCAGGTTGCTGAAAAGAGAGTGTGAGGATTGTTATAATATTTAATCTAATTTAATTTCATTCAAAACATTCTAAGAATTTCTCATACTGAAGTGAACTCTGAACAGCAGTCGTTAAAATATGTACACGCTGAGTCGCAAGCACATCCTCCTCTACTTCCCCAGGAGTAACATCGATTGACGCAGCTCGCTAAATGGAAGACGTTAATGTTTAATAACACACCAACAACGACAGGTTTAATGTTAACGAGACTGCCTCATGGTTCAGGTAACCTTAATGATACCGAACCTATTCAGAAAAAAAGTTATTGAACTTGATCTGATCAGACGCAAAGGCAAAAATAGGTAATTGACGAACCCAAAAAGTTCACAATTCTTGGATTCTGATTTGATCAACATTTTACGATCACGTGTATGGGGAAAGACCCGCTTCTTCCTCCACCGCATCGGTGCTCGTGACAACGACACCTGCCTAAGTCGATCACCAAAGACAATAATCCTGCTATATCCTGCCCAATCTTCGTAAATTGGAAATTTACCTTTACCAGCGCCATAATGTGGATGTTTGTGGACGCAATAGGTATGGTAATCTGGACAGCAGTCGCCAAAAGTTGGGCAGACGGAATCACAGTAGCAACCTCCTTGACTGCCCCATTGGTAACATCGGAATTGACAGGAAGCTAGGGCAAAAAGTTTTTGAAATTGAAATTTTTAATGACGAATTTTTAACTGTATTACACAGATGTCCCATCGAATTAAAATGAAGTTTCCCAATCGGCTACCACGAAAGACGCCCTACAAGACAAGTTATTGTGTTGAGCCACTATGTGCAATTATTTAGGCACACACTAACAGTAAGAACCTCCTTGATTGTTGGGAGTCTAACATCACACACGACATGATAAGTCTCTCACAAATTGAAAACAGAATCGATTTAAAAATAATTTACAAGATTCGCTCAGACGGATTGCATCTTCTCAAATATCACGACTACAATGTAAACTTTTGGAATGGACGAATACATTCCAATTTAACGATTGGTGGAAATCCAGTAATTCGTTTGAGTTAAAAACCACTCACCGTCTCCAAAGACATTATTTGCAGGTGAGCGCGTGCAAACAGAGGTGAAGTCTAAACAACAATCGCCCCAATACGTACACGCCGAGTCACAAAAACATCCTCCTTGACTGCCCCAGGAGTAACAGCGATTAACACAGCTTCCTGAAACGACGATGATCAAGGTAAACCTGATTAAGTACCCAACTCAGAAATCTGCAGAGTAGAATAGTCCTCTACAGTTATACAATCTTGATAAAAACCAATTATGCCAAACGTGTCATACTATCCTGTTAACTGCAACCGATTAATGAATCTCAAAACAATGAGAGGCGACGTTAATAAAAAAATAACTCCTTTAAACAACTAAAAATTATAAGAGAATAAATGTGTGCTTTGCCGGCTTTAAACACTGTGTGTCAGACCGGTTTGGAGTCTGGACGCTGATAATGACCATAATAATAATAGTAGTGTTTAAAACCAACCAAACATAATCCTATTCATCAATACCCTTTTTTTGGTCAGAGGGTCAAAACAAGTAAAAAAAAAAAATATCCAATGGTTTTGTTCTACAATTTTACTTCATATTATTTTAAACACCCATCTTGCTATATGTTATTGTATGTGCCTCTGGCGAGTAATCGTAAACATGTGCCGTAGTCGTTAACACTGTCTAAGACATTAATTATGAATGTCTAAAAACAGTCAAAACTGGATACGGGTTATATGGTCATCAGAATTAAGAACTGGTTACTGTCTCCTCAAATTCTTTTAGGCACTCGGCACTACAAATCAATTTACCTTCACCAGAGTCATTTGGAGTTGAATGGATGCAATAGGCATTGTAATCATGGCAACAGTCACCGTAATTTGGGCAGACGGAATCACAGTAACAACCTCCTTGACTGCCGTCAGTATAGCATCTGAACTGACACGAAGCTGGTACAGAAGTTACAAGAAAAAAAAAGTTCGCAAAACGAAGTAAAATCATACAATTTTCTTTGGTAAAGTGTACTTAATATTGACGTAATCATTCTTCACGCTAATGTGCGAAGGCCTGTCTATTTCGAGCAACTTATTTCAAACACTGTTCGGCCAATGGACAAAGACAGTAAATAAAACCCTGAAAAGCCTTCAGAACCTTTTTAGTGGTAAAGACATGTCAAAATGGATATTGCAAGGAACATTGCTATTTATAATTTTGAAATATTAATATTCCCCTTTTCGTACGTTAACATTGCGTTTAAAGGAAACAAAATTCCGTCACTTAATCACACCATACACTTACCATCTCCAAAGACATCATTTCCAGGTTGGCGTACGCAAACAGAACTGAAGTCAGAACAGCAATCGCCCCAAAACGTACAAGACGAGTCACAGTAACATCCTCCTTGACTGCCCCAGGAGTAACATCGATTGACGCAGGAAGCTTATATGGGGATATAAGAAGCAAATCAATGAATTAATTTCTGAAGAAAAAAAACACCCAACCTATACCGAGATATCAAGAAAATATCACTCGATCCATGTCTGGAGCCAAAGATGGACTAGAAAGTAAAACAAAACAAGTAAACTCAAAGTTCTGGCATTCCATTCATTTTACATTTAAAATTGTTGTTAAAATACTTCAACAAAACTTACCATCACCAGGGGTACTAGGCCCAGGTTGGCGTGTGCAAACAGAATCAAAGTCTGTACAGCAGTCATTGAAGTACGGACACGCTGAGTCACAATAACATCCTCCTTGACTGCCCCAGGAGTAACACCGATTAACGCAGGTTGCTAAATGAGGGTTTCAAAGGTAAATTTCACATTATCGCGAACCAACTAATCGAGCCGGGGCCCCAAACAAGGGTTTCTCTCTTTAGAGTCCTTATCTGACACAAAATAGCGACTTGACCCGAAACTGTAAAGTCAATGATCACCTGAACGATGGCAATTCAAAACACTGCAAAAAGCAGATCTAATCACGTGCAACACTTACTGCTTGTGGATAAGCCTAGATACAGTGAGATATCGAAGGTTTAAGGTAGGGTCAGCGTAGCTGATCATATGTTATTATCCAATATTGAGCCGATGAGTTTCAGATATTTAATTTTGAGCCGTTGATATCATTTTATTGCATTTTATGTCACTACCGATGCACACCCACGTTGTCCCTGATATATTTACCTTCCCCAGAGTCATCTGGATTGGAATGGACGCAATATGTTTTGTAATCTGGACAGCAGTCACCAAAATACGGGCACGAGGAATCACAATAGCAGCCTCCCTGACCGCCCCATGTGTAACATCGGAACTGACAAGAAGCTGTGGGAGAGGTAATATCATCGGCATAAAGATTTAGAAAGCAAAATTTGTGCAACCAACTGGAAAAAATATCCGTTGTATTTCTTCGAGTTTTCTGTTACATCGGCTGCCTGGTTGAAGAAAATACTCAAACCTTTAGCTTGCAACGATTGGTAACCGTTTTGAACCAAAAAAAACCCCCGGATTTCACAACCAGTTTTAAATCTGAAGAAGTTTGAAGAGAAGAAAAGCTTAAAGGCAATGCTGCTGCGTTTTCTATCATTCTACTACAATCACTTACCATCACCAGGGATATTAGGTCCAGGTTGGCGTGTGCACACAGCAGTGAAGTCTGAACAGCAGTCTCCGAAATACGTACACGCCGAGTCACAATAACATCCTCCTTGACTGCCCCATGAGTAACATCGGTTAACGCAGGTTGCTAGAATGGAGTTCCAGAAGTTAATCAGAAATTAATAACACCGAGAGCCTTATTGACAAAATTCTGATTTCTTTTAACAATCAACAAATTCTGTAGCAAGCAAAACGTCAACTAAGACCTCAGAGTTAAAGCATTTCAAAGCTGAAAGAAATGTCTCAAATGCCACTTGATTTAATTGTGGTAAGGCCAAAAAAAAAAATAAGTCGGTCTCTGGTCAGCACGCGCGTCGATTTTAATCATTTTTTTTTTTTCCAAAATGTTCCGCGGTAGCTCCAACAGCGCCCTCTATTTCCGCACCTCCTCATTTTTTTTTACCAAAGAGCACCAAGGAATGGGAAATTGCACCAAGGCAAATGATCGAAAGCACCAAGGCAAATTATGGAGGACACCAATGTACATGAGGACACAAAAAAGCAAAATAGTACCCACCTTGTCTGTACAATCCAAGCTTGAAGAAAAAAAAAAAAAAAGCAAAAAAAAAAAAAAAGCCGCGTGGCCGCGTCAATTCCGGAACTTTGGTCTGACCAGAGACCGAATAATTTTTTTTTTTGGCCTAACAATGAGTTTAAAGTGTTCGCGATGAGGAGTGTTAAACTGAAAAAGTAATTTTCGACATATACCAAATTATTTACCATCACCGGAGCCATCTGGCGTTGATAAATGGAGGCATTTGAAAGTGATTTGTAAATATTTCAAAAATACACGCCGTCACAAGGAGATACGGGAATACAGAGTTCAGAACCATCCCTTCAAATTCTTTTTGGCGATCGACACAACAAATCTTTCCTGACGTAGATCAATTTACCTTCACCAGAGTCATCTGGCGTTGAATGGACACAATAAGTCTGGTAATCAGGACAGCAGTCGCCATAATCTGGACAGACGGAATCACAGTAGCATCCTCCTTGACTGCCGTCAGTATAGCATCTGAACTGACAAGAAGCTGGATGAACGGTAACACAAAACAAGTGAAATCTATTATAATAATGTACAAGTAATTGAAGAACAGGAGTGGGTAATTTTTTTGACAAAACCAGACGAGGGAAATTAATTACTTCTCTCAGTATGTGAAACACATGGGCTTGCTTGCCTGTTTGGCAAAAATTAAATGAGTGATTGGCAATTAGTAGAATATTGTGTACAATTAAAATGAAATCAAGTGTACTTGAAGAATAAGACACTCACCGTCTCCAAAGGTATCATTACCAGGTGTGCGTTTGCAGATAGAGGTGAAGTCTGAACAGCAGTCATTGTAATATGTACACGCCGAGTCGCAGGCACATCCTCCTTGACTGCCCCAGGAGTAACATCTATCAACGCAAGTTGCTGAAAAGAGAGTGCCAGGAATGTTTAATTAATCTTAATCATTAATGACATTCCAATAATTTTTCGTTGAAGACAATATATACTTCTCCACTACGACGGTGGTAATGATACCCGAATTGTTCAAATCACACCAACGGCCATCATTCAAGATAATCCAGGATATTCAATTTACTTTCAAGTTGAATACAAAATTGAGATATGTTATAGAAAGTATCATTCTCGATGAGTCATTAAAGATCAGGATTTTAAAGTTCAAAGCTACGATGTCTACAGAGCAAGCAACAAGATTTCAGTTAAACCTTGCACTGTAGTATAATCTACCACCGTGCCTTTTGAAGTGCATCTCAACTAGCAAACAATATTATTATAACACTGAGTGGATGACAAAATCTCTAAAGTGCATGTCTTACTCTAGAGACAGTACAGGCCTACAAGGCCAACATGTAAAGATGCATTTGAAAATCTTGGAATCAAGGTTGTTCATTTATCATGTTGTATAACCTCAAGAGAAACACATTTCAGGTATGTCCTTATCGAGATTACGCATCCCCCCCCCCCAAAAAAAAGTTCCCGACGTTGGAAATTTACCTTCACCAGAGCTATCATGTGGATGTGAATGGACGCAATAGATATTGTAATCTGGACAGCAGTCGCCAAAAGTTGTGCACACAGAATCACAATAGCATCCTCCTTGGCTGCCCCATGTGTAACATCGGAATTGACAGGTAGCTAGAGAGATCATAATAGTTAAAAATCTTTATAGCCTCAAACCAGAAACTAAAGTTTCTTAGAAATAGATATTTATTCAAGAATGATATACTATGACTCAGATGTTTTGTCTCCTTTTACTCCAATATGGTAAACAGAGAATTCCTACACCTCATCGTAATGAAAAACTAGGGTGTCAAAATTTGGGCAACAGAATGACAATAACAGGCTCCTCGACTGCTTTCAGTTGATCATAAAAAGACAAGAAATTGAGAATGGGCTGAAAAAAAAACACGAGAACATTTTAACAGGAAGCCACACATATATTTATTCTTGTGCAACTGGCTATGTGTTGCTTTCTCTCGGATGTAACACCTTGAAGAAGCAATGCCAGATCATCAATCTCCAGAAAAAAAAAGGTGAAAACCGTCAACAATTGTGGAAAAAGATGAAAAATTATTACAAAACCTATCGATAAGAGAAACGAAATCTTTGTGACAAAATTTACAACAACATATTCTCGTATATTCATGGGCTCTTTTTCATTGTGCAAATCATTTGTGAATCAAACTGAAAGAGCTATCACTTACCATCTCCAAAGACATCATTTCCAGGTGCGCGTGTGCAAACAGAAGTGAAGTCCGAACAGCAGTCGTTAAAATATGTACACGCTGAGTCGCAAGCACATCCTCCTGTACTTCCCCAGGAGTAACATCGATTGACGCAGCTTGCTGAATGGAAGACGTTAATGTTTAATAACACACTGACAACGACAGGTTTAATGTTAAGCAGCCTACCTCATGGTTCAGGTAACCTTAATGATACCGAACCCATTCAGAAAAAAGTTATTGAACTTCATCTGATCAGACGCAAAGGCAAAAATAGGTAATTGACAAACACAAAAAGTTCACAATTCTTGGATTTTGATTTTATCAACATTTTACGATCAAGTGCACGGGGAAAGACCCGCTTCTTCCTCCACCGCATCGGTGCTCGTGACAATGACACCTGCCTAAGTAGATCACCAAAGACAATAATCCTACTATATCATGTCCAATCTTCGTAAATTGGAAATTTACCTTTACCAGCGCCATAATGTGGATGTTTGTGGACGCAATAGGTATGGTAATCTGGACAGCAGTCGCCATAATCCGGACAGACGGAATCACAATAGCAACCTCCTTGACTGCCCCACTGGTAACATCGGAATTGACAGGAAGCTAGGGCAAAACGTTTTTGAAATTGAAATTTTTAATGAGGAATGCTTAACTGTATTACACAGATTTTCCATGAAATTCAAATGAAGTTTCCCAATTGGCTACCATGAAAGACACCCTACAAGACAAGTTATGGTGTAGAGCTACTATGCGCAATAATTTAGGCACACACTAACAGTAAGAACTTCCTTGATTGTTGTGAGTCTAACATCACACACGACACGAAACTAGCAATAGGGCAGAAAAGAAGCGTGCAACAATAAAACTTTCAACATTGATTTCTTCATACTAACTTACTCAAGGATTGAAGACTTACAAAGTTAAACATCGAAAGCCATGTCAAATAAAGGCACAACCTATATAAGTTTCACACAATTTGAAAACAGAATCGATTTAAAAATAATTTACAAGATTTGCTCAGACAGATAGCATCTCCTCAAATATCACGACTACAATGTAAACTTTTGGAATGGACGAATACATTCCAATTTAACAATTGGTGGAAATCCAGTAATTCGTTTGAGTTAAAAACCACTCACCGTCTCCAAAGACATTATTTGCAGGTGAGCGCGTGCAAACAGAGGTGAAGTCTAAACAACAATCGTCCCAATACGTACACGCCGAGTCACAAAAACATCCTCCTTGACTGCCCCAGGAGTAACAGCGATTAACACAGCTTCCTGAAACGACGATGATCAAGGTAAACCTGATTAAGTACCCAACTCAGAAATCTGCAGAGTAGAATAGTCCTCTACAGTTATACAATCTTGATAAAAACCAATTATGCCAAACGTGTCTAGCGGTTAACTGCAACCGATTAATGAATCTCAAAACAATGAGAGGCGACGTTAATAAAAAAAAAAACTCCTTTAAACAACTAAAAATTATAAGAGAATAAATGTGTGCTTTGCCGGCTTTAAACACTGTGTGTAAGACCGGTTTGGAGTCTGGACGCTGATAATGACCATATTGATAATAGTAGTGTTTAAAACCGACCAAACATATAATCCTATTCATAAATACCCTTTTTCGGTCAGAGGGTCAAAACAAGTAAGTCAATAAATTTAATTCATATTATTTTAAACACCCCTCTTGCTGTGTTATTGTATGTGCCTCTCGCGAGTAAATCGTAAACACGTGCTGTTCCGGTAAACACTGTCTTAGACGATTATTATGAACGTCTCAATACAGTCAAAAGCGGATACGGGTGTATGGTCATACAGAGTTAGGAACTGGTTACTGCCCCCCCAAATTCTTTTAGGCTCTCGGCACTACAAATAAATTTACCTTCACCGGAGTCATGTGGCGTTGAATGGATGCAATAGGCATTGTAATCATGGCAACAGTCACCATAATTTGGGCACACGGAATCACAGTAACAACCTCCTTGACTGCCGTCAGTATAGCATCTGAACTGACACGAAGCTGGTACAGAAGTTAAAAGAAAGAAATAGTAAACAAAACGAAGTAAAATCATACAATTTTCTTTGGTAAAGTGCACTCAATATTGACCTACTCATTCTTCATGCTAATGTGCGAAGGCCTGTCTATTTCGAGCAACTTATTTCAGACATTGTTCGGCCAATGGACAAAGACAGTAAATAAAACCCTGAAAAGCCTTAAGAACTTTTTTAATGGTATAGACATGTCAAAATGGATATTACAACGAACATTGCTATTTATAATTTTGAAATATTAATATTCCCCTTTTCGTATGTTAAAATTGCGTTTAAAGGAAACCAATTTCTGTCACTTAATCACAACATACACTTACCATCTCCAAAGACATCATTTCCAGGTTGGCGTACGCAAACAGAACTGAAATCAGAACAGCAATCGCCCCAAAACGTACAAGACGAGTCACAGTAACATCCTCCTTGACTGCCCCAGGAGTAACATCGATTGACGCAGGAAGCTTATATGGGGATATAAGAAGGAAATCAATGAATTTATTTCTGGAAACAAAAATAACCTAAACTATACCGAGATATCAAGAAAATATCACTCGATCCATGTCTGGAGCCAGAGATGGACTAGAAAGTAAAACAAAACAAGTAAACTCATAGTTCTGGCATTCCATTCATTTACATTTAAAATTGTTGTTAAAATACTTCAACAAAACTTACCATCACCAGGGGTACTAGGTCCAGGATGGCGTGTGCAAATAGAATTGAAGTCTGTACAGCAGTCATTGAAATACGGACACGCTGAGTCACAATAACATCCTCCTTGACTGCCCCAGGAGTAACACCGATTAACGCAGGTTGCTAAATGAGGGTATCAAAGGTAAATTGCACATGATCTGACTAATCGAGCCGGGGTTTCTAACAAGGGTTTTCCTCCCAGATTTCTTTTCACACACAAAAAAGTGATTAGACCCAAAACTGTAAAGTCAATGATTACGTGAACGATGGCAATTAAAAACACTGTAAAATACAGATCTGATCCTGTGAAACACTCACTGCTTGTGGAGTCAGTGAGATATTGAAGGTTCAAGGTAAGGTCAATGCAATTTAAATATGTCAATACCAATGCACACCCACGTTTTCCTCCGAAAAATTTACCTTCCCCGGAGTCATCTGGATTGGAATGGACGCAATATGTTTCGTAATCTGGACAGCAGTCGCCAAAATACGGGCACGAGGAATCACAATAGCAGCCTCCCTGACCGCCCCATGTGTAACATCGGAACTGACAAGAAGCTGTGGGAGAGGTAATAGCATTGGCATAATTATTAAGAAAGTAATATTTGTGCAATCAACTGGAAAAATTAATCCTTGTATTTCTGTAAGTTTTCTGTTCAAAGCTGCCTGGTCTCAGAAAATATTAAAACCTTAGCTTGCAACGATTGGTGACTATTTTGTACCCCAAGAACCTGATTTCACAATTTTTAAATCCGACGTAGTTTGAAGATAAGAAAAGCTTCAAGGCAATGGTGCTGCGTTTTCAACCATTCTACCTTTCAATATAATAACTTATAGCACTCAAACATGGGACAGGATATAAAAACTACTTACGATCACCAGGAGTACTTGGTCCAGGTTGGCGTGTGCACACAGCAGTGAAGTCTGAACAGCAGTCACCAAAATACGTACACGCCGAGTCACAATAACATCCTCCTTGACTGCCCCATGAGTAACATCGTTAACGCAGGTTTCTAGAATGGAGTTTCAGAAGTTAATCAGAAATTAATAACACCGAGAGTCTTATTGACAAAAAACTGCTTCCTTTAACAATCTTCACATTTTGTAGCAAGCAAAACGTTAACTAAGACTTCCAAGTGTAAGCATTTCAAAGCTGAATAAAATTGCTCAAATGCCTCTTGACTTAATTGTTGTAACAATAAGTTCAAAATGTAAAGGATGTGCAGTAAGCAACTGATAATTTAGTCATTTTCGACATAGACTAATTTACCTTCACCAGAGTCATCTGGCGTTGAATGGACGCAATAAGTCTGGTAATCAGGACAGCAGTCGCCATAATCTGGACAGACGGAATCACAGTAGCATCCTCCTTGACTGCCGTCAGTATAGCATCTGAACTGACAAGAAGCTGGATGAACGGTAACAGAAAACAAGTGAAATCTATTATAATAATGTACAAGTAATTGAAGAACAGGAGTGGGTAATTTTTTTGACAAAACAAGTTGAGGGAAATTAATTACTTCTCTCAGTATATGAAACACATTGGCTTGCTTGTCTGTTTGGCAAAAATTAAATGAGTGATTGGCAATTAGTAGAATATTGTGTACAATCAAGTGTACTTGAAGAGTAAGAAACTTACCGTCTCCAAAGGTATCATTACCAGGTGTGCGTTTGCAGACAGTAGTGAAGTCTGAACAGCAGTCTTCATAATATGTACACGCCGAGTCACAGGCACATCCTCCTTGACTGCCCCAGGAGTAACATCTATCAACGCAAGTTGCTGAAAAGAGAGTGCCAGGAATGTTTAATTAATCTTAATCATTAATGACATTCATATAATACTTCATTGAAGACAATATATATCTCTCAACTACGACAATGGTAATGATACCCGAATTGTTCAAATCACACCAACGGCCATCATTCAAGATAATCCAAGATATTCAATTTACTTCTAAGGTGAATACAAATTTGAGATATTTTATAGAAAGTATCATTCTTGATGAGTCATTAAAGATCAGCATTTTAAAGTTCAAAGCTACGAGGTCTACAGAGCAAGCAACAAGATTTCAGTTAAACCTTGCACTGTAGTATAATCTACCACCGTGCCTTTTGAAGTGCATGTCAACTAGCAAGCAATATAATTATAACACCGAGTGGATGACAAAATCTCTAAAGTGCATGTCTGACTCTAGAAAAAATACAGGCCTACGAGGCCAACATTGATGCATTTGAAAACTATCTTGGAATCAAGGTTGTTCATTTATCATGTTGTATAACCGCATACGAAACACATTTCAGGAATGTCCCTCATCGAGATTACGCACCCCCCCCCCCCCCCATCGTTCCCGACGTTTGCAATTTACCTTCACCAGAGCTATCATGTGGATGTGAATGGACGCAATAGATATTGTAATCTGGACAGCAGTCGCCAAAAGTTGGGCACACAGAATCACAATAGCATCCTCCTTGGCTGCCCCATGTGTAACATCGGAATTGACAGGTAGCTAGAGAGATCATAATAGTTAAAAATCTTTATAGCCTCAAACCAGAAACTTAAGTTTCTTAGAAATAGATATTTATTCAACAATGATGTACTATGACTCAGATGTTTTGTCTCCTTTTACTTCAATATGGTAAACAGAGAATTCGTACACCTCATCGTAATGAAAAACTAGGATGTCAAAATTTGGGCAACGGAATGACAATAACAGGCTCCTCGACTGTTTTCAGTTTATCATAAAAAGACAAGAAATTGAGAATGGGCTGAAAAGAAACACGAGAACATTTTAACAGGAAGCCACACATATTTATTCTTGTGCAACTGGCTATGTGTTGCTTTCTCTCGGATGTAACACCTTGAAGAAGCAATGCCAGATCATCAATCTCCAGAAAAAAAAAGGTGAAAACCGTCAACAATTGTGGAAAAAGATGAAAAATTATTACAAAACCTATCGATAAGAGAAACGAAATCTTTGTGACAAAATTTACAACAACATATTCTCGTATATTCATGGGCTCTTTTTCATTGTGCAAATCATTTGTGAATCAAACTGAAAGAGCTATCACTTACCATCTCCAAAGACATCATTTCCAGGTGCGCGTGTGCAAACAGAAGTGAAGTCCGAACAGCAGTCGTTAAAATATGTACACGCTGAGTCGCAAGCACATCCTCCTGTACTTCCCCAGGAGTAACATCGATTGACGCAGCTTGCTGAATGGAAGACGTTAATGTTTAATAACACACTGACAACGACAGGTTTAATGTTAAGCAGCCTACCTCATGGTTCAGGTAACCTAAATGATACCGAACCCATTCAGAAAAAAGTTATTGAACTTCATCTGATCAGACGCAAAGGCAAAAATAGGTAATTGACAAACACAAAAAGTTCACAATTCTTGGATTTTGATTTTATCAACATTTTACGATCAAGTGCACGGGGAAAGACCCGCTTCTTCCTCCACCGCATCGGTGCTCGTGACAATGACACCTGCCTAAGTAGATCACCAAAGACAATAATCCTACTATATCATGTCCAATCTTCGTAAATTGGAAATTTACCTTTACCAGCGCCATAATGTGGATGTTTGTGGACGCAATAGGTATGGTAATCTGGACAGCAGTCGCCATAATCCGGACAGACGGAATCACAATAGCAACCTCCTTGACTGCCCCACTGGTAACATCGGAATTGACAGGAAGCTAGGGCAAAACGTTTTTGAAATTGAAATTTTTAATGAGGAATGCTTAACTGTATTACACAGATTTTCCATGAAATTCAAATGAAGTTTCCCAATTGGCTACCATGAAAGACACCCTACAAGACAAGTTATGGTGTAGAGCTACTATGCGCAATAATTTAGGCACACACTAACAGTAAGAACTTCCTTGATTGTTGTGAGTCTAACATCACACACGACACGAAACTAGCAATAGGGCAGAAAAGAAGCGTGCAACAATAAAACTTTCAACATTGATTTCTTCATACTAACTTACTCAAGGATTGAAGACTTACAAAGTTAAACATCGAAAGCCATGTCAAATAAAGGCACAACCTATATAAGTTTCACACAATTTGAAAACAGAATCGATTTAAAAATAATTTACAAGATTTGCTCAGACAGATAGCATCTCCTCAAATATCACGACTACAATGTAAACTTTTGGAATGGACGAATACATTCCAATTTAACAATTGGTGGAAATCCAGTAATTCGTTTGAGTTAAAAACCACTCACCGTCTCCAAAGACATTATTTGCAGGTGAGCGCGTGCAAACAGAGGTGAAGTCTAAACAACAATCGTCCCAATACGTACACGCCGAGTCACAAAAACATCCTCCTTGACTGCCCCAGGAGTAACAGCGATTAACACAGCTTCCTGAAACGACGATGATCAAGGTAAACCTGATTAAGTACCCAACTCAGAAATCTGCAGAGTAGAATAGTCCTCTACAGTTATACAATCTTGATAAAAACCAATTATGCCAAACGTGTCTAGCGGTTAACTGCAACCGATTAATGAATCTCAAAACAATGAGAGGCGACGTTAATAAAAAAAAAAACTCCTTTAAACAACTAAAAATTATAAGAGAATAAATGTGTGCTTTGCCGGCTTTAAACACTGTGTGTAAGACCGGTTTGGAGTCTGGACGCTGATAATGACCATATTGATAATAGTAGTGTTTAAAACCAACCAAACATATAATCCTATTCATAAATACCCTTTTTCGGTCAGAGGGTCACAACAAGTAAGTCAATCAATTTACTTCATATTATTTTAAACACCCCTCTTGCTGTGTTATTGTATGTGCCTCTCGCGAGTAAATCGTAAACACGTGCCGTTCCGGTAAACACAGTCTTAGACAATTATTATGAACGTCTCAAAACAGTCAAAAGCGGATACGGGTACATGGTCATACAGAGTTAGGAACTGGTTACTGTCCCCTCAAATTCTTTTAGGCTCTCGGCACTACAAATAAATTTACCTTCACCAGAGTCATTTGGCGTTGAATGGATGCAATAGGCATTGTAATCGTCGCAACAGTCACCGTAATTTGGGCAGACGGAATCACAGTAACAACCTCCTTGACTGCCGTCAGTATAGCATCTGAACTGACACGAAGCTGGTACAGAAGTTAAAAGAAAAAAATAGTAAACAAAACGAAGTAAAATCATACAATTTTCTTTGGTAAAGTGTACTTAATATTGACGTACTCATTCTTCATGCTAATGTGCGAAGGCCTGTCTATTTCGAGCAACTTATTTCAAACACTGTTCGGCCAATGGACAAAGACAGTAAATAAAACCCTGAAAAGCCTTCAGAACCTTTTTAGTGGTAAAGACATGTCAAAATGGATATTACAAGGAACATTGCTATTTATAATTTTGAAATATTAATATTCCCCTTTTCGTATGTTAAAATTGCGTTTTTAAGGAAACCAATTTCTGTCACTTAATCACAACATACACTTACCATCTCCAAAGACATCATTTGTAGGTTGGCGTACACAAACAGAACTGAAGTCAGAACAGCAATCGCCCCAAAACGTACAAGACGAGTCACAGTAACATCCTCCTTGACTGCCCCAGGAGTAACATCGATTGACGCAGGAAGCTTTTTGTGGGGATATAAGAAGTAAATCAATGAATTAATTGCTGAGAAAAAAAAAACACCCAACCTATACCGAGATATCAAGAAAATATCACTTGATCCTTCTAGAGCCAAAGATGGACTGGAAAGTAAAACAGATCAAGTAAACTCATTGTTCTGGCATTCCATTCATTTTACATTTAAAATTGTTGTTGAATACTTCAACAAAACTTACCATCACCAGGGGTACTAGGTCCAGGATGGCGTGTACAAATAGAATTGAAGTCTGTACAGCAGTCATTGAAATACGGACAAGCTGAGTCACAATAACATCCTCCTTGACTGCCCGAGGAGTAACACCGATTAACGCAGGTTGCTAAATGAGGGTATCAAAGGTAAATTGCACATGATTCGACTAATCGAGCCGGGGTTTCTAACAAGGGTTTTCCTCCAAGATTTCTTTTCACACACAAAATCGTGACTTGACCCAAAACTGTAAAGTCAATGATTAACTGACGATGGCAATTCAAAACACTGTAAAATGCAGATGTGATCCTGTGAAACACTCACTGCTTGTGGAGTCAGTGAGATATTGAAGGTTCAAGGTAAGGTCAATGCAATTTAAATATGTCAATACCAAAGCACACCCACGTTTTGCTCCGAAAAATTTACCTTCCCCAGAGTCATCTGGATTGGAATGGACGCAATATGTTTCGTAATCTGGACAGCAGTCACCAAAATACGGGCACGAGGAATCACAATAGCAGCCTCCCTGACCGCCCCATGTGTAACATCGGAACTGACAAGAAGCTGTGGGAGAGGTAATAGCATCGGCATAATTATTAAGAAAGTAATATTTGTGCAATCAACTGGAAAAATTAATCCTTGTATTTCTGTAAGTTTTTCTGTTCAAAGCTGCCTAGTCTCAGAAAATATTAAAACCTTAGCTTCCAACGATTGGTAACTATTTTGTACCCAAAAAACTGATTTCTCAATTTTTAAATCCGAAGTAGTTTGAAGATAAGAAAAGCTTAAAGGCAATGGTGCTGCGTTTTCAACCATTCTACCTTTCGATATAATAACTTATAGCACTCAAACATGGGACAGGATATAAAAACCACTTACGATCACCAGGAGTACTTTGTCCAGGTTGGCGTGTGCACACAGCAGTGAAGTCTGAACAGCAGTCACCAAAATACGTACACGCCGAGTCACAATAACATCCTCCTTGACTGCCCCATGAGTAACATCGGTTAACGCAGGTTGCTAGAATGGAGTTTCAGAAGTTAATCAGAAATTAATAACACCGAAAGCGTTATTGACAAAAAACTGGTTTCTTTGACAATCTTCACATTTTGTAGCAAGCAAAACGTTAACTAAGACTTCTGAGTGTAAGCATTTCAAAGCTGAATGAAATCGCTCAATTGCCTCTTAATTTAATTGTTGTAACAAGAAGTTCAAAATGTAAACAATGTGCAGCAAGCAGCCGATTAAGTCAGTTTCGACATAGACTAATTTACCTTCACCAGAGTCATCAGGCGTTGAATGGACGCAATAAGTCTGGTAATCAGGACAGCAGTCGCCATAATCTGGACAGACGGAATCACAGTAGCATCCTCCTTGACTGCCGTCAGTATAGCATCTGAACTGACAAGAAGCTGGATGAACGGTAACAGAAAACAAGTGAAATCTATTATAATAATGTACAAGTAATTGAAGAACAGGAGTGGGTAATTGTTTTGACAAAACAAGTTGAGGGAAATTAATTACTTCTCTCAGTATATGAAACACATTGGCTTGCTTGCCTGTTTGGCAAAAATTAAATGAGTGATTGGCAATTAGTAGAATATTGTGTACAATTAAAATGAAATCAAGTGTACTTGAAGAGTAAGAAACTTACCGTCTCCAAAGGTATCATTACCAGGTGTGCGTTTGCAGACAGTAGTGAAGTCTGAACAGCAGTCTTCATAATATGTACACGCCGAGTCACAGGCACATCCTCCTTGACTGCCCCAGGAGTAACATCTATCAACGCAAGTTGCTGAAAAGAGAGTGCCAGGAATGTTTAATTAATCTTAATCATTAATGACATTCATATAATACTTCATTCATAAATACCTCAGACAGTTTAGCTATTCCTATTGGTCGAGAGCCCGTCACGTGGCCGGTCTTAAACGGATGATAAAGACATGGCTAGCTGGTCTTAAACACTTTTCCAGTGTCACCATAAAATGTGGACTCCTAAAAATCCAGTGCCTCTTACCGTTTCATTGGTTGAACGTTCACAATTCTCACGTAGGCATGCGCAACACTACAAGCGAGTCAGAATTTTATAGTTCTAAATTCAAAACGCAATGCCCCAGGTGCGTTCTGCGTAACATCGCCCAGAACATGTTACGCGCGCGTCAATCTCCATAAAAGGGTTGTTTACATCTTACTCGCCAGCTGAACACTCCATTATTTTGCTAGAGGGATGTTTCAAAAAGCATGAAGTGAACTTGTTGAACAAAATCGGGATTTTTTGAACGAATTATTTGATATTTTTTTACGGATAAGGTATTTATGAATGGGAATAAATATGTGCTCGGTCGGTATTTATCACTCTGTTTAATACCGCTTAGAGTCTGGGTGCTGATAATTACCCTCGCCTCCGGCTCGGGTAATTATCAGCACCCAGACTCTAAGCGGTATTAAACGAGTGATAAAAACCTCTGGAGCACACATTTATTCCCTTATTGAAGACAATATATACCTCTCAACTACGACAATGGTAATGATACCCGAATTGTTCAAATCACACCAACGGCCATCATTCAAGATAATCCAAAATATTCAATTTACTTTTAAGGTGCATACAAATTTGAGATATTTTATAGAAAGTATCATTCTTGATGAGTCATTAAAGATCAGGATCTTAAAGTTCAAAGCTACGAGGTCTACAGAGCAAACAAACGCGATTTCAGTTAAACCTTGCACTGTAGTATAATCTACCACCGTGCCTTTTGAAGTGCATGTCAAGTAGCAAGCAATATCATTATAACACCGAGTGGATGACAGAATCTCTAAAGTGCATGTCTTACTCTAGAGTCAATACAGGCCTACAAGGCCAACATGTAAAGATGCATTTGAAAACTATCTTGGAATCAAGGTTGTTCATTTATCATGTTGTATAACCTCAAGAGAAACACATTTCAGGTATGTCCTTATCGAGATTGCGCACCCCCCAAACGTTCCCGACGTTGGCAATTTACCTTCTCCAGAGCTATCATGTGGATGTGAATGGACGCAATAGATATTGTAATCTGGACAGCAGTCGCCAAAAGTTGGGCAGACAGAATCACAATAGCATCCTCCTTGGCTGCCCCATGTGTAACATCGGAATTGACAGGTAGCTAGAGAGATCATAATAGTTGTAAATCTTTATAGCCTCAAACCAGAAACTGAAAGTTTCTTAGAAATAGATATTTATTCAACAATGATATACTATGACTCTGATGTTTTGTCTCCTTTTACTTCAATATGGTAAACAGAGAATTCCTACACCTCATCGTAATGAAAAACTAGGATGTCAAAATTTGGGCAACGGAATGACAATAACAGGCTCCTCGACTGCTTTCAGTTTATCATAAAAAGACTAGCAATTGAGAATGGGCTGAAAACAAACACGAGAACATTTTAACAGGAAGCCACACATATTTATTCTTGTGCAACTGGCTATGTGTTGCTTTCTCTCGGATGTAACACCTTGAAAAAGCAATGCCAGATCATCAATCTCCAGAAAAAAAAAGGTGAAAACCGTCAACAATTGTGGAAAAAGATGAAAAATTATTACAAAACTGATCGATAAGAGAAACGAAATCTGTGACCAAATTTACAACATCATATTCTCGTATATTCATGAGCTCTTTTTCATTGTGTAAATCATTTGTGAATCAAACTTAAAGAGCTATCACTTACCATCTCCAAAGACATCAGTTCCAGGTGCGCGTGTGCAAACCGAAGTGAAGTCCGAACAGCAGTCGTTAAAATATGTACACGCTGAGTCGCAGGCACATCCTCCTTGACTGCCCCAGGAGTAACATCGATCAACGCAGGTTGCTGAAAAGAGAGTGTGAGGATTGTTATTATATTTAATCTAATTTAATTTCATTAAAAACATTCTAAGAATTTCTCATACTGAAGTGAAGTCTGAACAGCAGTCCTTAACATAATGTACACGCCGAGTCGCAAGCACATCCTCCTGTACTTCCCCAGGAGTAACATCGATTGACGCAGCTTGCTAAATGGAAGACGTTAATGTTTAATAACACACCGACAACGACAGGTTTAATGTTAACGAGACTACCCATGGTTCAGGTAACCTTAATGATACCGAACCTATTCAGAAAAAAAGTTATTGAACTTGATCTGATCAGCCGCAAAGGCAAAAATAGGTAATTGACAAACCCAAACAGTTCACAATTCTTGGATTTTGATTTAATCAACATTTTACGATCAAGTGCATGGGGAAAGACCCGCTTCTTCCTCCACCGCATCGGTGCTCGTGACAATGACACCTGTCTAAGTCGGTCACCAAAGACAATAATCCTGCTATATCCTGCCCAATCTTCGTCAATTGGAAATTTACCTTTACCAGCGCCATAATGTGGATGTTTGTGGATGCAATAGGTATGGTAATCTGGACAGCAGTCACCATAATTGGGGCACACGGAATCACAATAGCAACCTCCTTGGCTGCCCCATTGGTAACATCGGAATTGACAGGAAGCTAGGACAAAACGTTTTTGAAATTGAAAATTTTAATGAGGAATGCTAACTATATTACACAGATTTCCCATGAAATTCAAATGAAGTTTCCCAATCGGCTACCATGAAAGACGCCCTACAAGACAAGTTATTGTGTTGAGCCACTATGCGCAATTATTTAGGCACACACTAACAGTAAGAACCTCCTTGTTTGTTGGGAGTCTAACATCACACACGGCATGAAAATAGAAATAGGACCAAAAAGAAGCGTGCAACAATAACACTTTAAACATTGATTTCTTCATAGTAACTTAATCTTTTTAAGGATTGAAGACTTACAAAGTTAAACATCGAAAGCCATGTCAAATGAAGGCACCACTTATATAAGTTTCACACAATTTGAAAACAGAATCGATTGAAAAATAATTTACAAGATTCGCTCAGACAGATTGCATCTTCTCAAATATCACGACCACAATGTAAACTTTTGGAATGGACGAATACATTCCAATTTAACGATTGGTGGAAATCCAGTAATTCGTTTGAGTTAAAAATCACTCACCGTCTCCAAAGACATTATTTGCAGGTGAGCGCGTGCAAACAGAGGTGAAGTCTAAACAACAATCGCCCCAATACGTACACGCCGAGTCACAAAAACATCCTCCTTGACTGCCCCAGGAGTAACAGCGATTAACACAGCTTCCTGAAACGACGATGATCAAGGTAAACCTGATTAAGTATCCAACTCAGAAATCGGCAGGGTAGAATATTCCTCTACAGTTATACAATCTTGATAAAAACCAATTATGCCAAACGTGTCTAGCGGTTAACTGCAACCGATTAATGAATCTCAAAACAATGAGAGGCGACGTTAATAAAAAAAAAAACTCCTTTAAACAACTAAAAATTATAAGAGAATAAATGTGTGCTTTGCCGGCTTTAAACACTGTGTGTAAGACTGGTTTGGAGTCTGGACGCTGATAATGACCATATTGATAATAGTAGTGTTTAAAACCGACCAAACATATAATCCTATTCATAAATACCCTTTTTTTTTGTCAGAGGGTCAAAACAATTAAGTCAATCAATTTAATTCATATTATTTTAAACACCCCTCTTGCTGTGTTATTGTATGTGCCTCTCGCGAGTAAATCGTAAACACGTGCCGTTCCGGTAAACACTGTCTTAGACGATTAATATGAACGTCTCAATACAGTCAAAAGCGGATACGGGTGAATGGTCATACAGAGTTAGGAACTGGTTACTGTCCCTTCAAATTCTTTTAGGCTCTCGGCACTACAAATAAATTTACCTTCACCGGAGTCATTTGGCGTTGAATGGATGCAATAGGCATTGTAATCATGGCAACAGTCACCGTAATTTGAGCAGACGGAATCACAGTAGCAACCTCCTTGACTGCCGTCAGTATAGCATCTGAACTGACACGAAGCTGGTACAGAAGTTAAAAGAAAAAAAAAGTAAACAAAACGAAGTAAAATCATACAATTTTCTTTGGTAAAGTGCACTCAATATTGACCTACTCGTTCTTCATGCTAATGTGCGAAGGCCTGTCTATTTTGAGCAACTTATTTCAAACATTGTTCGGCCAATGGAAAAGACAGTAAATAAAACCCTGAAAAGCCTTTAGAACTTTTTTAATGGTAAAGACATGTCAAAATGGATATTACAAGGAACATTGCTGTTTATAATTTTAAAATATTAATATTCCCCTTTTCGTATGTTAAAATTGCGTTTAAAGGAAACCAATTTCTGTCACTTAATCACACCATACACTTACCATCTCCAAAGACATCATTTGCAGGTTGGCGTACGCAAACAGAACTGAAGTCAGAACAGCAATCGCCCCAAAACGTACAAGACGAGTCACAGTAACATCCTCCTTGACTGCCCCAGGAGTAACATCGATTGACGCAGGAAGCTTATATGGGGATATAAGAAGGAAATCAATGAATTAATTTCTGGAAACAAAAATAACCCAAACTATACCGAGATATCAAGAAAATATCACTCGATCCTTCTAGAGCCAAAGATGGACTAGAAAGTAAAACAGATCAAGTAAACTCATAGTTCTGGCATTCCATTCATTTTACATTTAAAATTGTTGTTGAATACTTCAACAAAACTTACCATTACCAGGGGTACTAGGTCCAGGATGGCGTGTGCAAATAGAATTGAAGTCTGTACAGCAGTCATTGAAATACGGACACGCTGAGTCGCAATAACATCCTCCTTGACTGCCCCAGGAGTAACACCGACTGACGCAGGTTGCTAAATGAGGGTATCAAAGGTAAATTGCACATGATCTGACTAATCGAGCCGGGTTTCTAACAAGGGTTTTCCTCCCAGATTTCTTTTCACACACAAAAAAGTGACTTGACCCAAAACTGTAAAGTCAATGATTAACTGACGATGGCAATTCAAAACACTGTAAAATACAGATCTGATCCTGTGAAACACTCACTGCTTGTGGAGTCAGTGAGATATTGAAGGTTCAAGGTAAGGTCAATGCAATTTAAATATGTCAATACCAATGCACACCCACGTTGTCCTCTGAAAAATGTACCTTCCCCGGAGTCATCTGGATTGGAATGGACGCAATATGTTTCGTAATCTGGACAGCAGTCGCCAAAATACGGGCACGAGGAATCACAATAGCAGCCTCCCTGACCGCCCCATGTGTAACATCGGAACTGACAAGAAGCTGTGGGAGAGGTAATAGCATCGGCATAATTATTAAGAAGGTAATATTTGTGCAATCAACTGGAAAAATTAATCCTTGTATTTCTGTAAGTTTTTCTGTTCAAAGCTGCCTGGTCTCAGAAAATATTAAAACCTTAGCTTGCAACCAGTGGTGACTATTTTGTACCCAAAAAAACTGATTTCACAATTTTTAAATCCGACGTAGTTTGAAGATAAGAAAAGCTTAAACATGTTAAAGGCAATGGTGCTGCGTTTTCAACCATTCTACCTTTCGATATAATAACTTATAGCACTCAAACATGGGACAGGATAAAAAAAACTACTTACGATCACCAGGAGTACTTGGTCCAGGTTGGCGTGTGCACACAGCAGTGAAGTCTGAACAGCAGTCACCGAAATACGTACACGCCGAGTCACAATAACATGCTCCTTGACTGCCCCATGAGTAACATCGGCTAACGCAGGTTGCTAGAGTTTCAGAAGTTATTCGGAAATTATTAACACCGAGAGCGTTATTGACAAAAAACTGCTTCCTTTAACAATCTACACATTTTGTAGCAAGCAAAACGTTAACTAAGACTTCCGAGTGTAAGCATTTCAAAGCTGAATGAAATTGCTCAATTGCCTCTTGACTTATTGTTGTAACAATAAGTTCAAAATGTAAACGATGTGCAGCAAGCAACTGATAAAGTCAGTTTCGACATAGACTAATTTACCTTCACCAGAGTCATCTGGCGTTGAATGGACGCAATAAGTCTGGTAATCAGGACAGCAGTCGCCATAATCTGGACAGACGGAATCACAGTAGCATCCTCCTTGACTGCCGTCAGTATAGCATCTGAACTGACAAGAAGCTGGATGAACGGTAACACAAAACAAGTGAAATCTATTATAATAATGTACAAGTAATTGAAGAACACGAGTGGGTAATTTTTTTGACAAAACAAGTTGAGGGAAATTAATTACTTTTCTCAGTTTGTGAAACACATTGGCTTGCTTGTCTGTTTGGCAAAAATCAAATGAGTGATTGGCAATTAGTAGAATATTGTGTACAATTAAAATGAAATTAAGTGTACTTGAAGAATAAGACACTCACCGTCTCCAAAGGTATCATTACCAGGTGTGCGTTTGCAGATAGAGGTGAAGTCTGAACAGCAGTCATCGTAATATGTACACGCCGAGTCACAGGCACATCCTCCTTGACTGCCCCAGGAGTAACATCGATCAACGCAAGTTGCTGAAAAGAGAGTGCAAGGAATGTTTAATTAATCTTAATCATTAATGACATTCAAATAATACTTCATTGAAGACAATATATACCTCTCAACTACGACAATGGTAATGATACCCGAATTGTTCAAATCACTCCAACGGTCATCATTCAAGATAATCCAGGATATTCAATTTACTTTTAAGGTAAATACAAAATTGAGATATGTTACAGAAAGTATCATTCTTGATGAGTCATTAAAGATCAGGATCTTAAAGTTCAAAGCTACGAGGTCTACAGAGCAAACAAACGCGATTTCAGTTAAACCTTGCACTGTAGTATAATCTACCACCGTGCCTTTTGAAGTACATGTCAACTAGCAAGCAATATTATTATAACACCAAGTGGATGACAAAAACTCTAAAGTGTATGTCTTACTCTAGAAAAAAATACAGGCCTACAAGGCTAACATGTAAAGATGCATTTGAAAACTTCCTAGGAATCAAGGTGGTTCATTTATCATGTTGTATAACCGCATACGAAACACATTTCAGGAATGTCCCTCATCGAGATTACGCACCCCCCCCCCCCCATCGTTCCCGACGTTTGCAATTTACCGTCTCCAGAGCTATCATGTGGATGTGAATGGACGCAATAGATATTGTAATCTGGACAGCAGTCGCCAAAAGTTGGGCACACAGAATCACAATAGCATCCTCCTTGGCTGCCCCATGTGTAACATCGGAATTGACAGGTAGCTAGAGAGATCATAATAGTTAAAAATCTTTATAACCTCAAACCAGAAACTAAAGTGTCTTAGAAATAGATATTTATTCAACAATGATATACTATGATTCAGATGTTTTGTCTCCTTTTACTTCAATATGGTAAACAGAGAATTCCTACACCTCATCGTAATGAAAAACTAGGGTGTCAAAATTTGGGCAAAGGAATGACAATAACAGGCTCCTCGATTGCTTTCAGTTGATCATAAAAAGACTAGCAATTGAGAATGGGCTGAAAAGAAACACGAGAACATTTGAACAGGAAGCCACACATATATTTATTCTTGTGCAACTGGCTATGTGTTGCTTTCTCTCGGATGTAACACCTTGAAAAAGCAATGCCAGATCATCAATCTCCAGAAAAAAAAGGTGAAAACCGTCAACAATTGTGGAAAAAGTTGAAAAATTATTACAAAACTGATCGATAAGAGAAACGAAATCTGTGACCAAAATTACATCGTCATATTCTCGTATATTCATGGGCTCTTTTTCATTGTGCAAATCATTTGTGAATCAAACTGAAAGAGCTATCACTTACCATCTCCAAAGACATCATTTCCAGGTGCGCGTGTGCAAACCGAAGTGAAGTCCGAACAGCAGTCGTTAAAATATGTACACGCTGAGTCGCAGGCACATCCTCCTTGACTGCCCCTGGAGTAACATCGATCAACGCAGGTTGCTGAAAAGAGAGTGTGAGGATTGTTATTATATTTAATCTAATTTAATTTCATTAAAAACATTCTAAGAATTTCTCATACTGAAGTGAAGTCTGAACAGCAGTCCTTAAAATATGTACACGCCGAGTCGCAAGCACATCCTCCTGTACTTCCCCAGGAGTAACATCGATTGACGCAGCTCGCTAAATGGAAGACGTTAATGTTTAATAACACACCGACAACGACAGGTTTAATGTTAACGAGACTGCCTCATGGTTCAGGTAACCTTAATGATACCGAACCTATTCAGATAAAAGTTATTGAACTTCATCTGATCAGACACAAAGGCAAAAATAGGTAATTGACAAACCCAAAAAGTTCACAATTCTTGGATTTTGATTTGATCATCATTTTACGATCAAGTGCACGGGGAAAGACCCGCTTCTTCCTCCACCGCATCGGTGCTCGTGACAATGACACCTGACGAAGTCGATCACCAAAGACAATAATCCTGCTATATCCTGCCCAATCTTCGTAAATTGGAAATTTACCTTTACCAGCGCCATAATGTGGATGTTTGTGGACGCAATAGGTATGGTAATCTGGACAGCAGTCGCCATAATTGGGGCACACGGAATCACAGTAGCAACCTCCTTGACTGCCCCATTGGTAACATCGGAATTGACAGGAAGCTAGGACAAAAAGTTTTTGAAATTGAAATTTTTAATGACGAATGCTTAACTGTATTACACAGATTTCCCATTAAATTCAAATGAATTTTCCCAATCAGCATTTTTCAATACCATGAAAGACACCCTACAAGACAAGTTATGGTGTAGAGCTACTATGCGCAATAATTTAGGCACACACTAACAGTAAGAACCTCCTTGTTTGTTGGGAGTCTAACATCACACACGACACAAAACTAGAAATAGGACCAAAAAGAAGCGTGCAACAATAACACTTTAAACATTGATTTCTTCATACTAACTAACTCAAGGATTGAAGACTTACAAAGTTAAACATCGAAAGCCATGTCAACTGAAGGCACCACTTATATAAGTTTCACACAATTTGAAAACAGAATCGATTTAAAAATAATTTACAAGATTCGCTCAGACAGATAGCACCTTCTCAAATACACGACTACAATGTAAACTTTTGGAATGGACGAATACATTCCAATTTAACGATTGGTGGAAATCCAGTAATTCGTTTGAGTTAAAAACCACTCACCGTCTCCAAAGACATTATTTGCAGGTGAGCGCGTGCAAACAGAGGTGAAGTCTAAACAACAATCGCCCCAATACGTACACGCCGAGTCACAAAAACATCCTCCTTGACTGCCCCAGGAGTAACAGCGATTAACGCAGCTTCCTGAAACGACGATGATCAAGGTAAACCTGATTAAGTACCCAACTCAGAAATCTGCAGAGTAGAATAGTCCTCTACAGTTATACAATCTTGATAAAAACCAATTATGCCAAACGTGTCATACTATCCTGTTAACTGCAACCGATTAATGAATCTCAAAACAATGAGAGGCGACGTTAATAAAAAAATAACTCCTTTAAACAACTAAAAATTATAAGAGACTAAATGTGTGCTTTGCCGGCTTTAAACACTGTGTGTAAGATCGGTTTGGAGTCTGGACGCTGATAATGACCATAATAATAATAGTAGTGTTTAAAACCAACCAAACATAATCCTATTCATCAATACCCTTTTTTGGTCAGAGGGTCAAAACAAGTAAAAAAAAAAATATCCAATGGTTTTGTTCTACAATTTTACATCATATTATTTTAAACACCCATCTTGCTATATGTTATTGTATGTGCCTCTGGCGAGTAATCGTAAACATGTGCCGTAGTCGTTAACACTGTCTAAGACATTAATTATGAATGTCTAAAAACAGTCAAAACTGGATACGGGTTATATGGTCATCAGAATTAAGAACTGGTTACTGTCTCCTCAAATTCTTTTAGGCACTCGGCACTACAAATCAATTTACCTTCACCAGAGTCATTTGGCGTTGAATGGATACAATAGGCATTGTAATCATGGCAACAGTCACCGTAATTTGGGCAGACGGAATCACAGTAACAACCTCCTTGACTGCCGTCAGTATAGCATCTGAACTGACATGAAGCTGGTACAGAAGTTACAAGAAAAAAAAAGTTCGCAAAACGAAGTAAAATCATACAATTTTCTTTGGTAAAGTGTACTTAATATTGACGTAATCATTCTTCACGCTAATGTGCGAAGGCCTGTCTATTTCGAGCAACTTATTTCAAACACTGTTCGGCCAATGGACAAAGACAGTAAATAAAACCCTGAAAAGCCTTCAGAACCTTTTTAGTGGTAAAGACATGTCAAAATGGATATTGCAAGGAACATTGCTATTTATAATTTTGAAATATTAATATTCCCCTTTTCGTACGTTAACATTGCGTTTAAAGGAAACCAAATTCCGTCACTTAATCACACCATACACTTACCATCTCCAAAGACATCATTTCCAGGTTGGCGTACGCAAACAGAACTGAAGTCAGAACAGCAATCGCCCCAAAACGTACAAGACGAGTCACAGTAACATCCTCCTTGACTGCCCCAGGAGTAACATCGATTGACGCAGGAAGCTTATATGGGGATATAAGAAGGAAATTAATGAATTAATTTCTGAAAAAACACCCAACCTACACCGAGATATCAAGAAAATATCACTCAATCCATGTCTAGAGCAAGGATGGACTATAAAGAAAAACAAAAGAAGTAAACTCATAGTTCTGGCATTCCATTCATTTTACATTTAAAATTGTTGTTAAAATACTTCAACAAAACTTACCATCACCAGGGGTACTAGGTCCAGGATGGCGTGTGCAAATAGAATTGAAGTCTGTACAGCAGTCATTGAAATACGGACACGCTGAGTCACAATAACATCCTCCTTGACTGCCCCAGGAGTAACACCGACTGACGCAGGTTGCTAAATGAGGGTATCAAAGGTAAATTGCACATGATTCGACTAATCGAGCCGGGGTTTCTAACAAGGGTTTCTCTCTTTAGAGTCCTTATCTGACACAAAACAGCGACTTGACTCAAAACTGTAAAGTCAATGATCACCTGAACGATTGCAATTCAAAACACTGCAAAAAGCAGATCTAATCCCAGGCAACACTTACTGCTTGTGGATAAGCCTAGATACAGTGAGATATCAAAGGTTTAAGGTAGGGTCAGCGTAGCTGATCATATGTTATTATCCAATATTGAGCCGATGAGTTTCAGATATTTAATTTTGAGCCGTTGATATCATTTTATTGCATTTTATGTCATTACCGATGCACACCCATGTTGTCCCCCGGAATATTTACCTTCCCCAGAGTCATCTGGATTGGAATGGACGCAATATGATTTGTAATCTGGACAGCAGTCGCCAAAATACGGGCACGAGGAATCACAATAGCAGCCTCCCTGACCGCCCCATGTGTAACATCGGAACTGACAAGAAGCTGTGGGAGAGGTAATAGCATCAGCTATCATTATTAAGAAAGCAATATTTGTGCAATCAACAGGAAACATTAATCCTTGTATTTCTGTAAGTTTTTCTGTTCAAAGCTGCCTGGTCTAAGAAAATATTAAAACCTTAGCTTGCAACGATTGGTGACTATTTTGTACCCCAAAAACCTGATTTCCCAATTTTTAAATCCGACGTAGTTTGAAGATAAGAAAAGCTTAAAGGCAATGGTGCTGCGTTTTCAACCATTCTACCTTTGGATATAATAACTTATAGCACTCAAACATGGGACAGGATATAAAAACCACTAACGATCACCAGGAGTACTTGGTCCAGGTTGGCGTGTGCACACAGCAGTGAAGTCTGAACAGCATTCAATATAATAACTTACAGCACTCAAACATGGGACAGGATATAAAAACTACTTACGATCACCAGGGATATTAGGTCCAGGTTGGCGTGTGCACACAGCAGTGAAGTCTGAACAGCAGTCACCGAAATACGTACACGCCGAGTCACAATAACATCCTCCTTGACTGCCCCAGGAGTAACATTGGTTAACGCAGGTTGCTAGAATGGAGTTTCAGAAGTTAATCAGATATTAATAACACCGAGAGCCTTTTTGACAAAAAAGCTGGTTCCTTTTACAATCAACACATTTTGTAGCAAGCAAAACGTTAACTAAGACTTCCGAGCGTAAGCATTTCAAAGCTGAATGAAATCGCTGAAAGGCCTCTTGATTTAATTGTTGTAACAATAAGTTCAAAATGTAAACGATGTGCAGCAAGCAGCCGATAAAGTCATTTTCGACATAGACTAATTTACCTTCACCAGAGTCATCTGGCGTTGAATGGACGCAATAAGTCTGGTAATCAGGACAGCAGTCGCCATAATCTGGACAGACGGAATCACAGTAGCATCCTCCTTGACTGCCGTCAGTATAGCATCTGAACTGACAAGAAGCTGGATGAACGGTAACAAGAAACAAGTGACATCCATTATGTACAAGTAATTGAAGAACACGAGTGTGTCATTTTTTTGACAAAACAGGTTGAGGGAAATTAATTACTTCTCTCGGTATGTAAAATACATCAGCTCACTTGTTTGTTTGGCAAAAATACAAAAATTAATTTGTAAGCAGTAGCAATTTATTAGATAAGACATGACCAATTTCTTCAGACATTTTTTTCACAACAAAACACTCAAAATAATAGATTTACATTTTTAAACGGCCGGTAACAGTTTACTTGAAGAATCAGAAACTTACCGTCTCCAAAGGTATCATTAGCAGGTGTGCGTTTGCAGACAGTAGTGAAGTCTGAACAGCAGTCTTCATAATGTGTACACGCCGAGTCGCAGGCACATCCTCCTTGACTGCCCCAGGAGTAACATCTATCAACGCAAGTTGCTGAAAAGAGTTTGTTAAAATTTATCGCTAAAAACACTCCAAGAATTCTTCATTGGAGACGATTATACCACTCACTACGACAGTCGCAATGACACCCAAATTGTAAAATGAAATATCCACAGGACGTGATTTGATATAATCCAGGTCATTTTACGTTCTGATGTGAATAAAAATTTTGATAATTTGATGAAACATCAAAGTCCAGGATTTCAAGTGTAAAGCGACAAGATTTGAGTTAAACCTTGAACTGTGGTGTAATCTGCTAAGGTACATTTTAAAGCGTATACCAGGATATCACATTTACGTTTTGAGGTGAATAGAAATCTTGATAATTTGTAGAAAGTATCATTTTTGATAAAACATCAAAGTACAGGATTTTAAGTGTAAAGCGACAAGATTTGAGTTAAACCTTGAACTGTGGTATAATCTGCTAAGGTACATTTTAAAGCGTATACCAACTACCAAGTAATATTACCACAGCAGCCAGTGGATGACGAAATCTCTAAGTGCATGTCTTACTCTAGAGTCAATACAGGCCTACAAGGCCAACATGTACAGATGCAACTGAAAAATATCTTGGAATCAAGGTTGTTCGTTTATCATACGAAACATTTTTAGGAATGTTCCTCATGGAGATTAAGCAAACCCCTACAAACCATTCCCGATGGGAATTTACCTTCTCCGGAGCTATCATGTGGATGTGAATGGATGCAATAGATATTGTAATCTGGACAGCAGTCACCAAAAGTGGGGCACACAGAATCACAATAGCAGCCTCCTTGGCTGCCCCATGAGTAGCATCGGAATTGGCAGGAGGCTAGAGGGATCATAACAGTTAAAAATCTTTATTGCCTCAAACAGAAACTGAAAGTTTCTTAGTAATATATATTTATTCAAGAATGATAAACTATGACTCGGATGTTTTCTCTTCCTTTTTTTGTTTGTTATTTCATTATGGTTAAAGAATCCCTACACCTCATCGTAATGAAAGACGGAATGACAATTACAGGCTCCTCGACTGCTTTCAGTTGATCATAAGAAGACACGAAATTCAAAATGGGCTTTAAAAAGCACAAGGAAGCCACACATATATGTATTCTTGTGCAACTGGCTATGTGTTGCTTTCTCTAGGATATAACACCTTGAAGAAGCAATACCTGAAAATCCATCTCCAGAAAAAAACCTGTCAACAATTATTGAAAAAACAGTCAATGAAAAGATTACAAAACTGGACAAGAGTAACGGAATTTACACCACCATTATATTCTCGTATATTATTCATGTACTCTTTTCCAATGTAAAAATCGTATGTGAATCCAACTTTTTTCCTTGAAAGAGCTATCACTTACCATCTCCAAAGACATCATTTCCAGGTGCGCGTGTGCAAACAGAAGTGAAGTCTGAACAGCAGTCGTTAAAATATGTACATGCTGAGTCGCAAGCACATCCTCCTGAACTTCCCCAGGAGTAACATCGATTGACGCAGCTTGCTGAATGGAAAAGGTTAAGGGTTTTAAAGTAAATGTTCAACAACACCCCGACCAAGATAGTTTTGTCTACAGACTGCCTCATTGTTGAGGTAACCTTAATGATAACGGACCTATTCAGAAAAAAAAGTTATTGAACTTGATCTGATCAGTGGCAAAGGCAAAAATGGATAATTGACAAACACAAACAGTTCACAATTCTTGGATTTTGATTTTATCAACATTTTACGATCACGTGTATGGGGAAAGACCCGCTTCTTCCTCCATTGCATCGGTGCTTGTGACAATGACACCTGCCTAAGTCGATCACCAAAGACAATAATCCTGCCATCCTGCCTAATCTTCAAGCCTCTATACGGACCCTGAGGACTGACTGAACTCGATGAAGATACAGTCAAGTGGCTGCAAGAATCGGACATTCCTGTGTGATTTGCTACGAAAGCAGCATACGAACAAACGATAACGTCCGTACAGCTGCTAAAAAAGGGGTCGAGTTGGATGGTACGCTGTTTTTATGTAGTCATTACGATGCACTTCCAATATATCCCTTCAAGAATACGCATACCCCAACATTGGAAATTTACCTTTACCAGCGCCATAATGTGGATGTTTGTGGACGCAATAGGTATGGTAATCTGGACAGCAGTCGCCATAACTGGGGCACACGGAATCACAATAGCAACCTCCTTGACTGCCCGATTGGTAACACCGGAATTGACAGGAAGCTAGAAGAAAAAGTCAAATAGAAAAACCGACGTAATATCTTCGCAAAGAATTAAAAATGGTGAAATCAATTTAATAAATTGAGTTTACTAATGAAGACTTTGCCCCTTGCATAGAAAACTAGAACGGCGAAGCCGCCATGGCTCACTGTCGAGGGCGGGAATGGAGGCTGAAGGTAGGGTCGGAGATGGGCATGATGGAAGGGGATCAGGATTCTCGTTGATGTGCCAAGGTGTAGGGGTCAGTTTTTTTTAACTGCCAACATAAACTACCAACAAATGTTCTTACACATGTGTACATGTACATATACCACATCACCGCCATCACCACACTTAATTCCGTAATAATTGCTTTTTTGTCCGGCTTGCTCTGAGAAAAAAGTATTCCAGTAACAATGAAACAAATTTTTGGTTGACACCCTTTGAAAACAGCTATCATTTTTGAAATATTTTCAAAAATAACAGAATCTTCTAACATTATAGCGGCCACTTTTTTTTCAGATATTTTCGTTTGATTGTTTTCAAATGTAAAGATTGTGGGATAATCAAAAAAATGCTCTGTATGCAAAATATCCTACTGTCTCCAAAGACATCATTTCCAGGTGCGCGTGTGCAAACCGAAGTGAAGTCTGTACAGCAGTCACCGAAAGAAGTACACGCTGAGTCGCAATAACATCCTCCTTGACTGCCCGAGGAGTAACAGCGATTCACGCAGGTTGCTGAAACGAGGATGATAAAGGTAAATGTTAACACCTGTCTCAAGAAGCTGATACAGCCGAATAGTCCAAATAGCCTAAATAGACAATTCAGAAAATCGTTAAACCATCAGCTACAATAAAGGCAATGTAAATACAAAGCACCTTCTTTTATCTCTGATATTGTCCAATCATCAATTTACTTTTTTAGAGAACATCATACCAGAACCGTAAAAGTTCAGGATTTCAAAATTTAACAGTAACGTATGCAGAGCCGATAAGTGACAAGTTGAGTAACTGTGGCAATGTGTGTCGTATTTGTCCATTTCGAAAAATGTCCCTCCTTAAAATTACAAACCCCGAAATCCTTCCTGACGGAGGTAACTTACCCAGGCCGGGGTTATTATGTGGATTTGAATGGACGCAATAGGTATTGTAATCTGGACAGCAGTCGCCAAAATCTGGACACACGGAATCACAGTAGCAACCTCCTTGACTGCCGTCAGTATAGCATCTGAACTGACAAGACGCTGGAGATGAAAAAGAAAGAAAGACATCTAACTTAGATTGGAAACCATTTAACTTCAATAGTAATGTTTTAGTTAATCCATTCATTCTTCACCTATAATATTCGAGCACTGATTTCCATACCTTGTCTCATCAGTAAACAAAACAAAATTAGGTTTGACCAATCTTTCAAAAAGTCTACTTTTACTGGCGAATGCCATGTGACTCGCTCTCGGCCAATCAAATACATAATTTTTGGGTGCGGTTTTATAATAACAATTGTATTTTCACTCATGAGAAGACACGTACCGTCTCCAAAGACATCGTTTCCAGGTGTGCGTGTACAAACAGAATCGAAGTCCGTACAGCAGTCACCGAAGGACGGACACGACCAGTCACAATAACATCCTCCTTGACTGCCCCAGGAGTAGCAGCGATTGACGCAGGAAGCTTAAAGAGATTATTACAAGTAAATAATTAAATTACATTCTGATTAAGTCCACCTGTGTTACTATCAAGATATTAAGGAAAGTAAATGAAAAAACATAACACTCAACTGTTTCGAATCAGAGACTAGAAAGCAATCAAAGGTAGTTTGTCAAAGAATTTTGAAAGCATCATCATCATCACAAGGAATCCGAGGAAGGGTAAAACTAGGTGTCAATTTTTAAATTCACAGTAGTTAAGGCTATGTTAATTAGTTGCAAAATAACATTGTATTTGTAAATGTTTCTTTTCTTAAGTTCCTTGAATTGAATAAGTACGGCCATGGGCGTCGCGGGGGGGGGGGGCACTTGCCCCCCCCCCCCGGAAAAGCAAAAAAAAAAAAAAAAAAAAAAAGGAAGGAAAAAAAAGAAAAGAAAAGAAAAGAAAAAGAGGCGCAAAGACAAAGTGGTGTAAATTAAATGATTTGGGGGGGGGGGCAAAATGTCCCTGCCCCTCTCTAAAACTGATAAATCGAGAATGTGTTGAGAAATACAAGCATTTTTTGGCAAAATTTTTTTTTGACCCCCTCTAGAAAAAATCCTGGCGACGCCCATGAGTACGGCCCTTTACTAATAAGTTGAAAAACCTTGTGCAATCAAAACAAACTTATTAAGAGAAGATACAAAACAGTAACTGCATCAATATTTGCATTTCACAATCATGTTGCAAACTTCGTAACGATTGAAACAGTATCAGTACTACTTGATTAAATATAAAACTTACCATCACCAGGGTTATCAGTTGCAGGTTGGCGTGTGCAAACAGAATTGAAGTCCGCACAACAGTCATTGAAATACGTACACGCCGAGTCGCAAAAGCATCCTCCTTGACTGCCCGAGGAGTAACATCGATTGACGCAGGTTGCTAAATGAGGGTATCAGAGGTAAGTCTGATTAGTGACCTCATACAAACCCACTTATGGAACTTGGGTTTCTACCAAGAGTCTCTAATCATATCAAAGCAAATACTATCGAGCTAAATCTGTCGAGTCTATTATTATCGGAGTAGTTAATCAAAACAACTGCAAGAGGCAGATCTTAAACAATCAGTCGGAAATAAGCATCAATTAGGTTTTCAGGTTTAAAATCAGGTCTACATGCAGAGTCAACAAAATGTATAACATAAATCCAAAGCCTATGAATGAGCTTAAAAAAAGTTCCAAATATATTTAAATCATTTTATGTCTTTGCGACAAACTTCCAAGATGCAAACCATCACTTTTCCCCCTGCATAATTACCTTCGCCAGAGTCATCTGGTGTTGAATGAACGCAATAGATATTGTAGTCGGGACAGCAGTCGCCAAAATACGGGCACGAGGAATCACAATAGCAACCTCCTTGACTGCCCCATGTGTAACATCGGAACTGACACGAAGCTGGAAGAACGGTAGGAACAGGTGGACAACATAACGCTTGCCTTCTACACAAGACTTAGAATTATTCTTTCATTTCGGCTACGTTGTGGATTGCTTGTTAAAAGCTCAATATTGAAAACTTTAATATCTAGCATTGAATAGTAACATTTTGAGATATGAAATATAACCCATATTTCAAATGGTCTTTCAAAACTTTTTAAATATAAAAAAAATTTGAAAATTGTCTTGCCTGCTTTTTTGATCATTTCGCTATTACAAGGTTAGGAATGCATGGTCTCACAATTCAATTGAACTGGAAATCACTTACCATTACCAGGGATATCGGTACCAGGTGCGCGTGTGCAGACAGCAGTGAAGTCTGAACAACAGTCACCGAAATGTGTGCACGCTGAGTCGCAATAACATCCTCCTTGACTGCCCCAGGAGTAACACCGATTGACGCAGGTTGCTGTAACGAAGGTGTTACAGTTAAACCTCAGATAGCAAAGCTTTACAGAAAAAACATGTTTTTCTCATGTAGACAGAATTGTATTGATTTACACACCGATTGTTAAAAGTTGAAGCCCTATAGGCCTAGATAGCTCAGCTGGTACTTCATTGGAACGGCAATCCGTCGGTCACAGGTTCAGACCCCGCTCCAGTTCAATTTATTTGTTCAACTATTTAACAATTATTATAACGCTCAGCTTTAGGTGTTGTCTGCCTTTGAGCTGTGGTAATCTATTATTAAGGTGCATTTCAGATATATCCCTTCTACATAATGACCAGTCCCCCTCGCTGAAACTTGGAATATCGTTTTCGACAAATTTACCTTCCCCAGCGTCATCTGGTGTTGAATGGATGCAATAGATGTTGTAATCAGGACAGCAGTCGCCGTAATCCTGGCAGACGGAATCACAATAGCAACCTCCTTGGCTGCCGTCGGTGTAACATCGGAACTGACAGGAAGCTGGGAGAAAGGCAAAATAGAAAACGATAAGAACTCTTCAATAGGCCATATTTTTAAAACGAGGACGATGTAGAGGAATTAAGCCATTTCCTGTGTGCAATTATTTTTGTAAGCAACCAAGTATAGTCAATGACCATAATGGGCATGCGTCAGTTGGTAATAACAGAATGGTTCTCGGACTTATAACTTCCCTTTGAAAAAAAGAAGGTGCCTAGTCTTTTTGTTTTCGACAATTTTCCAGTCAATCACAAGTTGTACCTAATAATGTATCATTCACTTACCATCTCCAAAGACATCATTCTCAGGTGCGCGTGTGCAAACAGAAGTGAAGTCTGAACAGCAGTCAACGAAATACGTACACGCTGAGTCGCAATAACATCCTCCTTGACTGCCCGAGGAGTAACATCGATTCACACATGTAGCTTAAACGAGAATGTTATAGTAAGTTTTGATTAAACTGAAAGCCTGAATGATATGAAGCTACTCATCAAAGCAGATTCGATTTGAGCCCAAAGTAAATTCAGTTCAAAGCAACAGAATATAATAACAGTTATTAAATAATCAGTTAAAAACAAAAATATCATCCAAGTATCTCTAATGTTACTTTATCTCTAATGTTACTTTATAATTCTGTGATATGATAAGCATCACTTAGAAAAGATTTTGATGCTGATGAGCTGTGGTAATCTATATATGTCATTGTAGTGTAATTGACGAATGTTTCTCCAAGAATAATCGAAGCCCAAAGTCGTTTCCACCTCAAGCCAGTTTACCTGTTCCCGAGCCAACATGTGGATGTGAATGGTCATAGTAGATTTTATGTCTTTGCGACAAACGTCCAAGATGCAAACCAACATTTTCCCCCTGCATAATTACCTTCGCCAGAGTCATCTGGTGTTGAATGAACGCAATAGATATTGTAGTCGGGACAGCAGTCGCCAAAAAACGGGCACGCGGAATCACAATAGCAACCTCCTTGACTGCCTCCGGTAAAACACCTGAACTGACAAATTCCTGAAAGTGTGTTAAAAATAGGAAATATCAGAGATGTCATGTTTAGCGTGAATTTAACTCAATGTCATGAATTTGTTCCTAATAGAATAAAACAATCCCTTGCTATATAGCAGAGGGTCGAAAACCATGTCCAATCATAAGAAACGCTATGTATGAGAAGGGAAAAATGAAGAACAAACAAAACAAGTTCGCAAAGTTTTTTTACCGGATTAACCCCAAATAGCCACGCAGGTGGACAATTCCTTTTTATTGAAAAGATTAAATGGTATGAAAAGTGATACGCAAACACTTACCATCTCCAAATACGTCATTTTCAGGTGCACGTGAGCACACAGAAGTGAAGTCCGAACAACAATCGCCCCAATACGTACATGCGGAGTCACAAAAACATCCTCCTTGACTGCCCCAGGTGTAACAGCGATTAACGCATGTTGCTAAAAAAAATAGAATGTTGTAGACAGGCATTGAGGCTTGACACTTTTGAAGAATTGTCAAACCAGTCACAAGTGTTTATATCTACAGTTCAATTGCTCAATTGTTCAACAGACGATTTTCCTCCTTAAGATGGGTGGGGCATAAATATTTGTTTATCCAAGTTAAAAGTCAATATACACTGAAACAAGCTTGCTTTGGGTCACTGCATAGTATTTTGAGGGTTAAGAAAATTGTCTACAGATTCCTTGAAGTGTGACCGTCCAAGTTTTTAAGAAATCGTTGAATTATTGTAAAATCACTTGAATATACGAAGCAAGAACATTTCAGATATACCTTCGCCGGGGACATCTGGTGATGTATGGAGGCAGTAGATACTGTAATCTTGACAGCAGTCGCCATAATTTGGGCAGACGGAATCACAGTAGCAACCTCCTTGACTGCCTTGAGCGTAACATCGGAACTGACACGAAGCTTGACGAGAGACAACAAAAACATTACAATAAAACAGGAGCATCTTCAAACACATATATTTGTAAACTAGCAAAAACGATAATTGAAATATACCATCCATGTTTTCGCCTATAGTTAGTTAAAGACCAATATTGAAAAATTTAATCCTCGTAACATAACATTTAAATTGACGAGGTGTGCAAGACTATCATGACTACTTTTTTTTTTTACAACAAAGTGATAAAGGTAGTTTATTGTTTTACCTGCACCAGGGACATCAGTTCCAGGAGAACGTGTGCAAACAGAATCGAAGTCTGAACAGCAGTCACCGAAATACGGACACGAAGAGTCGCAATAGCACCCTCCTTGACTGCCCGAGGAGTAACACCGATTGACGCAGGTTGCTAAAAAAAAAAAGTGGTAATCAATAAATTAATTTTTGGGTTGCTGCCATGGCACTATCACTTTTTTGGTTTTATCACTATTTCTGTTAATCGAACAATACTAATTAGAACTTGAAATTTGCTATTAATACTACGTTACTTAAAATACACAAAAGGTAGCTCTATTATAAACTTTTTTTTTCAGCTGAGCCTGCAGGAGTTTTATATACCCTTTTTTGGTATTGTGAAGCTTTTAGAAACATTGTATAAAATTCTGAAATACAAAAAGGGGTACTTGCAACTTACATTGCTACTTTATGATTAAATTGTGCAGATGAATAATGGATTTTTATCTAAGTTAATTAAAACTCCTGTTGTGCCAGATGGCGACATATGCTATTATTGGCTATGTCAATTAAAATCAATGACACTGTTAAAGTTAACGTTTTGTCAGTCTTTATACTAATGATGCATTTCAATCATGCACTAATGCTATCATTATCGGACGAAAAGCATTTGTAACCAACTCCTATCTCTACATCCTTCCTCAAAATTGTCTCACTGCATGATATAAGAATCTTTAAACTGTTAACGCTTTGTTCTCATATAGGCCTATTAAATTCGTTCTTCTCGAAGATTCATTAGCACTGAAACGTTTCATATTTACCAGCACCGGGAACATCAGTTGAAGGTTGCCGTGTGCAAACGGAACTGAAGTCCGTACAGCAGTCATTGAAAAACGGACACGCTGAGTCGCAGTAACATCCTCCTTGACTGCCCGAGGAGTAACATCGATTTACGCAGGTTGCTAAAAACAAAGGCGTTATAGGTAATGTCCAGCCTGACTCTAACTAGCTGAGCTTCTCTCAAAGATTAGGTAAAATTAAAGCTATATTGTCCTCTTCATAGCGAAATCTGAAATGGACAATTATTCTTTAACTGGGTTCAGAGCTACAAAAACCCTTAAAGGTAAGTTCTGATGTTTGCCAACAATTAATACAATATGTCGCATGAGGTTTCTAAATGCAATAAGTTTCAATTATTTCAAGAATAACGGATCTAGATCGCCAAAGTCGGAATTCGTTTCCGACGTTATTACCTTCTCCCGAGTCATCTGGTGTTGTATGGACGCAATACATATTGTAATCAGGACAGCAGTCGCCGTAATTTGGGCAGACGGAATCACAATAGCAACCTCCTTGACTGCCCCCTGTGTAACATCGGAATTGACAAGAAGCTGGAACGAAGGGAACATAAAAAAACAACAATGACTTTTTTCAACCGGAGAATAAGCATTAATAAGTTTTGAGATATCACAGGTCATCGTGAATCTTCAGGTCCTGCAATAAAGCAAGCACGTTTGTTTGAACTAACGTTTCCCCCCAAAATGACTTGATTTAAGACTATGTGTGAATTGAATAAAGACTTTAGCATACTGCAGAGGCCCGATTTTCGAGAACTAAAATGTTTCTACCCGGAAATTCCTTCAGGCGATAATTACACAAAAGCCATATAATTCTAACGTTTACTCAGGTATATAGTATATGCCTAGTTGATAGTTTTGTTTTCCATTTGATTGATCTTTCCAACTATTACCATTTCTTTGTAAAAGCGTTTTAGAGTTCATAAGGTGCACTCCTGACGAAACGATAACGAAGAGAGTCAAAGCTTCTTTTTCAAACATCCCTTTCATCGTATTTTCCACACAAAAAAACGATAACATCGTTTGTATTACACCCGTCAATCTGGAATCACTTACCGTCTCCAGAGACATCATTGTCAGGTGCTCGTGTACAGAGAAATGTGAAGTCTGAACAGCAGTCACCGAAAAAAGTACATGATGAGTCACAGTAACATCCCCCTTGGCTGCCCGAGGAGTAACATCGATTAAGGCAGGTTGCTAAAATGAGGGTAATTGAGATCAATACAGTAATGGCCACAATATTCAGAAAGTTTCGATCTAGCTTTTTTGGGAGCCAGATCTTCAGCAGACAATTAGTAAACATAAGGATAATTTCAGTGTGGTTTAGAGTTATTAAGTTAATAAGGTGCACAGAGCCGATATGACAATAACATAACGAGGTCTTCACTTGTGTCTGTGGTTGTCTTTATAATCATGGTGCATTGCAAGGGTGTGTTAAAATAATGCAGCTTTATGATTTTTGCTGTTAATTCCCAGCGGTTAACTTAGCATTGACTAGGGCTGCGGTG